AAAGGCATTTTGCGACGTCTATCGCATAATACAATCGAGACGCTGTCTGGGACAGTGGCGAAACTGGCTCATTCGAATCCCTGCATCTTCTTCATGAATGCCGTCAACCAGATCATGGCATATGACAATCTTGCCAATGTCGTTATACAAGCATTGCGATATGTCACCAATATGGGATTCGATGTCCTCGTGTATGTCATCCTTGAGGCTCTATCAAATCCAAATAAGAACCGTGTCAAGGATGACGGAGTCAACACTTCCGACTGGCTTCAAAGTTTGTCCTATTTTGCTCCATTTTTTACTGTTCTCAGCACTTATTTTAGGTCTGGCATCCTTTACTGGCATGCTCTTCCGGCGGTATAGCGCTGACCTGTCGCCCTTGTTGAAATATGTGGTTCACCAGCTGTACAATGGCCAGACAACAGAGATTGTCGTACTGCGGGAGTTGATTTGGAAGATGGCAGGCATCGAACCCCTTCCGAGTCTTTCGGACTCGCAAATCGCTGCGATGGCCGGAGGACCTGCTCTGAGAATTGAAGCTGTCGCTTCAACGACTCGTGGCGCTCGCCTTGATCCAGGTGACGCTGTCCTTAAAGGCCCACAACGGCTCGGGAAGACCATGTTAGAGACGAATTTAGCATTACCTCTCCTTATCCAAGTGGCACAGCAGAGGCAGTCCTGTGTTTTCAAAGCTCCTGATGCTCACTTGAAGTCCCTCGCCAGTTTGTTTGATACTGTAAGTTGCGTCATATCATATGCTATAGGCTCTCATCATCGCTCCAGACTCACGGTGTCCTGCTGCAATATTTGGATCTGCTTACCTCGCCGGCTGTAATCTCGCCCAAGGACTATGCAACGCGGATCCTGCCTAGCCTTGCAGATCTTGGGGAGTTGTATGGGATAGCACCTCCTATCTGCATGCAAATCATACGACCTATGCTGAATGCTACGATACTGGTGAGAAATACAATTGTTTTTGCCACACGACAACTGAGCACTGTTGTAGAGCGCTGCCCAGGAGAAGGAACGACTTGCCAATGAGGAAGCGGAAAAGAGGTTGAAAGCACGTCTATCTGCGGCGAAGCGCGAGCCTTCCGCCGCCACCCCTAGGGTAGATTCACCTACTGGAGTAAACGGAGCGAACACTCCACGAGACACTGGTGATCAGAAGTCGTCAGCAGACGGTGTGCCAGAAGATGCAGTGATGGATGCCGAAGTGACTACGGCGACTCCAGCTCCGTCCGAGGTAAGCCACACTTGAAATAAGAAGAGTAGCGTTTACAAGCTTTTCTTTGCAGAGCCCGTGGATACCGGATCTAGAAGCTCTTTTCGACGACGTTAAGCAGATTGCCAAGAACAGTGCTCTTGATGTCATTGGGTAAGTTGTGCTTCTGACGAGGTACCTGCGATATTCAAGACTTTCCACAGGCCTGGTTTTTATTTAACTTTCTGGCAACTTTCCATGTATGATCTGGCGCCTCCGGCAGCCCGGTATGATGAGGAGTGTGCTGCCTTACGGACACTCAGCCGTCAAGAGGACTCCAAGTACATAGCGGCTGACCGTTCTGCTGACAGAGCAAAAAGGCTGTCAGCTGGCTCTCATCGGGCTAAACGAGACAGATACAATGCTTTTGTGAACACTCTTGCTCAGGAGTTCAAAGAACAAACTGCCTCGAGAGTGTTCACGATGAAACGACTTGCCCGAGAGAAGCATCATTGGTTCGCCCACAGTATGACTCCTCCAGTCACATCTATTTCAATTTCTGACATCATTCTAGCCGAGCATCGCTCATCGGTCCTGGCTTCTGCAATCATTGAGCATTGCATTCAACCGCGATGCCTCCTATCGCCTATGGATTCAGACTTTTGTGCACAATTCATCAAAGTTATGCACACACAAGGGACTCCAGGGTTCCCTACTCTCGTAGTATATGACAAGGCATGTTCCTTTCGCTCTGTAATTTGCCGCGTACTTAGGTGTGTTGTTAGTTGCTCGGGGACCATGTGAAAGCGGTTGTTTTTTCTTGCAGCGAATACGAAGCTAAGAACTATGGTCAGTCATCTATATTTTATAATCATAGCTATCTGTAACTGTAGTTGTCAGGGCGCTTTTTACTGGGGATATTGACGGATCTCTGGAAGTGGGCTCAAGATGAGCAACTCTTTTTGATGGAGAATCGCACGAAAGTTGGCGGAAAGACTATTCTGCTTCCGGGTTTCCAGCATAGATGGTCAAATAAAGACCATGGCAGTATTGCTTCCGAGGACCTTCTGTCATGGACTGGATTCAAGCAGATTCTCCGTAAATGGCATCGAAAACTGGGACGGGTATGTTTCTGGCATTCTCTGGTGATCAAGCTGACATTTATTCTTCTACACAGAGTCTTTTGAGCTGCATTGAGACAACGGAATTCATGCACGTCTACAACGCTATCATTGTGTTGAAAGAGATCCTTCCCGTTTTCCCCCTTGCTGCAGTGGGCGACGCTGGACCTGCCATCGACACCATAATGGAGAAGTTCCTGGAAAAGGAAGAACGCGGTGATCTCAAGATTCTAGGCCGAGCGTAAGCCTGTTGCTTTAGCTGTCTGGAACAATACTTATGGTTAACAGTTATTCTGCGAGTCTAAAAAAGCGAGAGTCGTTTTGGGCAGTGCCAAAAGTAATTGGAAGCAAGGTACATTCACCTGTTGCAGAGAAGAGCTTTTCTCACGTTCCTTCTACACAGTCTAATGGAGATCCTATGTCGCCGAAGCCAGCAAATTCAACAAGTAATCTTCCTGAGAGGCAAGCTCGCACTCCGGCTCCCCCTAACGGTGCTGCAACGCCTGCGGCAGACCGAGTTAGCACTCCAGTTCCCCTCACCTCACTTCGTGCCAATGGAGCGGCCTCGCAAGCTGTCGTCGATCGACCCTCTACACCAGCAACGTCCACCAGGTTAGCCATTGACAGGCACGTGTAGATTTTCATTTTATTGTACTAGTTACTCATCGCCTGTGTAGTATCCCACGGCCAGAGAAAGTGAGACGAGTACGACCTGAGAAGGGTAGTGAATCGCCAGCTCCTGATGGTGACGCCAAGGGTGTTGCGAAGTCTGAGGCGATGGATATCGACGCGCCTCTGAGAGAACTGAAATCAACGCAAGCTCCACTCTCCGAACACATTCTTCGCCCTACCCCTCGTCTCCACCAAAGTTCCTCCCAAAATGCCCTTCTGTCTACACCGACCGCCAATCCTAAGGATGCACCCAAACTTCAGCGGCCACCGTTGTCTGGTTCTGCCCCAAATTCGTGGGAACCTCCACACTCACCGCGCCCTAGGGTTGATGAGAAGCAGGCACAACCGTCCCCAAGTGAGGCTATGCCACCACCGTCTGCTCCAAGCCAGACGATCTCGGCGCAAGAACTGCGCGAGACTGCCAAACAGAGTATTGGCAATCGCCCACCAGATCGGGCCGATGATAAGCGATCTCAACCAGGCTCCGGTGCCCCATCCCCAATTTCTCGTCGCCGCACTCCTTCTCCCCCACCTCGTCCTGGTACAAGGACTCACAGCATGGAGAGCCGCGGTAGTGGCCGACGTTCTGACCGCGGAAGTGGCGATGGTGATCGTCCTGATGACAGGCCATCTGACCGTGAGGCTCGGGTGGAGCCTCGCGTACCTACAGGGCGTAAGGACGCTGCCACGCACCTCCGAAATGATAGAGGTACCCGAGAGCGAACATCTACCAGGGACAGTGATCGAGACAGGGAGAGCGAAAGAGACCGAGACTCTCGCCGGGACAGACACGGTGAAAGGGATCGCGACAGAGACAGAGAGAAGGAGCGGGATCGGGACAGGGAGAGAGACAGGGAGAGAGAAAGAGACAAGGACAAGGACAAAGATCGTGATCGTCGCGACCGAGACAGAGAACGTGATAGGGATCGCGACCGTGATCGCGACCGTCACCGCCGAGATGAGAAAGATCGTGACAGGGATTCGAGGAAAGATCGCGAGGTTTCCGGTCGTGGTCCTATTTCTGCAGCAGCTTCTGCTTCCCTGGACACTCGTAATTTACCCACTCGTCCTGATCCCACAAGGCACAGTAGCCGATCACAAGTCGGCGATGATGCACTTGGCAAGAGGAGGCGTCCTATTGATGACGAGGTACTAATCTCACACTATATTCACCGTCACGCGAGTGCTTATTATTTGGCAGGCTGACCGTAATACCAAGAGGAGCTCCCGTAAGGAAGGACATCGTGAAGATCGTACCCGTAGGTCAGAGAAGGAGAGTCATGATCGACCTCGAGAATCCGATCGGCGTCGGGAGCGAGAAGCACCTGAACCTGAACTACGCCACCCTCTATCTGAACGAGTACGTCGCTTTCGTACTTTCCACTATCATGTTGCTCACGATACGGCCTTAGCCTGGCGAGAAGCGATTACCAGAGGGTCCCAAAAATCTACCTCCTAGTACACCTTCTGCACCACGCGCGATGGCATCTGGGGATGCGTCCAGGGTTAAACCCGATATTCCTCCTAGCCGAAGTGGTGGGGACTGGAAGGGTCCGCGTGACCATGGCTCACACGCGTTCCCAGCTTCCGCCAGCGGCGGGCTGAACCAGGACGTGGCTCCAAGTTTACGTTCGCGCATTGGCGACAAAGAGCCTCCCCGCACTCCTCAAGCACCGTACCGCTCTGAAGTTCCGCATAAGGACGATGACCGCGATAACAGAAAACGAACTCTAGCAGGTATGCGATCATCTTGGATTCGACGTATTCATAACTCACTCTAACGAAGATCGTGATAAAGATGTCGGTGAGGCCGTCATCTCTGCTGCAGGAGAACTCTCGTTACAGCCTCCGAAGCGGCCACGAATCAATCGCAATCGGTACAATCCCATGCCCTTCAGACTCACGGTTTAGCCAAAAGGACCTTGCCTATAGATCCACAGGCTGGGGATAAATCTCGATCAACACGTTAGCGCGAGGACACTTCACTCCAGTTTGCCCTGCTATTTGAGTTCTGCAGTATATATCGTTACATTACATAGTACACAAATGAATCTGGCTGATGAGGCTCCACTCTACACAAGTCGTGAATTATTAGATGATATGTAGCTGTGGTGAATGAGTGGCTCCGAGTTGAATCGATAATATCCCGAGTTGAATCGCGGTAAGTGGCAAATAGCTGCGATCATCTTTTGATTAAAGTGAGGAATTCCTCTCGAGTCTTCTGTTGAGTTCGGAAACAGCCTAGCATGCAAGAAGTCACAGTGATGGAACCTGGTTTCTGTACACCACGCATGGTCATGCACATATGGCTATGTAGAACCGAAACACTGAGTATAAGAACGTCAGGCGTCGTAAACACTTACGTCGCTTCCATAACGACTGCGACTCCGCGGGGCTTAATTGCCTCCTGAACGGCGATAGCAATCTGTTTAGTTAACCGTTCTTGAACCTGCAGACGACGACTGAAAGTTTCGGCAATGCGCGCAAGCTTGGAAAGCCCAAGCACTAGCTGATTTGGGATGTACGCGATAGCGACCTATGGAGAATTCCGAGCATGATTTATGAATGTCAGTGACACGCGTAATATTATCGGAAGCCACATACTTTTCCTGTAAAAGGAACCAAGTGATGTTCACAAAGGCTGGAAAAATCGATTTCACGGACTAGAACCATCTCATCGTGATCCTCTGCGAACACTGCATCGTTTATTACATCTAGAAAGGCGGAAATGAAATAATGAAAACGACGGGATTAGAGCAGAGATAAGCTGTATTTACCTGCCAAGCGTTCCTCGTATCCCCGAGTCATCCACATCATGGCCTGAGCAAACCTCTCTGGCGTCTTCAACAAGCCTTCCCGGTTGGGGTCTTCTCCGATACATTCAAGAATAGTCCGTACTGCAGAGACCATCATTTTCTCGCGCGCAGCGCGGTCTGTTGTAGTCTCATTCAGACGAGACACAGTGGATTTTGCTATCAGAAAAATCAGTATCATCGAAATGTCATTCGAGTATGATTGAGACGTACCAGGCCATCCAAGACCATGAGGGTCAGGAAGTGGGCTGCCTCCCTCAACAGCACGAGAGGACAGGGTGAGAGGCGTCGAGATACCCGAAGCAGGTCGAAAACCATAACCCTCTCGGGCTTGAGACCGACTGAAACGTGACGCACTGGCTGATGAAGGGTCATTCTCAGATTGCGGATCCCCGCCTTGGTCATTTGACCTAGGATTCGTTTCGGACTGTTGAAGTTCTAGTTTTCGTAAACCATTTGACAAGAGCTCGACGTGAGATGTCATTTGAATAGGATTCAGGGATGTTTAGAGACCTGCTCAATGCAAAGAATAAGATACAGGTAGATCCTTATCGCGTAGCGAAAAGGACTGGGTCGCTGTCAGTACAGCTGCCAACTTGCCGATGAATTGGGTTTTCGTGAGTGCGAACGCTGCCCAGCAATTTTGGCGGTGAACGCTGTCACTAGCAGGACCCCGGCTGCTCCCCGTCACACACTACACATTTGCTTCCGAGGCGTAGCTTTTGTCGGGTCATGATGGTCAGCGCACTTCGGGTACATTTGCAAAGCGATCCAAGGGTGAGCCGAGTGCCCTGCTACGTCCCTTCCGAAGTACTTCGGTTCCCAGGTACGTGCAGCGTAACAACGACAAGACCTCGAAAACCTTGTCAGCTGCTGACTTACCCAATCACGCTAGTAATAGACAACCTTCTGGCGCTCGCCAACGCAAGCGTGAACAGCAACGACGAGGTGCCGCCTAAACCTACAATTGAGTCGGATTATTTATTACCCAAGTTGCTTGTTCAGAATGGCAATATCCGCTATCTTCGTCTAACTTTCAAGTCATGTTTCATTGCCGCGCCAAACTCCAGGTGCCTTCTCCAGTGACTGGAGGCGCGTCCATGCCCTAGTATAGCCATCGCCGTCCTTCTCTGCAAAAGCCCGTCTTCCCTCCGTCGCCCAACTCATCCTACATTATGCCGCTGACAACAGTGTCCGGTGGACACGCCGTCACGGTGTTATTGAACATCGGCCTCAGCCGCTGCCAGGTCTGCAGGTATGAAGAGTTGTACTGCTCGCGTATCTTATCGGCATCATCGTGGCCAGGTATTTCAAAATACGAGCCTGCACTGGTATCACCGCCATGCTCTGGCACACCATGGTCAGGTATTTCAAAATACGAGCCTGCACTTGTATCACCGCCATCCTCTGGCACACCATGGCCAGGTATTTCAAAATACAAGCCTGCACTTGTATCACCGCCATCCTCTGGCACACCATGGCCAGGTATTTCAAAATACGAGCCTGCACTGGTATCACCGCCATCCTCCGGCACACCTGCGAACTGGCTTTCCAGGTTAAAAAAATAATGAATACTCCCCTCGCAACTATTACAGGACAACCCGCGAACGGCAACTCGGACGGCAATGACTTCGACGTATTGCTCGTTTTGAGATCCTTTGTCGAAGTTGGACGAGCTTAGAGCATATCACCTAGGTAATTTGCAATTTTCTCATGTTTCCATAATGTTGTGTTTGGATTTCACTTAAATCACCTTCCATCTTATATGGCCTACAAACTAAATAAACACTCCGACATTTTCCTGGTGACTGGGCGAAAGTAGGAAGTGGTAGGAGCTTGGACCTCCGGAGGTTATACTCTGGCGTGGGGGTACCGGTGAGGTTTCGAGGCGTGCCAGAGGCAGCGCCAGCTTGGTGCGGTAACTCGGGCTGGCATGTGGTGCGGATTGGAGGTTAGGTCATCGTGCAGGTAGAACCATCCAAGGTACCCACCATCCATCCCACGTTCCGTCCGCGGGTGGTACCCGGGTGGATATCCGTGTCACACCCTAGTTAGATGTGGTAGGCGGTGGGAGACTGCAGGGTTGGGCGTAGCGGGCGTTAGCGAACGCGCGATGGCAAGGTGTTTATAGGTACAACCAACTTTCATATCGATAGACCAGATGCATCTTACCACTTCTATTTACTCGTAGAGCTGGACAAACAACAGGGTCCCGCTTATTACGAGAGCGCAGACTGTGTAAGAGAGCCCCTGGCATCTAACAGCCACAAAGACAAATACAACATCTCCGATGATTTACTGAAACTTTTGATTACAGGCTACTTACTTGCAGGCTCCCTCCCACCCGGTACTGGGGAGGTAAGGGCGGTACTTGTAATGCTTAGTAAACCGGAGACATGCACAAAAGTCAGCCAAACCTTATCCACCCAACCTCTCCAGCAGCAGACATTTGTACAATGTCAGCCACTGGCGGAGTGTGAACTAAACCTGATGGCGCGCAACGCCGAAACCTTCGTAAGTCCTACTAAACTTATTCTTAAGTCCTAAACCTGATTATCCCTAAGGTCTAAACCTTCGTAAGTCTTAAACCCTGTCAGTCATTCAGCCTTGCCTTTAGCAGCCCTAACCAATCATTTTTAACATTATTCATTTCCCCTCAGATTTAGTTCACACTCCGCCAGTGGCTGACATTTTACAAATGTCTGCTGCTGGAGAGGTTGGGTGGATAAGGTTTGGCTGACTTTTGTGCATGTTTCCGGTTTACTAAGCATTACAAGTACTACCGCTGCCGCCCTTACCTCCCCAGTATCGGGTGGAAGGGAGCCTGCAAGTAAGTAGCCTGCAAGTAAGTAGCCTGCAAGTAAGTAGCCTGCAAGTAAGTAGCCTGTAATCAAAAGTTTCGGTAGATCATCGGAGAAGTTGTATTTGGTCTCTGTGGCTGTTGGATGCCAGGGGCTCTCTGCCGACGGGTAGGAGTCTGGATCGGGTAAAATACCCTTCAAGGGCGCTCTGCCTGGACACCATCACGTGTACACCCCAGTGGGCAATAGTTCATGGTGTCCACCCACATGTTGCAGCTGGTTCGTGCAGTGGAAGCTTGTTGTGATTATAACTAGAAAACTGTACAATGTATGCGACAGTGGTGACTCGGAGGAGGTCGTCAGAACTGGCGGCAGACTCCCGAGTCCCTTGCCATTCTGGGGTTGTTCCGCCCTTGTTCCGTCCGAACAGTATCATAAAAGGCGGGGCCCTGTTATTTGTCCAGCTCCACAAGTAAATAGAAGCGGTAAAAACGACAAAATGAAATCTGGTCTATCGATATGAAAGCAGCTGTAACCTTATATACGGGCAGGAAATACCTTACCGAGCGGTGGTAGAGGTCTTGATCTCTGCTGTAAGTGACGTACCTTGTTCTTGTCAACATTAGGCAGCTGAAGCACTTCGGAAGGGTAGCAGGGCACCTACGACTCTTCAAAGATGGGTCCAGAGAAAATAAAAACCCAATCTGGCACTCCAGCAGACCAGGCCGCCGCGGACTTTTGAAAGGCAACTTTTGTTCTGGATGTAAATGTCAGTCTCCCCTAGAGCCCTTTATAGACGAAGAAAGATAGTGGTTCCTTCTAATTTTATATTGACAAACAGGTGGGACGGTAGAAATTGTCGATCGCACTGGCAGGCCTGTCTAGATAGAGGGGTTAGAGAAACAAAGCAAATCACCTGGACAAAGGCTCATGTGACAGTCAACAAAGAAAAAGCAACGAACGCGCTGTCATGTCGGGTACGCTGCCAATAAGTCTTCTTTTGTGTGGGCGCTTAACTTAGATAGCTGCCTGATAAGTTGATAACATCACGCTATTGCGATAGCCAGGAGTTGTTACATAGTGATATCTGGTTCCCCCAGAGATGATGATGGTAGCTGCAAACTCAAGCGGAGGCGTTCAGCTCGCCACGTCGCCTATGCATGAGAAATTGAAGTGTCGAATGAATAGTCGTATTCGATTTCATATAGTGATATATGACATCCCAGCGGCAGAGTCTGGTACATGACGTACTACCGGGCGGTGAGTCGGAGAGGCCGCCCCGGGGTCCTTCACCCAAATACGGCTATCTGAAAGGATACCCGGAGACGTCCCATACACCTCCAAGTTGCCGTTACTAGTAAGTAGGTCGGGGTTGTTCCAGGATATGTTCCTGATACTCACTCGCGTTCTGTCACATTCCTTTATTGTCGTGTAAGAATTCTTATTCGCCCCTCACGCAGTGATTTATGCCACCCTCTTTCATTCCTAAATCGTTCTAAAGTTTCATAAACCTCAAGTTGCCATGTCTTCTGTTTGTTCTCACTACTTTCATGTCCCGGGACAGGTCTGCCAAACTCGTCCTGCACCGCTGGTGAAATTTCACCTCGGATCTCATCAAACTAGTAAGACGACATACTGTTTGTAGCGGAACAAAAACGCCTTGACGTGAACCCCCGAAAAGCTGTGACTCGGGACTCTTCATAAACCGGGCGCTGTTTCCGGAATGGTTTCGTGGCTCACCGTTCGTATTCACCGAGAATGTGTAAAGGGTCGAAACCTCGCGGCCTATGCCCCCCTTCACAATTCAACTATGACAATCGTGTACGCCTCAACCCGAAGCAAATGCCCTTAACGTCATGCCGCTGCATCCAAAAGGCATGGCTAGCCTCTCGTGTCATTCCTCGCCGTAGAGGCTCATACCTCATGCCCGGCGCGCATCGCCCCATCAACGAGGAAAACATCAGATTAGCCGTCACAATCACTCGTGGCTGCGTGTTTGACTTGTTTAGAGTCCTTTGGAGTCTCCATCCAGTTCGCACTACACTTATGATGGTCATAAACGTGGTTCGGGGCATGTTTCCTGCGTTCAGGGGCTACTCACAAGCAATGATTGTTGATGAGGTTGGTGAACCCCACATCTTTCTTTCGTGTCTCTAACTTGCTCCCAAAGTTGCAAAATCTAATCTCGTCTGGTTGCTTCACTTGGTCACGCCTACTGAAGCTCCTCATCGCAGAAATATGCCGAAGAGCGGTTGAAACAGCGGTCGACTCCTTTGCGTAAGTTCACATCTTCACACTGCGCAATCATTTTCACAGTTAAAAATAGTTCTGCAAATGAGACCGTAGTTCATGATTCGGTGCGCTTTTTTGTGGAATATCAGCAGATTGCACAACGTCTGAGGCTCGACATCCCGACACTCGCGGATCCCGTCGTAAGGGACTGTCTACAAGAGTCCGATCTCTTCGTTAGGTCATTTAACGGCATGGGCGGGTTTGGGCTACTGTCGCCGTTCGACTTTGTTCAAATTCTAGCGCAGATATCGGAGCTTGCATCGTATCTTTGGGTGCTGTTGACCTTAACGGGTGGCTCTACACACATGGGTGCTTTATTGCTATCTATTCTTTCCGCCCTATTCCCTCTTTTCTTGAACCGTTGTGGAATCGCTTCTTCACATGCCGACTCAACTTATACAAGCAAGGAGGCTCGTACTGCGGAACGTCAGGAGAAGCTCCGAAATTTGGCCTACAATGATACCCACCGACCGGAAGTCCTGCTCTTTGGGCTTGGACCATGGATACTGCATTCCTGGGCAAATGCTCGCAAGGCGATGATGTATGACGAACATTTGTCTCCACTTAATCAGCCTTCACTGTCACAAATACTGCACCAGATAAATGTATCCGACTTGCTGTTCGCGCTTCAGAATGTGAGTTGCCACTCTTTCCACGGTCAACAGGAAGTGTCAATTTTTCTTAGATTCCAATGTTCCTGATGTTTCAGTCCTCATCTGCGTCACTGGGATCACTGGCACTGTATCGGAGCTCAATTCAGTCGGTGGTTTATACTGTTGGAAACCTGGTCAATACAGCTCGTATGGCATTTCAAGGAATATTTTTCATGGGTGCCTTTTGCGCTGCCATGAACATTGAACCTCGACTGACACCCCTGAGCGAAGACGCGGAAATGTATCCTAGTATAACTAATGGCATGAAGATTGAAGCGAGGTATTTGAAACAATCTGTCCCTTCAAGTGAATTTACCTTCTATTTCCGCGACAGACATCTATCATATACATATCCTGGAAGCAAGGAGCCATCACTAAAAGACGTTACATTTAGTCTAGAAGCCGGCGAAAGTCTTGCAATAGTCGGGTACAATGGTTCAGGCAAGTTCCGCCAGGAATTTCATTCATGTCCATACACTCATTAGAAGATGTCCAGGAAAGTCCACCCTTGCCAAGGTGCTGCTGCGAATTATAGATTTCGACCAAGGTGATCTCCTTGTCAACGATGTGGACATCCGTCGGTTAACTCCGGGCGATTACCACCGACATGTCACCACCGTCTTCCAGGGGTTCTCTAAATACAGCTCGACCGTCAGAGAAAACGTTGGATTGGGTTATGTTCAAAATTTGCAATCGCCCACGGCCATCGAGCACGCCATGCGTCTCGGTGGTTCAGATGGATTTGTAAGCGCGTTACCAAACGGAATGAAAACCAAGCTAGATGCCTCGGGTTTTGAGTTCATGCCGTGCTCATCAGCGTCAGGTTCATGTCATGGTATGTCCTCGCGGTTGCAGCACGGCTTGTCTGGTGGCGAGGTAAGTTCGCCTATTGCCATACAGACATAGATCTTGAACTAAGTGTATTCTCAGTGGCAGAGAATAGCCATTTCTCGGGCATTCATGCGCGCAGATCGGCCGGAAGTTGATCTTTTGCTGTTTGATGAACCTGTGAGTGTGTTACATACCTGCCACACTACTTACATCTCATTTCCGAGGGTAGACGTCATCATTGGACGGTTGTGCTCAGAACAAAATTTTCGACACTATCGACAAGGTTTCTCGCTCTCCTCAAGGCGAAAGACTTAAAACAGTGATTTTCATCACTCATCGTTTGTCAACTGCCCGTCGGGCGGATAAAATCGCAATGATGGAAAACGGGGTGAGTCAATCACCGCGTGGCGAGTCTCACGGCCTAACGCCCTTCATCCTGTGCAGTCAATAACTGAGTTCGGCAGTCATGATGACCTATTGAAAAGGGCTGGTTCATACGCCACACTATATAAAGCATCCGTTTAAAGCGGCAGATGTTCTTCCTTTCGCTCTCACCCATTCATTCTCCCAGATGAACTATTTTGCATACTTCATAGACTGCAATTTCAAACAACACTCATGAGTTTACTTACACATGTGGAGCTGTTAATGTACCTTAGACATAGCTGTGCATCAAAACTGATCGCTCGTAGAATGGTCCATGTATACTACGATGCCATCACGAATGTATGCGTCCACATTTTTACCTTCCAATGGCTCAGCGATGGCCAGCGGACTGTCGCAGAAGCCAACTACAAGGCCAGCGTCCCTGATTCCTTGAATCAGTGAAGGGACCTGCAACTTGAATTACATCAGGGGGGTGAGAGAAGTTATGGCGCCAAGCAGTTGGTATCTCACCAATAATTTCGGATCGAAGAAAACACCCAAAAGGTTATTTCGCTTTGCAAAGTCGACGCCAGCAGCTACGCTAGATGACCAATAATGACATCCGGGACTTGTATCATCAGCACGGTATCCCGTCGACACTCGTTGCCCCTGGTCAATTTGGCCGCATTGAGATGAAAAAAACACCGGATCTGGTAATACAATAAGATAAGATCTGGCTCCACAATACGACTTGGGGAAGCACTGACAATTTGGTTGTTTCCAATTAAGTGCTACACAGACTTGTGGCGAAAATGAAGTGAAGGCAATTCGGCGACGAGCGAACGCGCCACCTAGAGCCGAAGAAGTCTGCCGGATTGTGCGCAGCACGCTATCAACAGCTTCATTTAGGTCCACTTGGCATCTGATGGAACCACGGTCTCGACGCCTGGCAGGCAGAGCCAATTCTAACGTAAGGCCGAGTTGCGTAGGAAGAACCTGCAAAGCAAATTACTTCAAAGAAACGATCGGGCATCACGAGATTAAGCCCAAACCTGCATGACATCCGCAAGAGTAATCATACTGTGTGACAGCATTCTGGACCATTCTTGCGCAGATACTGCTGTTCTAAGCGATTTATTATCGCGCTCCAATCGACTTGCCAAAGCCTGGAACTGTTCCAGATTGACATCGGAAACGCCAAGGTCAAAAGAGGTCTCAGGAAGAAGATAGTCGCCGAATATTACAGAATGCAGGTCGCGCGTGACTTGTACGGTGATATGCACGTGATTCCCGATCAATGATGACAAGGTTAATGTGTGCAACGGGGAGGGGGGGTTGGAGTGTATGGAGGGTGATGTATATGTCGAATCCAGTGACCTGGGAGATTGCTGCCACGGCAATGATGTTTGCGAATTGGAAGGTGTGCCTCTGGGTATTGCCATTGATTTCCAGTAGGTTTCCACCGCTCCGCCCACTTCCAACGTAACACCTTGAAATGGTGTTATGACATTGATTGAGACAGTAACCTAAAATGAATGGTCAACTGAGCGTCTGGTAAGGTAATGGCTAAGTTAAGCCTACTTCTCCGATACTATGAAGACGAGTATCAAGGATAGGAAGTGTTACATCTGATACACCATCGAGGCCTTGGAAAACCGATGGATGAGCAATCGCACGCCCGATCGTTTTGGTTCCAAAATTGGGATATATCGAAAGTTCCAAGCTCAACCCTTTCAGCGACGGGGATTGGAAGACAAACACATCGCAATCTTCCATTTGAGGCAATAGAATACTGTACGGAGCAGCATTGACACCAGGACCAGCGGTAATTACCATTTTCAGGGGCTTTGAAGATGGAAGTGACAAATTGGGCGCAATGATAGAGCTGGTCAGACGAGGATGGAGTGTCACACCCGCGCCTTGGAAAAGGTTATTGTTGACGGTAACTTCAACGAGATAGTTCCTGTCCAGATAATTATGCCCGTATACGCGATGTGGCATGATCGGGGGAGGAAGTGATAACGAAGGAATCTGATCAAACTCGGAATCCACTTGCATTTCTGCCTTATCCAGAGGAGACTTGGGGCCGAGACTAACGATTTCCGTGGCGTGGGGTACCTTCGCTGCAGCTTCGATGAGGATTTCTACAGACTCTCGATGTCCATACCAGGCCGCATAATGAACCGCCTGATGTCCTACTTCATCAGCCAAGTCCATTCGAACACCAGCCTCCAGAAGAATTCGAAGGCAAGATGCGCGACCCTGGCGCGCGGCGTGAAAGAGGGGCGTCCACTCGTGGTACTTGTCTGGAGTATCACAACCCCCATGACCCAGAAGAAGCTTTACGACCTCGGCATGGACCGTCCCGTGCAGCAAGATGGATAGGGTATTGGCCATTGCTATTTGGCATGCAACGTGCCCCTCTTTTCAGAAGAAGAGACACGATTTCCAGATGACCATGCTCACTGGCCAAAGCCAAAGGAATTAGATTATCGTTCAGCGCAGTGAATGATGGCGAGATGCACTGGTCGCACAACAGCACTTGCACGCATTCCGGACTTCCCCGCAAGGTGGCATAAACCAGAGGGCTGCAATTGTCCACATCGAGAACGTGTGGAGGTAGAGAAGCTTCCAAAAGCCGCTTGCAGACATGCGCGTACCCATGCATCGCTGCATAATGCATGGCAGACCGACCATAAACATCAAGCTTCTCTGGCTGTGAAGACTTCTCCAAGCACATATTGACGAGGCGAAGAGCTCCCGAGGCAGCTGCTTCGTGGATGCACGTTCGCCCATTGATATCGTCAACGAAGTCGAAGTCAAACGGGACCGTGATGCTGGCGAGTACTAGATCCGCTAGCTCAGGTGGCGCATCGACGATAACCCTCCACAGCACGCGGGTAACATTGATTCTGCCTCCATTCTGTATACCAAGAAGATCCGAGTGGTGAACAAGATCCTTGATAGAAGCTTCATCTGAGTTCTCCACGGCTCTTCGCAAATCATGTTCAAAATCGCGGAACGGTCCTGCGTACATATTTTTCTCGATGAAGCTCACGACATCATGGGCAGCCGGACCTTCAAGCTTCAAGCTAGCCGATAGGTCGGTGATATCCAGGAGGCAGGATGCTACGGTATCAGACAGCTCTGATATGAGCTGTCGAAATACATCAGGACAATTCAAACCAAGCGATTGCGTCACTTGCCTGCCTATTGAACACTGGTTGGACCTCAACCTGCCTGGTGAGGTAGAGCTCCTTCGTTGTTGACCGCGACCTCTTATCCCATTTCTTCAAAATCTTCCTGAATCCTGTTGCGTTCATTTCGATAAATTGCTGAAAGGAGTTAGTTCGGGTAACACATAACTCGTGTGATCATTGAAAGTACCTGGAGTTTTCCAAGATCCCTTTCAAGGAGGCGGAAGCCCTCCTCAACAGCACTCCATTCGACATGATTCACAGTCGTTTCCTCGGACGTATCAGGGAGTCCGCGCATTGCTGCAGCACGCCTCTTGGAGAGCAGGGTCTCCAACCGGAGCTTCAGCTCTGCTTCTTTCTGCAGGTAGAATGTATTGATCTTGGATGACCCGATGTCATTAAGCCTCGTATAGTAGACACTTTGGTGACAGACACACCTTCTCCAGTTCACGCTCTAACTTGAAGAAGAAAGCGGCTTTGTGCGCCTGGAAGTCAGAACCACGATCGTCATCCTGTTGAAGAGTAGACGATATAGGTGGTTCCTCCGGCTCATCTTGCGTTATCAGCTCCACAGGATTTGATGTATCTGGTTGGGCTAATACTGAGACTCGGATTGCTGGGGTACGATTCTGCGAAATAGGTTTCAAGATATCGGCTGGGCGGACACCAAGGGCTAATGCAGCGGCTTCGGACGCAGGTCGATTAGCAGTAAGGGACGAAATGATCTTCTTGAGAAATTTGTAGTCCAGATAGTATGCAGACCATCCTGGGACCTGTTCTGCCTGGATTTGTTTGCCGAACTGTAGATCGCAGCGTCGGTAAAAGCTCAGATTGGCAAAAAGGTTGTATGGGGAGCCTGACCTTCATAATGGTCGTTTATCGTTCAAACTCAAAAAAAGGGACTGCAACAAGGTGGTAGTTGGTCAGACCATCATATGCCTGTGGTTCTCTCAAGAAGAGCTAACCTCAACTCCCTAAATTTCATGCACGTGCGTTAAAATGTTGTAGAGTCAAAGTGCCCAGATAAATATACGTCGCGGCGATATCAAGGGCTAATGCGATATTGGTAATTTTGTTTGGGAGTTCTCCTGAATTATAGGCGTTCGCGCGATTCACGGTCTTTGAATTGTGACGCGTATTACTTGTGTACTAGATAGTGGTATGGAACATGTATATCTAAATTCACATGCTTTTGTTAATCTCTCTCAAAAGCTCTCAGGCTACTGCCCTAGCGCTCGCACCAGTCCATTGGTGTGGGGTAAGGTTTGTGTCGCAATCTTGCCAACATTATTCCGAGGCTCTGCTGGCGGAGGGGCCAGGTGCCAGAGCCAGGAACGCCACGATCTCCTACATCACCAAGTCGTCGTCGGTCTCAGTACAATTGAGAGATCTGGCAGCGAATGACCCACGTCATCATTTTTATAGCACACGTTTGCACGAAGCAAAACTTTTCTGAGTCCGGAGACGTCCTGCGACTCATTGCTTAGTATCAGGAAACAGCCGCAACCTATAAGCACGGCGGTTTGAGCTCGTACATGTAAGTACTTTGTCCAAGTTTTGGATTATTCTGAATATTGAGAGTACACCACTGTGTTATAAGAATCGGGTTGACAAAACATTTGGAGGCGTGAAACTCCGACTCAACGGAGACTTGAATAGCTTCAGCCAGGCGAGCCTAGAATTATGTACTCACTGGGAGTAGAGGTGGACCACCCCTAACATTAAGAATGAAATAATGAAGACACAAGCCTTATCCCGATTATCAGGATGAGGTAAAATGGCCTTGGTAGGATTACCCAGGTCAACTTTGTGAAGGGCAGCCCAATCATGAACAATGTGCCTCAGTTTACAAAGCAAACATCAAGAAGCGTATACAGCGTTCCGAGGGAGAAGTACGCCTCAGATTTATTATATAGATTCCGCAACACAGCATCTGCTCGATGGGAATATCTCCAAGGAAGAGTCGGCCAGCACTTGTCAGTGCTCTTCGGAGATTCAGCCGAAAAATCTCCTACAGGCGACGAGTGGCAAGCCGGATGAGAGCAGCTTCTCCGCGACAGAAGAAATAAGCCTAAGGAGGGTCGTCTGAACTGGAAGGATGGTGTCTACAAAACCAAATCCTGCTTGACGCAGTGAGGGGCCAGTCATCAAGAATATTCCCTGGCCCGGCAATAGACCCAGGACGCTCGCTGTTGAAAATAACATATCTAGTGCCACCTGCGAAGAAAAGTACCACATCCAACTGTGGGACACTCCGTGTGATTGAGGGATGGTCAAAATCCAGTACTGGAAGTCGTTCTCCTGGCACTCGTATGAAATCCGGAGTCCGAGTGCGAGGACATTTGAATGTTCAATCAATGATATGGTATCTCGAAGGCGAACGATCTGCGTACTAGCATGGCGCGCACAAATTAAAGCGAGTTTGGCGGTGTAACGTTTAGGCCTTAGGGCTCGGTTTGTCACAGTATGGAGTCACATGTGACAAAGGGTCACAAAATGTAACAGTCATTCCTTGTAAGTTCTTAAACGCGAAACTCCAGTAGGTCAGGAAGACATCGATTCCTGTCGAAGCAGCCCGGAAATCCCTTGCCCGGAGAATCTAAAGTGTGCACTCCACATTTTCCAAAACTTAAAATGCAATGAAGAATAACTTACTGTATCATGCTTCCACTGCAGTATCCTCAAGCTCCGAAGTTCGTGCTAAAACGTATTGGGAACAACTTGAATCATGCACTGGTGGGGAGTTTCTCCGCGGGTCCCTCGCAGCGCCTAGTTCGACCCATTTGTCACGATTCTATGCAACGGACATTATTAGTCGTCTGTCCTACACACTCTGGAGTCTGCCCCAAGAATTGCGAGAAGCGGTACCCGCGGCATGCCGCTTGGCTCCAGTATCTCCAATTCCCCTTTGCTCCCAAACAGCTTGCCAACGTATGTGCCAGTGGGGAAGAATGAATCAAGTGTTTGTTCAACAAAGTACCTGCCAAGGCTGAGCACAGAATGAAAGTCCATGTCAAGTTCATGTAAGTACAACAACATACTTTAACCGCTCTAGCACCAATCCCTGCCAATCCCCACGCAAAATATTTGCCGCAAACAGATTACAGGGATTCTTGCATTCCCAAAATTTGTTAATTCTGTTTACATTTGGTAGGAAGTCACTTTACTGCTTGGATTTTTTGAACGACTACCCTCCTGTAGGTCTGGCTAGGGGAGACTAAAGAAGCTTTATTACATGGTAAACGGCGTGCGGTCCTTGGGTGATCGTTTTCCGGCATTTACATGCAATTTAGGGAGTTTTCTCGTCTTATATAGGACGGAGGAGCTATGCAAGATCTTGCCATCGTGCCTGGGAAGAAGCTCTTCAGGGTAGATATGATTGTCGTCCTTGGGGTATAAGCCGCTGATTCTTTCATCAGAATAATCATTCGGGCAGGCATTATGCTGTTCACAGGTTGTGATGCGTTTCGTTATCTGATAGTCTAATGGAAACAAGCCATTGCTGATGGCCCTATCTTGAAATCGGCTCAGATGATAAAGAACCAAGCCAACTCCCTACTCCCTCCCTATAAATTTAACTTGTGCAACAGGCATCCTTACTAGTAGGGCTTTACCCCGGCCATCTCTAACTTGTCTCTATCATATTCAAGTATTGCCTTCTCACTCTCACTGTTATGTTCCTGTCCGGTTGGAAATTATTTAATTCATTCAGACTGTTCTTTTGACAACCCCGCCCTCACTGCTTAACTGCTGGGAACACTCCCTTACTAGCTAAGTGAGTTCTCGCCGTTTATGATTCCTCTGTAAGGAACGATCATAATTATTCGTTGATGATCTCTCTAGGGGAGATATCTAAGATTAACATGAGGATTAATGAGCAGCGGCCACGCCGGTGGTCACCGGGCCATACACATGAAATTACCAACGAAATCCAACAAGTAGGCTTTTCTATTTAGATATGACCCTCGACGTCACTCTCGTACGTACTCATCATTTTCTTTTACATACGCAATCACTCCTCGTTACATGCGCCTCGTACACGTTCACCTTTGATTCTCCGTCTCAATCAGCGTATTAATTCCTCTCCCCTCGAATAATCTCCCTCAGTCTTTTGATCCAAGACTGAAGTAAGCTTTCTTATTCACGGTTCTACGTATATTTTCTGACTATTACCCTACCTAGTCCCTTTTCCGTTCCTAGGTATGATCCATAGCTATTCAAATCTTTTAATCCAAGACTGAGTCTCCTTCCCGTTCCTAGTCCGAGCCTCTTCATTGATAAGATTTTCTTCGATGTCCATTTCTGAGAGAAGGCCAAACTTGCTGGCATTCATCAAACTCTCATCGCAAGCGCGCGATTTCCCCGCATAGGATGTTGCCACGCGCAACCCCTGCTGCCTGCGTAGATCGAGCAGCTCATTCCCGACATGATGCGAACTAGGACAATGCACTGAATTCTGTCAATGTTCCTTCCCCAAGCTCTCGCCGGTATGATATCTTTGCTCCCCAGTCCTGGTGGCATTGACATCAGTCATAGTTCAGTACCCCTCTGGTGGCGTAACAACACCCTCACCTGTGGTTGCGAAGAGTTGTGAATGCTCGTCAAGTTTATGGATGTGAACTATCTTGATGATAGCTCACAACCCCAGATACTTTGCAAGTTTCTCCCCGAGAAGGACAGATATATCCTGTGATTCTTGGGAAGAAACTCGCGAAGGGTTGCGGAGCAAGAGAGCGCAGACGAGGATTACGAGGATGTCATTCGAATAAAGGGAGACAATCCGAGAACGACTCGTTCCCGCATTGCCCGCTGGGTCATTGAAACCTACTCCTATCGTGACAGAAGAAGTGTAGTTCTATAGTACTATTTCTTCTGTCGGGAGTCTATTTCTATAAGCCTATACCGGTCGTATATCCGCAAATCCAGTACAAATTGTGTTGTACTTGTTCACGAGCCAAAGGACGTCCGATTCAGCGACTCGGATTGGCTGACTTGATCTTGTTTGGTAGTAGGATAAGTGTCGCATCCTACCCTACTAAACGAGATTGGTCAATCGCCATCGAATTCGAGTTTCCAAGTACTTTTTTTGCTACATCCCTTCAGACCTTTAAACTCGATCAACAACAGTCACAATTCTACTTGCTGACTACGAAGTAGAGGTCTAGCTAATGTCATGTATCCGTTCTATATTTCTGTGCGCATTTGTTGAATATACTTTGATTTGAGGTCCGTACCCAGCCAGACCTAATCGAATGTAGTGCAAAATGTAATCTTGGAAGCCCCGCCTTCAAGACTACATCATGCCCTACATGCAGACTCATTACGCACGACAGTAGGATAAGGTATCGGTAATTGTGCGTATCCAGATGTACATTTCAACAAATCAAATGAGCTGTGTGGGCAACGCTGGGGTAACAAGTTGCACTTGCAACGCATGGGAATTTAAGTGGAAATCTCATGCACACCAGGGCCCAGCAACCAAGAACGTCGTAGGAACGCTCTTCGAATGATTCCTGGTGAACGAGTAGGGAAAGTCATAAAATTAGCAGATACGATGTACCAATGCAAATACCATGACTCAGGTAGCGAGCGCCAACTATACCAAGACCTTCCTGAGTTGCCACGCCTTCGCAGGGAGGAGCGTTATCGGGCAATTACCATGTTGCTCGACGTGGTCGTGTGCGCAGCGGTAGCAGAATACGTAACCAGACGGCAATGCTGTGGCATTGTGAATGGGTTCTTTGCAGAGCGGGCAGTGTCCGTATTTCGTGCTGTCGATAGTGATCCCTGCAGGGTGAGGCGGAAGGATCTGAGGTGGAGGGACAGCTGGACCGAGAGGCGATATGGATAATGACCGTGCAGGGGAGCCCGGGGAGTACCACCATTCCAGGAATTTGATGAAGAAGATGGCCGTAGGCAAGAGAAGCCTCAAGGAGTCGAGTAGTAATTGGGGTGATCGCAGCAGGAGCCGTCGGGCCACAACTAAAAACCCGCTCTTTGTTGGGGGTATAGCATTTTGCTTCACTTTGTGTGCGAGCTGTCCAGATGGCATGAGTGTAATGCGAATGACTGGAATGCTAAGCTCACAAAGTCGTCCATACTGAGTCTTCTGAGATCGGCTCCTATCCAAGCTAGCCACGGGCGGTAGAATGGCGTACGATCGAATAAATAGGCTACATTATGGGCGAGAAGCCATACTTCAAATCCGGTATTGAACCACGGGTACAGTGTTTTGAACTTTCTGCGTAAAACGCCTGCAATGCTCTTGGAATGCCTGTTAAGTATTGCACTATCGTAAAACAGTACTGCTCACCTCGTCTGTGAGTTCTCGTATATGTCTTTCACTACCTCCATCCTCCAGGATATCAGAATCGATGCCTCCACCGAGCGACTCGTAGTAGTCCTGCCCTTTCGCTCGTAGATAAGGCACAGCAATCTGGGTTCACAGGGTGAGGGGTTGTCTGATCGTCACCGAGGATCTTACCAGGAGAAATAACGACCGCCAAATTTCGCGACTTCTGAGCTTCTCACCGGCTGGTATTCCACCAACAGCAGCTGTTGCTCGTTCGGTCGTTATCCAAGGTTTTCTGCGTCTTTTCAGACCGTAAAAATTCTCAGAAAATGATGCATCTAGCAATCGTACTCGAGTTCACTATGTCAACTTGCCAGACCAATATACTCACTGTGTTTGCGGAGATAGTGGCGTTCAACGAAAAGCATGATGAAGGCATAAAACTCTTCATGGCGGTTGACTATACGAATCAGATAACGAGGGTAGCGTTGAGCGAAGACCTGGCGGGGGTGAGTGGTGCGGTTTTGTTGTAGATTGCAAAGACTTACTGCGAGTACATACTTTAGAGTAGGTTGAAGCAGGTCACGAAGCTGCTCTTGAGCAACTAATTCGAACAAGGAGGGCTTGAGCGGATCTCCGCCCACGTCATTGAAGAACTCCATGCATGTAGAGTGGTGGTCTTGTTCAAGTTGTTGATTCCGGCTATTCACAGGTTTCACGTGGCGTCCTCGACGATTACCGGGAAATGAACGTCGAACGATGACAGACGCTTAGGGCGACTGAAGTTGATGACGGCCGCAAACTGCAACAGTCTCTATCCTCTGTCGAAGATTCATTGCAAGCTTGCTTTTATGGTATACTAGTCGTCTATACGCCAGCGGGATTGAATATATGATGGTTGATTTGTCCCTTCGCCTGAATTGTTTGAGCATGTTCAAGTTCAATTTTCTTGCATGTAATTGCCTCCATCTGGTATAGAACAATATTCTCTACTCCCAAGGTCCGTGGGGCACTCCGCCTCTTATTGTTCTTCTTGACACCTCATTGTACATTTTTCATTCTCATGTTTACCTCCTTCCATTCAATGATACCCTCAGACACTGAACTCGCTTCTCAAGCACTCACCGAGGAGGGCAATTATCGGTTTCCATCATTCTCAGCGTCTGACGCGGTCACGCTTGGTTTATCTCTACGCAAACGCTTCCGTGCGTCCTCTCGACATTCAAAAGGCAAAGGCCTCGTCATCTCTATACAAACTATCGCGGGTCATACATTATTTGCATGTACCGTGGGCGACCTTGGTCATCCAGCCGGCGTTGGGGATGTTAGTTTGAATAGTTGGACAAGTGTGGATGGCATGGTTGAAGTCGTGAGGCAGACTGGCCATTCGAGCTATTATGTCGAGAAAAGCATGAGCGCCATGGGCAAGTCAGCAAAACAGCTGGGGATTCAAGGGGACTATATTATTCATGGGGGAGGTGAATAACTTTCGCTATATACTTCTGGAAACGACAGGCTCAAATTTGATTCCGCTCAGCGTTCCCAATCTGGTTGGACGTTAGTATATGTCTTACTTGTTTATGAATTTGAAGAGCTGATTGAGGCTGGACAGAACGCCCATTGCTGTCCTATTGCTGTCGTTGCTTGCTACTCAGGTTCAAGCCAAGAGGACCACCACGTATGTCCCCTTCCAAACTCACTCGATCCAAGATTCACATACCAACCATTAGCTTGTGGTAACAACTGTACGCGATTATCTTCACAAAATCAACAAGTCAGAAGGTGCACGAATGTCAGCCTCATCTGCTCTTGGGACAGAGATGCATGCGCCTCTCCCGTCTGTACCAATCCGGGAGAGCACGGTAAGCTCATATCAGCGAGTCGAGGTTCGCCAGTTCATTAGCGAGTAAAGGCATGGCTCACAGATCCATCACACCATACGCTTGGTATAAGAAGGCGGTCCGAGTCACCATTTGACCACCATGACGAGTGAGGATACCAATAAATGTAACATAAATTATCGAGCGGGGTGAGCGGTGGTGTGTAATAGTTATACCAATAAGACGGGTAGTTATGATGGTTATAGAACGACATGCACTACTCCTGGGTCTCGCTGTGCGAGGGAGCCTGTCTGATAACCCGTATGGTTTCTACACATAAGAGTCAGTTACGCAAAGGTTGAAGTAAGAGCGAGGCAGTATACCGTGTCTAAGGAATATTTGTCTTTGGGCCTGCGCTGAAGATGGGTCTGCGCTTGGATCTGGGTCACGAAGCTCAAAGTTTGCCTCAACGTATACTTGGGCCCCTTTCTGGAGAGTGCGCAAGTAATTGGTCTGATTGGGATTAAAGCAAATGATGTTATGCCACGTCGTTCCAGCCTCTTGACGACCTAAGGCAAGAATTCAGGTGATAATAATGCACGAAAAACCAGATTCACTTACTGCCATCGGGGTTAGGAGGTGGAGGGGGGTAGTTGGTGGTTGCAACGGTATAGCTGAAAACAAATTCAGAGGAATGTCTCGGGCAAGGCATAGAAGACTTACGACGCGTATTCTTTGTCACTCTTGGTGGTACGAACTTCAGGGTCTTTGCCTAGTCGTCCGATGAGGATGAGCTTGGAGACATCGTAAGCACGCGTCGAAGTTGTAGAGAAAGCCTTGAAAAATTCGTCAGCGCAAAACCATTCTTAGAGAGGCCTATCAACTTACGCGACGCGGCGCGCGAGCAAAAGCATGACGGGCAGAGGAAAACATAATTCCGGTCTTTCAAAACGCGTTCTGGCAAAGCAAAGTTGAAGTATCGATTTTATGTGACGATATAGAGGTGTTTTGTTTGTGCTTGTTTGGTGACTTGGCCAGTTTACAGTCGCGGTAATATTTAGGCTATTCAATATTGAACTATTTCTCATTCAATATCCTTCCCAAATCTTTGTACATATCTCCATCTGTAATCTTTAACATGTCCAGACATAGGCTTGTACGAAATATGAACATCCATGGTATGCACCAATCATCCTGATGGCAGTTTGATTTGAGATTGATTGTGCGACTAGATGAATTGGATGATGATGCATTGTCTGATGGAGGAGACGAGCTCACTCCTGAGCAGCATGGTGAATGGCCCGATATCTGTGCTTGTGATGCACGCTGAGTGTCTAATACAGCTCAAATGGCGTTTTGTCTTGAACAAATCAGAGAGATCATCGGAGATGAAGCATCCTCAGGCTTCGACGATGACTTCATCAAGGAAACCCTATGGGACCAGTACTTTAGTGTAGAGAGCAGCTTATCGTATCTGTATGGTGCGTAATACATCAACCTCTTTATCCTCGTGTCTCTCACTGACCCAGTCTTAACAGAGGAGCAAGGCCGGAGAGCGTCAGCCAAAACTCGTAAAGGTAAGTTTCGATGTGATCTCTCATTTGTAAATAGTCTTGCATTCGCTCTTCTACCATGTTGTTGTTACCCCCCGTTTTGGATCCCGTTTATGGAACCGACTACGCCGTAGACGAGACGAGGAACAGGAAGGTGCATGTCATCCCCACAATCCCTGCGTCAGCCTTCGTGCAGTCAGGAGCTAAATGTGTTTCAGTGCTACCGGACCGTAGTGATATACTACCACCAGCAGGCGAGGGGGTCCATGATGAACCACAATACGTGGCTGGACCAACAGGCTACGAATATTACGATGGCGATTTGGACCGACCCCGAGTTCCTCTCATAGTATTAGCACAGCAAGGCCAACACGAAGTCTACTATCCTGAGGAATATCCGGATGAGGTTGACTCGGATGATATACCATTGGGCGTCATGTCACGCGGCTCGAGGCTCAGCACCATTACGGAGATTACCGAAAGGACTGAACCCTCTCGCCACTGGCCCTCAAAACAGCAACTCGTAGCTTTGAATAATCCACGTGCATCAATGATCACTGATACCACAACATCGTACGGAGAGGTTATCGGTAAGTGTTACTAGTAAGGATTCGATTGATGTGACTGAAACCAGGACAGATACTCGCGAGCGCAGTACCGTAGCAGTGGAATATCCTGAGACTGCGATGGACCCAAATTTCATTCCTCCATCTCCATCACCCTCTGCAGTACGACGTCTTTCGAACTACGAAGCCGCGCCGTCACTTGCTACATCGGTATCACAATCTGATGTACGCACAGAGCTGCTTCCGCTTCCAACAGAACGTGCAACATCGCGTGCAAAATCATCAGTTATTCCTGTACCACCGATGGATACTCTTCCCGAGATTTCCGATTTCCAGTCGAAAGCGAGCGAAAAACCACTCCCTCCGAAGCCTCCAGCCAGCATTAAGCCCTCGAAATTATCCATGCTTGCGAGTTCTCGTGCAAGTACGAGGAGTTCTCGCTCATCAGATTTGGAGACGACTTCAGTGCTTACTTACCCCGCCTTACGACCTACTGCTGAAAGCCGATTATCATTCGCAACCACTATAAAACCCCCACCTGCAGAGAAGATGCTTCCTTCTATAAAGGCCCCGTCTACCACCCCTTCTTCCATGTCTGGGCATGTCAAACAGGCAATCCAGACAGCTTTGGAACTAGAGGCTCACGATCGTGAAAGAGCTGTGAGACCCGCTCCAATGAGCGAGTCGAGCGTGGCGCCTAAAGCATCGTCAGTTTCTATTGTCAAGCCAACGGTGCCACACTCGCCACCTCGAGCTGACGCCACTCCAAACTTGCCCATCGTGCGCCAAGAGGTTGAAACAAAGGCTCGCCCTCAGTCCAAACTCGCAGCGCTTGCCCAGGCGAAAGCCAGTGCCAATACTAGCCTCATGCCGAAGCTTCCAAAGTCCCCGCCTAGTTCGCCTCCGAAGGAGCTTCCTAAACCTCACACACAATATTTCACGCCAATCGCAAATGGAGCCACAGCTACTACTGCTATAACCACATCCTATCAGTCACTCCAAAGTCTGTCTAGGCCGCAGGCTCAAGGGCCTGCATCGTTAGTCCAGATGCCTGCAGAGCCCAAGCAATCTAAACTGGCAATGAAGGTCAAGAAAGCGAGTGAAAAACCGCAATCTACGCCGCCCGACGACGATACCGTTTCCCGCGTCATCATACCGTCACCTCTATTCATACCAAAGCCAACTAACCCTCGTGCGTCTCCCTCGGCATTCGCTTCTTTACTTCTAGATGATCCTCTAACACCCTCATCTCCCGAAGACAATGACACGCATTCAGCTCGCAAGTATGGAAGGGAGGTGCCGCATCTTGTGAAGGTGTATGAGGCTTCCCATTCACAGAGCAACTCCAGCCTCGGTCTCTCACAGTCCCAACGACACAAGTCATCTCGCCCTAGGGTTGCACCGCCGGGGATGAAGATGCACTTGGGATTTGCATTTGACGTTCCAAGCCCTGACGATATCGTGTTCAACGCGCGTCGGGGGACTTCTCTTGCCCACAGACGGTGAACAAAGCTTTGTTCCCAGTTCCACCCGCCATTCCTTTCTTGTATCTCTCTACTCGCATTTTTATTTTATTCATTCGTTTCTCTGGAGGACTTGTTTGTTTGTTGTAGACTAAGTTATGGGCTCTAATGGAACTTTTTTTGCTGATTGTCACTTCAGCCGCGAAGGAACGCGAGAAGGCGGAGAAAGCAATGCAGAAGAAAGTAGCGAAGACACCTTCGTCTGGCTATACCACGCCGGTTTCTCAAGCAACGTCTCCTGTGAATACACCGAGTAGAGCCTCAAAGAAGGCTGGTATGGGTGCGAAGAAGTCGAGAACGATGACTCCTCGCGATACAGGGGGTTTGGATGCTCGACTACTCGACATGGCCGCGTTGAATTTGTTACCAAAGAAAGAAGAGCTGATTGATGAACCTCCTCCGAAAATAGTACTGGAGCGTGGAAAGCTGTTGCAAGAAGTTCGGAAAGTCCTTGAAGGGCAAAGAGGTGACAAAAAAGCTGTTAGCTTGGTCGTGATTGGTACTCAGTTTCGCTGGCATTTTTAAGTGATTTTTTGTTGATGCTGAGTGACAGGACATGTCGATGCTGGAAAGTCGACGCTCATGGGTCGTTTGCTCTATGAGCTGGGGAGAGTCGACGAAAAGACTCGTGTTGCTAATGAAAGAGGTAGCAGTAAAGCTGGGAAGAGTAGTTTCAGCTGGGCATGGGAGTTGGATGGGACCGTCGAAGAACGAGAGAGGTCTGCATTTCTCTGTTATTTCACGTGCACGTACCAACTGATCGGCAGAGGAATCACGATGGACATTGCTTTACAATCGTTGTCAACTCCTCAACGACAGGTCACCATTCTAGATGCCCCTGGACACAAGGACTTCATCCCAAACATGATTTCCGGAGCCGCGCAAGCCGATTGCGCGTTACTTGTAGTCGATGCTATCACTGGGGAGTTCGAGGCAGGTTTCGATCGCGGTGGTCAGACTCGTGAACATCTGCTGCTAGTTCGGAGCCTCGGCGTATCTCAAGTCATTGTGGCAGTCAACAAATTAGATCAGGTTAGTTCAAGGTCTCACGATTCCGCGTCTTTTATTATCTCACAAATGGTTGCAGGTCAATTGGGATCCGAGTCGATTTGAAGAAATATGCGGGTTGTTACGTGCCTTCCTTGTTCAGTCTGGGTTTCCCTCTTCGAAAACGAGCTTTATTCCAGTAAGTGCCATGCTTGGCGTCAACCTTGTCAACTGTACGAATACCGATGCTTCGGCACTGTCTAAATGGTACAAAGGCCCTACGCTAGTTGACTTGCTTGGTGAGCCATTTTGCACTGTACTTGCCTTGATATACTCATTTACATCCAGATAAACTGGAGCCCCCCACTCGCGAAATTGCCTCTCCATTCAGATTGCCAATATCCAATGTCTTCAAGGGACAAAGTTCCGGAACGGGCGTAACCGGTCGTATATGCGGTGGCGTTGTGCAAGTTGGAGAACGCCTTCGAGTACTTCCGGGAGATGAATCTGCGATCGTTCGACGTGGGTTCCTATACTTGTTAGTGCTGTTGTGTGGATGTTGACCGATGTTCAGTTATCGATGTTGAGGAACAGAGCGTGCCTTGGGCAGCAGCTGGAACCAATGCAACTCTGTACCTGACTTCCATCGACCCTATCCATCTGAGCATCGGAACCGTTCTTTGTCTGCCATCAGATATTGTGCCATTGGCTACAGTCTTCACAGCTCGAATCATAGTATTCGATATCCAACTCCCAATCACTACTGGTGCATCAGTACGTTATCTAGATCCCCTTTATTGCATCTCATAACCCCAGGTTAGATCGAGCTATTCCATCACTCACGAGATGTACCTGCCACGATATCAAAGTTGATAGCTACTTTGGACAGAGCTTCTGGGGTAGTAACAAAGAAGAACCCTCGGTGCGCTTCGTGCCTTTTTTGTCTTACCGGGGATTATGTCTAATCTTGCACCCAAGGGTACTGACCAAGGGTATTTCTGCTGAGGTGGAGATTAGCCTGCGTGCCGGGACCCTATCAGGTCCTGCACTCAGCGCTCGCCCTATTCCATTGGAGCCGTTCTCCGTGAACAAAGACATGGGAAGAATTCTCGTTCGACGGGGAGGTGAGACAATAAGCGCAGGTGAGCCCTTGACCCTCGTAGCTATCAAGGTTCTCAACACTTTGTCAGGTATTATTGTGGACATTATCTCCTGAAATTAAGACAGTATCACGATAGAAATGCAAATACAATGCCACTACTTATGTACAACAGCCACATAAATCCCACAGGAATTCTCATTAATAAAAGAGAACAAGTCGCATAATGTTGAAAGGAATGGGAAGTCGTGAGGCTGTAAAAGCGCGGGAAGTGTGAAGAGCTATCATAATCAACGTGCGGTAAAAGAATCTACTTCTTCGTCTTCTCCTTGTGAGAGAAAAACTCTCTCAATTTGGCGAAGAGTGACCGTCGCTTCTTTCTCGTGCTTGCAGTGCTGAACTTGGATGATGGTATCGCAGTGGAGTCGGTGGCAGTGGATGCCGGGAATGAAACCTCCTTTGAATCTTTGGGGTCATCATTTGTCGAGGGCATCGACGAGGTGATAACTTTAGGGGTATCTTGAGGCTCGGGCACCGGCAAAGATGGCTCATTGTTGGGCATGATAAGCTCAGCATCAAGAGCAGATGCATCAGTTGTTTGAGCAGGGTCTGGATTGACGTCAATCTCAGATATTGTGGAAATGACCGCTGCGTCTGAAGGGGGCGCGACTGCATCCACAGGTAATTCTCCATTCTTCTCTTCGGCTACCTGTGCTTCCGAACTCTCTCCCTCTGTAGGTTTGCTATCCTGCTCTCCAGCTTGAACTTCCTGTGTTATGGAAGGTGTTGGTTTGGACAAGGGTATAAGAGAATGCGTCGACGGCTCGAGAACAGAAATTGTTGCATCCAATGAATCGGAGGACATAGGATCACTTGCATCAATTTCCCGATTTGGTGACGCAGATTCGTTCAACATGTGATCGTTGACAGGTAAGATAAGGATAGGGACGACGGGCGCGATTTGCGGCGTGACCTCAGTGACGTCAGGGGAGGGAGCTCCCTGAGCGCTGTCTGTTGGTGCCTCGGCAACGATCGGCCCAATGACCGAAGTGGTTGATGGTTGTTCGGTTGTGACCTGCGCAATGAAAGGAACAGAGGTCAGCGTCGAAAACAAATTCTGTGCTGTTGCATTTACCAGAACGTTAACGTTGTCCGTCGAAGCACGGGGCGTGCTCGAAAACATGTAACTGATGCCTGAGGAAACATATTCTAATGCGCTAGCAACTTCTTCTGAAACGTGCGATGCCGCGCTCGTTGCAGTGTCCACAATTGTATGGAAAGTGTCAACCTCACCGCTCAATGCGGGAGGTTCAGCTGATTCGACGATAATGTCGGGAAGATGGATTGACATGACTTCCTTGTCAGAAACGCCTGCATCGTCAACGGCGCTTGTGGCATCAGTGGAATCAGATTCAGTGATTCCACCTTGTTGATCCGCTTCCAATGCCTTCTGCGGGGAGGTCTCGCTAGACAGTAACAACTCTTCAGGTAATGTGGTGGCTGAAGTCATGGAGTCAGTGGGGCCTTGGGGAGCAGTGGTTGATGGGTGTTCCATTATAGGAGCGGGCTTAGAGGGCGCAATAAGAACATTATTAAGGTTCCCGGCACCATCTAACTCTGTTGGGCGGTCATTGCGGGTGACCCATTTTCCGTCCACAATGAACTTATATGGAACTTTCTCATTCCAGGGAACCCTGACATTGCCTACGAAACCAGATGTGCCCTTGGGCAGATGCATAGTGCAGGACCACTACCAGGATACGAAAGTAACGAAACTGAGCCTGCGGCGGACTTTGGGTAGGTAGGGAAGCCACTTACGTGGTCGAATGAGCCAGTTAAGATCACATCCGAAGCATCACTGTAGGGCCTGAGAGTAGAAGGTGAGCACAAGCGCTCATCAATTTGGAGACAACATACCACGAGAATTCGGCTTCATGCAAGTCGTCCATGGCGTCAGACGAAGAGTAGAAGGAGGGAGAGAACAACCTGCAGGAAACCCTGCCGTAAAGTCCTCATGTTGGCAATGATTCAAGCCGAGCCGCGAAGTGTCACGCTGAGTCGTGACAAAATATAAATGTACCTAGACCTATGTAAGTAACAACCTTAACGCTTGGTACAAAATGAAGAAAGCGCAAACGGCCATATCTATTCACTATCAACGGCTCCCCTTCTTGTCTGCTCTCCATTCCTTGAACATTCCATCAAGGCTCTTGTATAATAGGTGGGACGGCAGACATCGAATTATCTCACTCATCTTCTCCTCTGCCTCTGCCTTTCCCTTATCACCAGAAGCCTTCCGCGCAAAGTCCACTGACATGTGGAACAACGCTAGTACCGCCAACGATACGTGCGTCTGCTGGGCACCGTGCGACGAGGACTGTGAAAGAGCAGCCAAAAGTGGCCCCGACACGCTCGGAGCTGATATCGCAGGCGTAGATTGGGAAAAGGGGGTGGCTCGCTCGCCTCTGACCAGCCTGAGAAGAATCTCCATCATGTTATCTACCTCAGTCAAATGCGTCTTCACGAAGCGCTGACGTTCTGTGGGAACACCAACAGGGGAGTTTACTGCCCACCCATCCAGCACTGTCCAGATCGTCGGAGCCTTAGAGACAAAATAATCAGGATCGAGACTCCTGTCAAGATAGTGAAAACGAACTGGGTCAGGATCTACAACTACGATCTTTTTTTCCCACCCATCAGCAGCATCCCCTGCTACCCAGAACATTCTTCCAAACATGCTCTTCAGCCACTCCTGAACATCGCCTGACTTAACCCACTTAGGTTCCGATAATGGGCGCTCAGTATCAAGATGGACCATTAAAGTGATCTTTGAAGGTAGTAAAACCTTCGAGAAGGAAGGTAGAGTCTCATCAGTGCTGGACGCTTCAGATAGCGTTGGTAAAGGAGAATATGATTTTGTCGCATCAGAAAGTCCCTCAATCTATCAATCGTGTTAGAGAACATAAGAGTGGACAAACAGATGATCTTACCAAAACGCCCTTGAGGCCATCGTCGCTACCTTTATCGAGTGATATATGGACTTCGATTCGACCCTCAGATCGGTAAACCTTCAAGTATTCGACCACTCCTGCGTCCACGACCAAACGCCTGCTGCCGGCAGCATACGATATTGACAGGCGGTTTGCAGATGGCACTGGGCCACCTTTTGAGACTGCCGTACTCGCTGGAGGGTATGACGGCTCGCCATATGTTGAACCGGAAGAGGTTGACAACAATGTATTCGAAGTAGGAGAGGCAGGGGGCTCAGGAAGGTGCTCTTGATCCGCAGATTCGTTGACACTTTTGGCATGAACAGTGACTTCTTCGTGCTCGACCGAAATTTCGCCGGTAAGCTCTAAGACAGCTTGCTCTTCTGAGTATGTGCCAACACCCATATCCTCGTCGAGAATTGTTGACGCAAGTGACGCCTCTGTTTGAAGGGGATTCGTGTCGGAAATTTGCGTGTCGGATACCTGCGTATCAAGGAACCCAGCATGATCAGCAGACTGTTTCTCGCTGTGAGGCATATCAGACTGAACAACAGGAGGAGAGCCATGACCAGTAGAAGAACTCGTGTCAAAGGAAGAGCTCAAATAAATAGCATGAGAAGGATCAGCTAGAGTAGCTGATGCATCAAAGAGCTTATCAACATTTTCATCATCAACAGGCTGGGTGGCTGGCGAAACATCACCACCCTCTTCAGGTGCAGAAACCAAAATGTCCACGTTCGGCTGTGTAGCGACAGCACCACCATGGTTTACACCAAGGTCAACAGCAGCGACATCTGAGGACGCTGATGGCTTGACTCCTTCAGCATTCGGGACAGCATCATGATTGTCCCCAGCATGTAAGCCATCAGACTGCTCGTGAACACCTCCTGAAGAGGCAATTCCGTCCATGTCAGTACTATGGGGGCCTTTAAGATATACGTTAGTTTGTACAGCCTTGAGCCACGAATGGACGCTCCCCCAAGCTCGAAAGCATCCACCCAAAGCAAAAAATAAGGAAGGTTCAACTCACCATTCCCATTGAGAAAAGTATTCGTAGCAGGAACGAAATGGGGAACACTTGCAGCATGGCTCTCCTCTTCATCCATATCATCAACAGTAGTAGCCGCATCGACATCGGCATCGGCACCTACGTCGCCTTCATCCTCAGCGATAGCGGCCATGAGCCAATCACCTTCACTGGCAGTTTCTGCCACGCTGGGCGCTGCACTTCCGCGGCCCACTCCATCCAAGTCAACACTGATATTATCGTCCATCTGGCTGCTGCGAGGAGGAGGCGGTCTTTCTCGACCTTCCTCTGCATCGCCATCATCATCCTCAAGCTTCTTGCGCTTGCCTTTGCGCGTGTCTGGAGGTGCAGTATACGATGCATTATGCGGAATGGGATGCAAGTCATCGGGAGAAACAGGAGTGTGAAAATAAATGCGGATGCGAGAGGGTGGAGGCGTCGTCAACGAGGACGACTGCTCCTGGTAGGGAGCATCCAGCTTCGTATCTGCCGCGTCTGCTGTTGGTGCGGGTTCTAATTTTGGGACACCAACATGCATGTCCTCATCTTTAACTTGCTCTTGTGAGGATTCCAAAAGAGAAGCGGCGACCTCTTTTTCTTCAGCCTTGACAGGAGATGGTAACACTCCCCACGTCCATCCAAGTTCAGGCATCTCGAGGCCCACAATTTTAAAGTCAGTGAGCGTGCGCCGATTCTCGTCCTTCTTACCGCTGCTTGCAAATTGCGATGCATCACGGTTTCCAAAATTTGTACTACCATCCTGACGGCCTGCACGACCTGAAGTATGTCCTTGTCCTCGTCCACGGAACGCAGCATTGTTTTGATGGTGCTGATGTCCGGTATTGAACGACCCACCTCTGCGATTGTGAAAGTCCTTGTTGAAACCTCCTCTCGATCCGTGTCCACGCAGAGGATTTTGTTGAGCAGGCGGCGCCACCTCGTCCGCTGCCATTGTTCACGAACATGCTGCCGCCTCTGCCACCACGTTGTCCAGTCAATCCTCCCCGGTTTCCGCTCATGACTGCACCTCTGCCTCTTCCGGAGCTCATATTGCCTCCTCTTCCGCCCAATCCACCTCTGTTTCCACCTAGGGGCATCTGATTGGTGCCAGGCTGCCCTTGGCCCTGACCTTGGTTCTGGGGATAAATTCCGACACTTCCCGGCGGTGCAGGAGGCGGTTGAAATTGAGGTTGAGGAGGGGGCGGACCAAGTTGTCGGGTCTGACCGTGGTGTTGATTCGGGCCATCAAACCGTTGACGTTTGGCAGGGGGAAGATGTTGGGGTGGGGTGTGATGAAGACCATGATTATGTCGAGGCTGCTGCTGGGGTTGGGGCTGCTGTTGAGAAAAATATGGCTGCGGAGGGGCCATCGTTTGCGTCACATGCGGGTACGCAGGGGCTGCGATTGGCTGTTGAGGTTGAGGAACATACGGTTGCTGGTAGCCAACGGAGGGTTGATACGGATTGTACTGCTGTTGAGGTGGAGGTGGCGGGGGTTGGACCACAGGCGGTGGTGGCTGATACTGTTGTTGAGGATGACTATGTCTCTGCTGCCAGTGCATGCCCTGACCTACCATAACCGTAATTTGCATACAGAGCACTTTGTTCAGGGGGCGGTCTTGGAGGCTGCTGAGGAGCGGACCATGCTGGAGTATAAGCTGGAGTCGCCTGTTGTTGTTGTTGCTGCTGCTGCTGCTGGGCTGCCGCTACCCAATAAGCGGAATAATCTGGAGGTGCAGCAGGCGGTGGTCCTGGAGGAAGTGGTGGTTGCGGCGGGTTGTATGTCGGTTGCGGTATAAAAGGATTTTTATTCATGACAGAATCCCTGAAGCTGCCGTCGTCGCCGTCGTGGTCGCCGATGGACAGCTTGTCGTCGTCGTCGTCGCTGGTATGCGTGATTACTGCAGTCGACACTGAAAATGCAACGAACACATTCATGCTTATGTCAGCTCCCAGTGACCTTTACACGTCCGTTTTACATATACCTACTATAACCTCGAGTGAAAAAAAAATACAATTACAAGTGTAAAAATAATGCCATAGAAATACAGGAATTGAGATTGATATAAGATCGTCAATTACAAACTGTCCGTCGGCGTGCATGATACTACTCCCTTTCCTGACTTGCACCAGAGGAGGCACCTGACGTGCCCGGGCCCGCGCTCGGACCACCGGTCTGGGTCGATGGGCTTGAGCGCAGCTGACTTAGTTTATCGTGACGTTCACGCTGCAAATGTTAAGCGATTGGTGCATGTCCCCAATATAGCACACCTACATCATGATCATTCTTATCCTTGGCGACCTGATCGATGTGTGTTCGCGCAGTCGAGAGGTCATGTCTGTGTTTCTCTAACTGCTGTTGCTGAGTCTAGGTTTCAAGTTCAAGCGTCGAGAATAGGGTGGAAAAAAGCTACACACATGAAGGCCCGCCTGCGCATTGTGAAGGTCTGCAACAGCTACATCATGCTTGCGGGTGATGGCATGGAGGGAATTGACGGTCTCGAGCTCCAGCTTTTCCAGCTTCCTGACGGCTTTCTCTGCTTTGTCTATGGACTAAAAAATGTCAGGAGTGGATAGAATTCAGGAATCAACACCTTACCTTAGAAGCCTTGGCTTCTGATTTCTCGTGCTTGTACATGTCCTTGAAGGCTGACTGCAATTTCTTTTCCTCAGATTTGGCCTCTATCGAGAATTCCTTCTCAAGCTTCTTCATAGACTCTGGATCTGCAGGAAGTTCTGTAGGTGCGGACATGTTTCTTGGAGAGGAAAGTGTATGATGAACGAGCGATATAGCAGTGATTACCTAGCTTGAAGCCCCTAAGGCAGCCTGAGACAGAGACATATGCCAATTTGATTTTTTCACGTGGCAACTGTGCATGACAACAGAAATCTCGAGAAATCGGCGATCATCGCAAAGAACGATTCGTTCTGGAATCTGGAGTCCTTTTCATCTTACGACCATCTTGCAGATTCTGGCTCCACAGGCGCGAGGTCGTTGTCGATTCTATTCGCTTTACTGGAGGAAGCCTTGAAGCATATTAATATCTGCACCATATTCAGGTAGACCAAATCAGCACTTGCAACTCCCCATCACATCGCGCTCACCTGTTTCTCCCAGAGTCCCTGGTCGAGCACGCTTGTTATCTGATTCCAGTCTCAGTGTGCAGCTAGGAAAGCAATATATCTGTCAGTAATTGCAGCCGATTCAGACTGCCCTGTGACGTGAAGCCGCTAATAATATAATATATGGAGCACGATGAAAGACAGACTCCGTCCTCCCCCTTCATTTGCGCCTCACGATCCGTTGTTTGTCTCTGACGACACCAGCGAAGAGGACCATTTTGTGAACTCCACAACTTCGTCTCTTTTCCAACCTGGTTCAAGCACCTCCCAGCTGGTGCTGGACCGTTATCCATCACAAGATTCAGTTGCATACCGTTCCCAGGTCAATTTGATGAGCGACTACGAAAAAAATGTCCACAAGTCACCACAAAGCAGCAGACAGGAAAGCGGGGACTCGTATCCATCTCAGGTCAGCATTACGCAGGCAGAGACTCAGAAGCCATCTGTCCACTATCACGAGGATGTAATTTCACCACCCGCTACTGGAAGTTACCTTGGATTTCCCAAATCAGACTCACGTCAATCTTCGGACGATGAAGACGAGGAAGACGAGTTCGATTGGAGCGGTGACGAGGATCTCAACAACGAGGAAGCCAAATTCGAGAAGAAAATGGGTGTGAAAATCAAACCTCGTGGCTGGGGCATTATTAGGTATGTTTGCCCAGGATGTATCCTTCTCCGACCAACACGAACATTACAGGCTAGTCACTTTACTTTTCTCTTCTCTCATCGGGTCCACCTTCCTTGCGGCAGTCCTAATCACTCCCGCACTCCTTGTCCATTTCTTCTGGTACAAGCCACATCCAACAGACTACAGGCATTTTGTCGACATCAATATCGAGGCTTGGCTCTTCTGGGCAGCAGCCAATGTCGTCATTTCTTGGGGTCTCGCAATGGTCATCGACATTGTACCTGTCATCACACGTGTGGCGATCGCAGTCACATGGGGTCATGTCTCAGAGACTGTTAGAACGAAATTCGAGTTGTATGCCTCGATCAAGGATACCATTAAACCTCTATTCTATGCCGCAAGCGCCTGGCTCAGCTGGAACATTCTGTTCCAGAATATCTTTAAGTTGAATGACTCATCTAATGCCCAGACTTATGCTCGCTACACGGATCGTGTGAGCATCATTCTGTCTTTCTTCATGTTCTGAAGTTTATTGAAATATCAGGTCGCTCAAGTAATCGAATTCCTGTTCTTTTTTACCCTGGTGATATGTATTCAAAGGATGCTCTCTCATGCTATTGGTGAGGTCACCTGATTGGTGTCAAAATCATAAGTCTCATTGCTCTCAGCGTTTGCATTCCATAGAACTGCGTATAAGGAACGTCTGGATGAAGTTAAGAAAGGTCTTCAAGTATTAGAAACGCTTCGCGGCTACAAGCCCAAATCATCGGCCCGTCACAAGTCCCATAGCTCCCATCCGATGTTTGCGACCTTCACTGGGCTCAATCCGTTCAGCGACAAAGAACATTACAATATTCTCAGTAGCAGACTGCGCTCGGAGAGCTCCGTACCAAGTGAAGGTGACGAAGCGGATACGGAGGACGGAGCAAAGCTGAGGAAGAAAAAGGAAAAGGGGAAACATAAGCAGCACAATTTAACCTCGGAAGATCTCGAGTCTTCAACCATTACGCCAGAACAATTTGCTTCTGTCGCCACAACGCCAGCTACTCAGTCCCCGGTCGAAAAGCATACGACTCACAAATATCCTCCTACCCCTTCCGTCTCACGTTCTGTTGACCCACACACTGAAGATCACACCATTGTCGTTCAAGCAGCGAAGGCGTTCAAGACTGCTGTACTGCACGATGCCCGGAATATCAAAGGCGCCACTAATGAGCTTGATACGTTGGTCTTCAGTGTGAGCTCAACACACGAAGCAAAAGTAGGAGCATTTGGAACTGCGTTATATGTACGCTAAAACTAACTTGGACGTTAGCGTCTTGCCAGGGCAATATACAGGACTTTCAGAGACCGCCGGCATACTTACCTCGTGCCCGAAGACTTCTACCCCGCATTCGCTACGCAGGATGAAGCTGAAGACGCTTTCCGGGTTTTCGACAAGGACAACAATGGTGACATATCGCGATCTGAGATCAAGTCGTCGCTGCTTCGCATGTACAAGGAACGTCGGTTCCTGTCGCGCAGTATGCGTGATGTTAGCGCTGCGCTCAAGACACTCGATCAAATTTTGCTACTCGTCGCTCTTGTCATCTTGTTCTTCATCTCGTTGAGCATTTTCGGTGTCAATGTAACCCAGTCCTTGACGAGTGTATATTCCCTCGGTCTCGCAGCCAGCTTCATCTTCAAGAACTCTGCGAGTAATGTCTTCGATGCAATCATGTTCCTGTTTGTAACTCAGTGAGTCACGTGGTTGTATGCACTTGAGTTATCAGGATAACCCTCTCGGTCAATAGTCCCTTTGATACTGGTGATCGATGCTTCATCGATAGTAAGCCACTGAATCGTGAGCTGAGCGTTGTTAATGATGTTTTCGTTTTCGTTTTCGTTTTCAGATGAGAATCTAGTTGTTAAGAAGATGAACTTGTTTGCGGTATGTGCATTTACCTGTAATGGATGCACAGTCCTCCTGACGCCTTCTTTATCAGACGGTATTTGCTCGATCAGATGGTACTGAAACATATTACTTCAACAGTCAGCTATTCACGAAGTTCATGTACGCATCCGAGCATTTCTTGCGTGCCAGTGATATCTGACAATGCCTACAGTACGAACGTCCGCCGTAGTGATGTACGAGCTTCTTGTACCTCCTCTGAATGTGTTGTACTGATTACCCTGGCAGAAAATGGCGGAGTCTTGTACCATCCAAATTGCTTGGCGTACACCACAAGCAAAGCTAGACGCGCTTGAGGAAAAGCTGAATATGTGGCTTTCCACGGAGGAGAATAGGTGGTTCCAGCCGACCACGTCGGTCGTATTGCAAAACATCAGTTACCAACGCTATCTAGAGTGTACTATTGGTATCTCGCACAATTCGTATGTTTGTTTTCATATAGGAAAGAAGTACAGAAGCTGATCATGTTTTTCAGAACGTGGCAGTAAGTTGCGGAGAATGTGGGTTGAGTGTGTTTTGTTGATGACTTCCTGCAGAGACTGGGGCCTCCGGAATACGCGCAGGACCGCATTCCACGCAGCAGTTCAATTTTACTGCCAGGAATTAGGGATCACCGCATATGAGGCACCTATGCCCGTCGCATATGCAGATGCTAACACACAACATTATAATGCTCCTCAAGAAGCAGTACTACCCAATATCTTTCCAGACATTCAGTCTCCTGGCAGACGACGTTCCCCTGATGCAAGTCGAAAGAGTTTCCTTGGTTTCACACCTCCGCGAGATCAAGGTACTCATTTGACGCGTGCACACAAACGTGTGCGCAAAGGCAAGAGTCGTAAAGCAGCTGTGCGAGGAGTGGGTGCGGACGGTGGTGGAAATGGTTGAGCTTTATCCTTTCTAAGTCTCGACCGCGCAAGACGGTTTGTTTGAACACTTAAATCCCCGACTTGTATAGCAACTCTGTTAAGGGACGTGTCTGAACCAGATTGTCTGTGTTGGTGGTGTGATTGGGATCTAGATCATTTTCTCCTGTTATATGACTTTCAGTGACGCGATTACGTTGTTTTTTTTGTCGACAGTCATCATTCTCGTTATCGATTCATCTTTCGGGACGTCAAACACTCCTCGATCGCGATTTTGAATACTAAATTTCGTTGCAATCTGTCTGACTCTTTCTTGGATGGTGCAGGTTCGAGATTCGCCAACAAGAGCAATTTCTTGACTTGAAGGTCCATTTCAACCAGTCTTAGTCAAGCGGTTATGACGATAGATTAGAAATCTGTTCCTCGTGCGGTGCCGGCTCGAAACCTGCCAACAACAGTTTTTTTTGTGTGGGCACACCTTCAACGTTTCAACGTTCACTCATCGGTAGATCCCTTGAGACGGTATTAACTATCCATAGTGAACCCGAAATGGTCGCTCTAGCTAGACAGATCCGAAATCTGTTTCGCAGGTTCGAAACCCATTAACAACAGCTTTTTCTACTCAAAAGGTCAGTATTAACAATTCATAGCCTAGTAGTGGTTTACCTCAACAGATTAAAAATCCGTCCCTCTTGCTCTGGGGGATGCTGGCTTGAAGCCTGCCGATAACATTTTTTCTTTAGTATCACACCTTGGGCATTCACTAACAATAGGTTGACCCTCAATTGTCTGTCTTCAGCGGTCATCACCGAAGTGGTCAAGTATCAAATTTGAAATGTGGACTTGGAGTGATTCATGCCAAGTGGTTAGTGCAACAGATTTAAAATCTGTTGGACCCCCTTGGACGGCGCAGGTTTGAAACCTGCCAGTAATTTTTTTTCCGGTTGTGACTCAATGACACCTGGAGATTCACTCATAGACAGGGTTTCTTAGAGGCCCATCTTGACCAGCCATGGTTGTCCCCCAACGATGTGAAATCTGTTGTTCTTGGAGCTGGTTCGAATATTGCGGATCTCTTTTATCTGTGATAGCCACTAGTATTTGGCTGTAAGTCCATGACAAGGGGTTCACTTTATCTCTCATAAAAATGATATACCCTCAACTCTCACAGTATGTACCTGTTGCCCTAGGAAGTTTAGGTCTGGTGTGCACAAGTTGTGCACCGCTACGATTTAGCATCATCGATTTTTGTTCACAGTACTAGCACTATGGCAGTTTTGCTATGCTTGAAATAAACCCTAACCACGATGTGAATCCTATCATGGGGCGTGACATCCGATATCCGACACTGACCTTGAACGCGTCACCTACAAACGACCGCGTAAAGCATCCAATATCAGTTCACTTCGTCTACCCCCATCATGGTACGTGCAAGGTCTATGCTCTCCGTGATCTTACTGCTGAAAGATTCCCTAGTTTCGGAACACATACGACTCTGATAACACTGTCTTCTCGCCACAAGGTCGTCTCCACCAGGTCGAGTATGCGCTCGAAGCCGTGAAACAGGGATCGGCGGCAGTGGGCCTGCGATCGAAGACCCATGCGATCCTTCTTGCTCTTAAGGTCAGTAGATGCTAATTACTTCATGACGGCTCTTCACAAAGTGTCTATACAGCGTTCCACAGGCGAACTCGCTTCCTACCAGCAAAAGATGTTCCGCATAGATGATCACGTCGGCATCGCCATTGCTGGTCTTACTTCAGACGCACGAGTACTCAGGTATTTATTGAGTTTTACGGTGTATAGCATGCATTCTGACTTGACTGTAGCAACTTTATGCGACAGCAGGCAATGGGAGAACGTATGATGTTCAATAGACCTATGCCGGTGAATCGTCTCGTCTCTTCCATCGCTGATAGTATGTACTCGAGTGGCTTTTATATGGCTAATGCTCATGTTGCTTGTAGAGGCGCAAGTGAACACGCAGGAGTATGGTCGCAGACCATACGGAGTTGGTTTCCTCGTCGTTGGTCAAGATCAATCAGGACCCCATCTTTTTGAGTTCTCGCCATCAGGAAACTCGTATGAGTATTACGCCATGTCGATCGGTGCTCGCAGTCAGAGCGCAAAAACCTACTTGGAGAAGCACTATGAAAGTTTTGCAGATTGTGTGCTGAATCCATCTTACACCGTGTTCATGTTATTGAAGTTGTTGCAGGCAACCTCGAAGACCTCATTCGGCATGGTCTCCATGCCCTCCGCGAGACCCTCCAACAGGACAAGGAGCTTAACGTGAATAACACGTCGGTAGGCATCATCGGACCCATGGGTCAACATGAAAAGCCCATTTTGCCGCCAGGCAGCTTCCGCATCTTAGAGGGTGACAAAGTAGAAGTATACCTTCAGAGTATGGAGAAGGAGAAGGAGGAAGCACCCGCATCCGTACCTGATGCGGCACCAGCGCCTACTGCTGATGACGATGTACAGATGTCAGGATAAACTAAGATATAATAACAGCCACCTTTCTATTTGACCAATCACAAAAACTGAGGTTCGAAAGACTCAACAACTGTCAGTGAGATACAGAAGTCGTGGTTTGGTCCAGATGCATAATGATAAATGAGTGGTGATGTGTAGCTCTAAAATGTTGGGTCGTGTGTGTCTTACAGGCCAGAGCTCTTTGCCTGCATCCCAGCTTTCCTCCACATCTGTGCAGCTAAGCCTGGCCTACGCAAAGATACTAGTAAGTGCACCATCGTGCTCAGGAGAGCAATGCTTCCTGCCTGATGAGCAGCTGCAATAGGTACAGGGACAAGGTATAACAGTGTTGCAAGACCCAGAAGAACTTGTACATTTGCCATGGCAAAGGCTGCCGTGACAGATTTGCGAGCAAGTGGTGGTAACAGCGCACGGATGGCGGGTCGTCGACTGTAAGCGAAGAGCATGCAAGTGCTGAGATACGTAGTCATCGCCTGTAATCGAACCCTTAGAAGAGTACAACATAGGAAAGAACGAAACGTACAAGAACTCGATGATCGAACTGAACGGTAGTGGGATTCTCAAAGATATTTCTCCACCACATATCAGATCCATCGGCATTCTTTGCATAGGCGGACGAGAATAAATCATCCATGGGAGGTGCAAGTCGGCCACCCATGAGCGGAAATTCGTTATATAGCAGACCGGCGTCCAGCCCAGCAACAAACGCGCCTGCACATAAACTATAATTACACTGAAATGAAAGCCGAAATGAACGAACCTGATAATGCAGTCAAGAAGACCAATGCACTCAGCCCTTTGGACAATCGAGAGAACCTCTTCACAACAGGATTCGAAAGCACGTTCTGCCAATTCATAGTACTGGACCCGCTCCACGAGCCACCTCTGGCGTATCTCCAATCTTTAATCGCCGCTAGCCCAGTTCCAAGCATCCCTGCGTATAGCACCACGGCCGTTCCAAGATGAGCCGCTAGACGGTACTGAGAGACGCGGGGTACTGCGCCTGGCGTGTCCATGATGGAGTCTTCCAAGCCTGATTTCACCATATACCATCCAAGGAAACCCTGAAAACCGATAAGCAGTGCCATGCCCGTCAGTTGCATAGGCATCGAGGCAGTGAGCTTCTTCCGGAGACCAAAGTAAGCCAGAGGGACCACAAATGCAATTCCAATAAGGCGCCCAAGTACACGGTGACCCCATTCCATGTAAAAAATGTTCTTGAATTCATCAAGGGTAATGGAGTGATTGAGACTGTGGTGCGTTCACGAGATCATCCAAGGAGCATGCATGAAAAAGATGCTCACAGTTTAAATTCAGGGGTAGCCTTGTACTTCTCAAATTCAACGCTCCAATCCTCCACATTCATAGGTGGAATAATGCCCGTGATGGGCTTCCATTCTGTGATGCTCAACCCTGATTCGGTGAGACGCGTTACTCCTCCCACCACTATCACCGCGAAAACCATTGCTGATGAGAATAAGAGCCAGCGCCCGACCGCTGGTGGAGCAAGTATAGGTAATTGTGATGTCTGTGCAGCACCATGAAAGGCGTTCGCAGAGAAGAATCGAGGCTCAAGGGAATGAAGAACAGCTGGCTTTCGCTGCGCGACCACTGAATAACACCTCCGGTAGAGCCATGAGTTACAGAGAGGTGAACTTGTGACTTCAGCAGCAAGGCATGACTTGGGCACTGTCCTTCTGGAGAAGTTGACTGGAACAGTTAAAAATGTGCGCGAAGCTTGTAAGCCAAGATGGACTCTTGGACGCAGCAAAGCGTTCACGAAGCTCAGCTGCATAGGAGGTTCCCTCAAGCCCAGACCTGGACTGGTCAATGCGAATATTCAATGTATGTGGCACTGACCTACTTGACCGACTCAAATGAATACGTCGAAAATGCAGATTGAATTTGTGCACAGCCACAATATGCTCGCCGTACTTCCGTCCACACCACCACCATGTTCACCTTAAGGAGGGGACTGGCAGCGTCGCGAGCCCTCCGGAGGTTTTCAACCAAGCCCCATCTGATTCCGCCAACCAACCTTTCTGAAGGAGAGAAGCTAATATACGACAAATTGACCGACAAGTTTTTGCCAACTGAACTAGCTGTGCAGGACATTTCAGGTGGGACTCTTTTACCACTCGCATAGCTCGCGATTAGATTGGTTGACCTGACTGATACTATAATATATCAGGAGGCTGTGGTGACTTCTATGCTATCCAAATAGCAAGCGAGGCTTTTAAAGGCCTTTCAACCTTGAACCAGCATAGACTTGTAACACGAGTACTGAAAGAAGAAATTGAAGGAATTCATGGGTTACAGGTCAGGCGTCGCCGTCATTACCAGAAGTTTATTGACACATGATCTGGTCCCCCAGGTCAAGACCATCCCACCCCCATCAGAATCATAACTTGCTTCCTCGGACACTCACTGTATACCCGATTGTATGGTGCATACGTACACAAGGTGTTGACGGCACTTTATTTCATTTTAGCCATAGAGCAATATATGGGACATCATTACCGAGAATGATCGGATCCCAAGTTACGCACGCTACACTGCTGGAAGTCTACGCCATCGGAGCGCTTATTGTACCGCATCTCTCGAGAAGTAACGGGGTATTGGAATTACTCTAGCCCAGAATAGTGTCGGAGCAGTCACTTGACAAGCCTCATGGCTTCTCACGGCCGCTTTGTAAGAGTTAGAAGCGAGATGGCTTCACGATTGTAAACTTCGCGATTTGGGTCGTCTTCCACCTTACGAACACTTGTTATCAACCTGTTATCAGATTCGAGAAACCAAAAAAGATACATGCCTCTTCCCAACTGAATTTCTTCTTCAACATTGTGAAGAACCGTTTGTCTGCCTACGGGACAGTGCTGGTACGGACAATTCACCAAATCATAGATCTGACGCTCACCTTGCGTCTCTTTTTGTAACAAAACAAAATTTCTGTACTACCACCGATGGCCATCTCTGATAAGGTCTGGACCAAAAGAGGGAAAGCAGGCTCAAAGTAAACACAGTCTGCTGCGAGGATCAGTTCAGGAGGAGGTATGTCCGAGGACAGCGTCTCTCCCCTGTACGAAGTCAATGGTGCACAGCCTCTTTAAAACAAATCATCTTACCAATTGAGTTCACGAACGGAGACACAGGACTGCAAACCATTCAACGTCACATTTTGTTGCATAATACCCAATAACGGGCTGGAAGAATTATTGCTTCACTGAGACAGCTGAAATAAACAATAAGGGACGAACGCTTGATCGGTGATCCAGACTGTACCACCGAGTGCGCCTGCTACAAGACCAACCAGTCCCGTTCCACTACCGAGTTCGACAATCTTCTTGCCTTGAAGATACCCAATGCCCCGAAATGCGATGTAATTTGATAGGACCTGCATCGCATCAAATGTCTTGCTCTGGTATCCAAGAAAGAAAAACCTACCTCACCAGCTGGCCAAGCAATGCCACCACAACCATGAGATGCATCAACCTTGAGTGATATCGACACAAGCGGGGAGTCCGCAGGAAAAGTCAATCTGATCGTCTCATCGAGGATAGATCGCGGCTGTGAAGGTACGACAACGGTATCTCGAGTAGAGTCGCTGGCGTCTGTCCTGAGATGTCGTAAGGGATCTAATGCGTCGAGAGCCTCGTCTAGAGCAAACTCATTTAAGCTTGCTACCGGTTCAGGTGAATTGTCGAATAGCAACGATGTGGGTTGAATTATAGCCGACATAACTGTCCGATATTCGGTTGTAATTTAGACCCTAAGCTACGAACGTTATGATATCTGCCAGGGTCCTGGTCAGGTGCTCAAGCCCTTTCCGGCGGCCCCACTGTTTTTGGAAAGTACTGAACTCTCTTTCAGACACCGACTATCCGCTGAGCACGGTACCTAGTACGGGACACCAGCTGATCATGAAGCTCTTCCTTCAACTCCACAAAGTGCGAGGTTCTTCAGCTCGCTGTCCACTTTGGTGACCGGACCCACGGGAACAGGCCAAGGTTCACACGAAACCAGTGCGATTGAGATCAGAGCGCGCACGAAGCCATGCGATTAATCCTCTGATCACAAGTCGGTGTCACGCCAGTGCCGCAACTATTAGACAATCTGGGAGTCGCTTCGGCAAGATGCGTTTCCTTAGCATTGTGCGAAAGCTCGGCTTGGCTAAAATGATATCCACATCTTTTGATAGAGCTATATAGCATTCCGGTTCTCTTCATTCCCCGCTTTCATGTCATTTACAGAGATGCAGTCACCTCATGCAGATAATCTCGCACCTCTCCCTGTATTCTCTCGGCGGAAGACCTCTAGGTTACGCGGACCGCGCCCATGCAGCTGGCTTCAAACGGGGATAACAATAAAAGAAGAAATTGAAGGGAGCTGGTCATGGACATGTCGGCAGGCCGACCTGTCCAGAGCATCAACAATATGTTCCCGCACCTCTGGCGACTCTAATTCATCCAATCAGTCCAGTATCAATTCCGAGTCCTCGTCCGGCTCATCCTCATACATTGATGATACACAGAGTTCACCATGTGATCACATGTCGTCACGCAGACATAAACGCTCTCAACGGCGAAGACCATCGGGTCCACGCCCTCCCTCCTGTCCACATTCTCCCATGCGACCTACACTTTCCGTCAATACATCACTGTCACCCCCCGTTCCCCTTGAGAAGCCTGTCCTTTCGCTGCCCCTGACAGAGTTCCCACATATAGCACCAACTGAACCCACGACGCCCGCACCCCAGTTACCTCCAGCGATTCCGTTTTCACCCTCAGAAGAACTTGATTGGGACGCAATATTTGAGGTATTGGCTTTAGAGAGCACCACATAGCTTGAGCTTGGAGGTACGAGTTCATAACCAGTATTGCAACGACAAGCAAAGTAACTAATTACTTGGTTGGATAGCAGTTTAGACCACAGATTTTTCGCACTCACTCATATAGCATACTCACACTTTCATCATACATTCATGGTCATGGACACTCCATTTTATGATCTTAATGATTTAATTTTTCTTGCAATCTAATAGGTGGTTCGTGGCTTGTTCAGTTATATCTTTCTTCCACGTTCCTTTTACAAGAACGTGGGCGTTGACAAAAATCTGTACACTGTAGCATTGGCGCGTAAATTGAGGAGGAACGACTACGGTCGCCTTTCTATTGGTGTGCCTACCGGAAGGCTAAAAATAACTTGTGCGAGACCATCGTGCTTTTAATGTACGGACTTGGGTCCTGAACCAACGATAATAGCTGTAGTCTATGGCCCAAGAATACCTCACATTATTCTAGGCAATATCGGGGGAGAAGGGAAAGTCAAGGGAAGGCGTAAGTTGCTTCCCAGACTCTGAATAATCAAATGTTGGACAACCTGTGTACACGGGAGATCGTAGCGCCGCTGACGCACCAGTTCCTCGGCCACTTCCGACTTCAGCTTCAGACTTCGTTGCTAGTGAGCTTTGTCCCGCGCGTTGGCTAATCTCAACAACTTTTATTGGATCCCGTTGTTGGATATCGTCTCCAGTAGCAATCACCCTTAGGTCAATGAAGAACAGATCAGAACTCACGAGTAAGCAATCCAAAAAACGACAATGATGTTAACACCCAACAGTGTGCAGAATAAAAAGTGCCTACTGCGTAGTTTTATTTTTCAATATTCAATCTTGAACCATGGCAGCCAGATTACCACGGGTGCGTTTGCAGAGAACAGCTTTGCTGTAAGAACCTTATCGTGGGAGTCGAGAAAGTTTAATACCAGGCCACGGGATGAACAGCAGTCTCATGGTAAGGATGCCATTGGCACCTGTTTATATGCATATATATTAGTATGTACCTACCAAGTACATAGAGCAGCTGTTGAAATTAGACTGCGGCAGATCCTCCAACTGGATGGTCATTTAGAAGCTCGTGTGCGACACGCATAGTTTAATGGGAATCATAGCAACTGCGCAGGAAGTGTCGCCGTGTGAAGGGCTCACCGGCACCGCCGAGGTGCATACAAACCTCCATGAGACTATTACATATCTATAGCCTTTATGATATCAGCTTGTACTATTGAACCACCACAAAGACTGCTTACTAGAAATTCGTCGGCTGCAGTATGCAGATGGGAGGCTACGGCAACTCATAGAATACTTACATATACTTATGTGCGAATCTCTGACAATTGTTTGTCAAGTATTTCACAAACAATGACACGACTGCTATACTAGGCGTTGACAGTATGTGGGCAGTTCTAAGGTGTGAAAAACGGGTGCCGCAGAACGACCGTGACCAAGAGTCGGTTGGGGGCATGATAAAGCTGAGGGAACGACTTCTAGATACTGTCCCCGGGCATATGCCTAAGGAAGAAGGCTGCAGCGGCGCAGCCTCTTGTAACACGAGGAGCTCGTGTACTTGTCATTGGTGGAGTCCATAATGATGTCCTTGTCACGGTGGCAAATCAAGCCAGGTCGACCGCATTGCAAATTTCAAAAGTCACGTGTCAGCCCATCAAGTTGAACTTGATCCGTGCAATGAGGCTTGAGCGAGTCTTATCCGTGGCACTTCGACCAAGTACTGGACCTTCCTTTTTTCAAGTTCAAGGTTTGATGAGAGACTAGCTATGTTTGACTTAGTGACTTCCCGGCTTTGACAGGATCCGACGAGCGCTGTTTTATTTCGCGAAAACGCGGTAACCCGCTTAAACTTTTACGTTGCAGATTCCGGAGCCCGAGTCGAACTACCGGCGCTTGACAGGCTACAGCGCGTCTATCGATATTATGATTCGTTGCGCACAAGAGGAGCCGCCACCGGTCACATGATACTAATCAGCATGTTTGCCTCAGGGACATGAGCTCTCGTGACTTCATTCAATTTCCGCCAAGAGCCTCGAGGCATCCTTCTGACATACTCCTAATACAAATCACGACAAATTTTTCGGTCCCTCATCGTTATGGCATGCTTTGGCTTCCTTGGAATTTGCCGCGTTTCGAACTTTTAATTCCATCTCTTCGAGAACGGAAGAGGTGTACTGGGTTGATAAGCGGAAGCGGGATGCAGCGCGTCTTTGGTGCTCGCGCATGTCATCTCCGATCGATAAGATCTTTGCACAGCACCCCAACGTTCTGGTTCAAACAGGTTGTCAGTTGATTGAATCCTTATCTACCAAATATCCGAAGCCGGAACAACATTCAAAGTTTTCGCATTGCCAAATCTTGTCAAATTTAGCAAGTCTTTTAAAGGACGGCTGAGGTATTCTGATCGTTGGAATGGGTCTCCTAGCACGGTTTTGGGCTCCAGATGAGCTGTCTGTTATCAGATGTTGCTGCCGAGATCGTCCTCAATCTTGGTAAGACAAGAAGAACTCGTATGGAATTTTGCACAAGCCTCGTCCAGGCTAGTTTCTCCTTACGGCGAGTCACTGGGTCCCGGGGGTTCAGATACTTGAGATTGGAACAATATGTTTCATCCCTCTAGATCTTTATGCCTCACTATCCTCTTTCATGTTCCAGGACCACGCCATATCTCTGGCGATGTTGCAGCCGCGAACTCACTCGCTGTCCGCATTGCGCAACTTCTTGATATCAACCCCACCAAACAACCCCTCCCTATATCACAGTATGCCGGTATCTGATCGTAACCCCAAAATTATCTCTCCTAAAGCACGATCATGGTCTACTATGCGTACATTGACAACGTACGTTCAAGATCCACTCTTCAATGTCTGCGATACTGGGCTAAATCTTCTTCTAGATCAGCAACAGTTACTCCTCGCGATATGTAGCTGTCTTCGCCAGCCGTGCAGTTGCTGACGAGTGGTGGCGTGCCGTGTCCACTTCCACCAATACGAGGTACTCGGACAGTGTCAGGCGTGTTGCCCCCCAGTTCTTTACCCACGACGCCAGCAAAGCCAACGCCGCCTCATCCATCACTGACACCCAAGTCGCATCTAGTTTCTTTGGCAAAGTGTTTTTCACGCTGCTGCCAAATAAATGCGGATTGAGCGTCATTCCGATTCTAGATTTCGCGGATCATGTTAGCGGGAACTCGTGAGTCACTTTGTTGCAGTTTTTCTAATATCCAGCCAACAACAACCGTGTTTAAGATTTTTCATCCGCTCCAGAGTCTCTCCTAACGAGTACTGGTACTGTCCTGGATCGTCGACAGGCAACGTCACGCCTCACTCCCAAGTTTATGTGTCACGTACTGAGCGTACCCGCTTCCGCGTCCGTCTCATCGATGAGTGCAAGGACACTACAGGGACCATCATGATTGGCTCTGACAAGATTGCTATCGCCTTAACTTGTACCAACCTATTTATCAGAGTCTCCCAAACCGGCTTTTTGTTCGTTTCGAAAAGCCCTGACCCAGAGTTGAAGTTCGGTGACCTTGTAAACGGGTTCGGGGTAATAAATCCCTTGCTGGAAAATGAGGATCATTACAAGAATGTAAAGGAACTCTTCAAGATGGATGATGAGGAAGAGTGGGAACTTGCTTGAGCTAGTATCATTTGACTATTGACAAAGCACTTGCATATGAACGCGAAGTTGGCTTTTACTTTTATGATGGGAGCTACGTCAGCTCCTTCTGCTGATACAGAAGTATACCAGATGACGTTACCTGCTAGATATTACGAATCTTTCTGGCAGCCATAATCTCGCGATGCTAAAAGCAAATATCTGACTCTTCTAACGGGATTGTCGACTAATGGCGCGGAAGGTGAGTTTGAAAAGCAGGTTGAGACTGATACTAGTGCCACAGACAGATATCTTGCGATATATGGGTGTGCTGTTTGCTGTCGAATTTCAGTGGCAGGAGGAATGTTGTCAAACTACAACTTGGAGCGCCACGCGCCACCGCCCAAAGGCCTGGTGAATGGTAGTAATTGTTAGTAGTGGAGTGCTAATCACTCACGACTTCACGTCACCACTGGCCCATCTCCACCCTATCCTTCGCCGGACGCGTCGTACCGGGCCTGTTCTTGCCTCTAGGGCACTCAGCTGTGCCGCGTTTAGGCGCCTTGGATATGAAAACTGGTGGGAATGATGGCAACCTTTTTCGGCCAATCAATTGATCACAGAGATCAGCAGCAGATAAAGACAGCCAAATTTTATGGTACGGTCTGGGTGGTTCCGGGCTGTCTGGCTTACCTGCGGAGCAGTGTACACTGCGCAGCTATACCATCATGTTGGTACTACTCGTACTTACGACATTATTGAGCGACCGAGGCTGCAGTAGGTATGCTCGGACGCTCGGTACGTATTTTCCTTACTTATGTTTAATTCTTCCGATTGAGGCTCCTAGCAATGATGGAAGACACAGCCCTGTACGGCATAACTCAACCAAAATTCTAGTCGAACCCACTGCACGCGTGTTGTCCCATCTCAATTTTCTTCTGGAGCTCTGATTCCTCCCAAAGCCTGGTTCTCTGTGTTTCGCATTCTACCTCATCACGACGAACAAGGCCACGATCCTTTATTGGTCTATCAAGGGAGACATGTCACGCGCCCCGTGTCAAGATGAAAGGTAAAGAGCCTAAGTTGAGGCATCCTTTTGATCAATTTGATGCTACAGAAGACGGCGACCTGGACCAGATTCGAATGTTTCAAATCTCCCCCGAGTCTATCATATCACGATATTACTGTCCCATGTAATAAATCTGCCATAATTACAAGGCCGTTGTCCTGGCCGTATTTGTGGATCTTGTATGTGGACTCTCCACGTAGCTTCCGTTGCTTTCGCGTTGATTCCGCCATCGATTCAGTCGCAAGATCAGCTCGTCACGAAAGTTGAACTTGTGCCAGACAGCTGGATAGACTCGGCCGGACCCGGCCGGACTATGCCGTCATTTCCAATTTCCCAATCTTTCTTGAATGTTCCGCCAAGATTCCGCTGGTTGTCGTCTACAGGGAGTACACTTGCCTAAACTATGGGCAGGGAACACGCCTACACCATGCTGAACTAGTTTAACTAGCCAGTGCTACTCTTACCTTGAGGAATTGAAGAACATAGCTTCGTACAGGATCTGCCACCATCAAAAGATTCAAAACTGTCCATGACTGTCCATGTGTTGACCTCGAGGCTCGTTGGAGTCTGGGGACAGCTTGGGGGCTCTTGAAGGTGCCTTCAGTGCTGTAGCATCATGGCTCCACCGTGCCTCCAAGCACATTGGATCAAAGCCAACCCCAGATTTTCATCTCAGCCTGTATCTTCGGTGGTGATCTGAACTACTGGCGCCCTCTTTTCGGTCATGCACGAGGCCAGGTACAGTGGACTTTCGATGCCGCAGCCGGGTCTTCGTGCGTTCGACCACAACCTAGTTTGAATTGTAACATTCCAATCCGGACTACCGTTCCTATCTTCCCACCACCCTCGAGGTTATGGTGCAGAAGCTTACGATACTACTTAAAGTCACTCCAGCAGTATAAAAATCTCTCCCATTTTGTTCGCTTCCACTTCCACTTCCTCAGCATTTCCTCCATTATTGTTACAAAACATGGCATACTCCCCATACGACACCTATGACGGCTATGACGAATACGACTCCTACAGCCGTCCTCGCAAACATTCGCTTGGATACAGATCGACCACCCCTCTTGGTGGCTACTCACCATACCACGATCAGCGGCTGGGCACAGCGTATAGTGACCCGATGATGTACGGAGAGGTGTCACAATCTTTATCCATGTTCGTTATCATTTGCTAATATTCAATCGTGAAGCGTTACCCTTCGTCAACCTACCCGATGTACCCGTCCACACCCAACCACCGCAGCATATATCGGACACCTAATCACAGCTCGCATTATCTCCCGCATTGTAAGTGCTGGACTGTTTGGAGTCTGGATGCATTCAAACAGGCTCTGACCTTTACCAGCGTATGATGATATGGACTACCGTGCTGGAACTCCCGGCCTCTATCCGCCTCTCGTGCAACCCATGGCACTGGGTAGACCATATCGATCATCATCACTATCTTTCTCAGGAAGACCTCCAGCATTTGGGGACCCCTTCCGCAGAAATACCCCCCCTCAAGTTAGATTCAAGCGTAAAGGTGCCTTCCGGAGCGGGATCACCCTTGGTGAAGCACAAGCCAATGTTCGATTGGCTGGGTACGACTCGTACACCTTCAATGACCTCGGAGTTGATCATCGGGGCAAGATCTATGTGAAGATCTCGGTGAGTACAGTACGAGTCTATTCTCCGACTAAAGCCTTAATTATCCATCTCAAAGTGGCCTGGATATTCGCCACTCAATTACGAGATACCTGTTGATGGCTATGGGGGTCTTGTTGACCTTCAATCATTGACGCGCAGAATAGGGCGTGCGGTTTCACATTACCTTCAGGTGATTATTCAATGGTATCTACTCAATATAGTGGTTTCTCATGTACTGGTGTATATAGGCCAACATCATACCCATACCATGGGATCGTATCGAGCTATCGCACATGGAAGAAGTCAGCATGGGTACATGGCATCTCAAGATGACAACAGCCTGAGCGATATCCTGCCCTGTGCGCGGCCGGCTGAAGCGAGAAGCTATCAGCGTACTTTATTATATATCTTTCAAGTCCTTGATAATCTATTCATACTGCAGCTACACTCGTGGATGCCTGGTGTATCGTCATCTCTGCGCTTCAAGCCCTGTTCAGCTGTACAAGAGATAAAAACATGTGTGTATCATATTACGTCACGAATCTTACGAACTTTTACGAGGTGTCGTCTATGTATTGGAAGGGACTGCCTAATATACACCATCAACATCACCAAGCGCAACACCTTATGTTCGCAGTTACACGAGTGCCGATCGCCGCTGCGGCCTCTTGATGGATTCTTGCTTCTGATGAGAGGAGCTACAAATACCAAGGGCACGTTTCACTTTAGTCATGAAGGGTAAGTGGGTTTCCTTGTCCCTTTCCTATCACAAGATATGACAACAAGCAACGGAAATGAAGACACGTAGACTGACCATGGCTCCAAGTTCTTGCTGCGCATGCTTCCTACCTTGTCCAGATGTCTTGGGATTGGAAAGTGCCGCTTCTGTAGAAGGGTCACGGGCACATTAAACTCGGCAGATCGGTAATTGCCTACGTTACAAACTTACTGTATTCTCCAGCGACTCTGTTCTTGTCTCCACTAAAGAAGCGGAATCTGCGGCAAGCAGATGTGGGATTCCGTTCATGGTGATGTTTCTTTTTTTGGAAAGGATTCATATTGATTGCAAGCGATCGAAACATGGTAAAGTCTTTGCAGAGGAGTGGCCCTTGCGGGACTCTTGGAATGTATCTGTTATGTGGGTGGGCCGCCATCAGAGGACTGGTGAGAACGTTGTATAGTCTTATATACCATTACATGACAGCACACGCAGAGCACCACACCCTTTATTTTCGTCACTAAAACCAATATAAAGACGACATAAAGACGTAACGCCTGATACGGTGCCATTCAGAAGCGAGTTCACGTTCCGTGGTGTGGGATGCTCAACTCTAAATGTACCATGATGTCGTCGTTTGGGACTAAACCTTACGGCGCCGCACCGCGCCAGACCCTTACCGTCTTAAAACACATCCTCAATTTCAGCAGTACAAGTATGCAGTATGTTTATGAATATCATATGCGTCTCTCACTCGAAAATGGAACGAACTTGATTATATATTGCTAGCGTTGCCACGTAACAAGGTTATAGATAGGCCTGCTGAGGTTTAGATCGAATAGATGCATTTTTAAGACTGCATGTGTTGGCGCTGCACGCCGTAAGGCGAGTCCAGGTTAACTGTTAGCGGGTTAGGTGTTCGGATCCAACTTGGATCCCGAGCGACAACGACATTTTAGAACTGAGTCCATCCCTTAAGTGGCACTTGGATCATCATATCCCTCGATAGTTTGTACCTGTGGGGCTGAGGGCTGTCATCCTAGTAGCTGCTGCTGGTGCCAGGTGGCACCTGAACTTACGGCTTATTTGTGCTACTTGTAGCAAGAATGATCTCATATCAGTGACACTATATCTGATCCTCGCAGGAAAAACTGCGGCGATCCCTGCATGTTCTCAGATGAGGATACGTTAACCCTCGTTCATGCTGTGCAGAAGCAATATGCTTCCCTGAATCTCAAGCTACCAGCCGGAACCTTCACGATTCTAGCTGCAATTGCCCTGACTTCATCCGATCCTTTAACGACTCAGCCAAAGATCATTGGATTAGCTACAGGATGCAAGTGCCTTCCAAAAGACAAGCTTCCTCTGCAAGGCGAGGCAGTGCACGATAGTCATGCAGAAGTTCTCGCTCGTCGCTGTGCCCTTCGATGGCTGATCGAAGAGATCGATAGGGCGGCCTCCGATGGATCGCACTGGCATTCTGCGTGGATATCAAAAACGGCAGATGATCGCTATCGTCTTAAAGACGGCGTCTACATGATCATGTATATATCGACACCTCCCTGTGAGAACCACTAGCCTTGTATGTTACACGTGTCTCATTTCAGACGATCGATGTCAAGGTGGAGACGCTTCTATGCGCTTCCTCGCTACTTTCCAAGATAAGGAAATGGCGTCACTGAAGGACTCTGCGGTGTTCCCTCCTCTGGACCCCAATGTTGCGTCCAGAGGGCGAGATAATTACTCCCTTTTTGGCGTTCTCCGTACGAAGCCCGGGCGTGCTGACTCTCCTCAGACATTGTCGTTATCTTGCAGTGACAAAATAGCACGCTGGAACGTACTTGGGATACAGGGAGCTTTGGGCTCTGCCTTTTTTCACCCGATCTACTTGACAAGGATAATCATTGGCGAAGTCCCGCCAGATCTGCACGACGTCGTAAAGTCTGATTGTGAACGAGCGTTCTGGGGGCGTCTGCAAGAAATCCATGGTACATATGTTGTTCAATTATAAAGTGATACTTACAAAAGTGACATATCTTGCACAGGCCTTCCCGAGGGATACAAATTGAGTCGGCCGGAAGTCCAGTTTACGTCGGTTGGATTCGTACATTCAAGGTCGGCACAGGAGCGTTCTTCCCTTACTCAAAGATCGTGCAATGAATGTAGGTATATATTCATGGATGCCTTGCGCTGGCTCTCTCAACTGGTTTATCCTTAGCTTTAACTTGGGTAGCGGACTCTACATCACCGCATGAGGTACTGATAAACGGCCTCAAACGAGGTGTCCCTCCAAAACATCGCTACAAGATGATTTTCTGGTAAGCGCTGGTGATTATCTTCCTCTGCAAGCTGTCTTATGCAGTATCTTGACAGGCCCAGACTCTCAAAAGTCTCCTTGTTTCACTTGTACAGAAAGACGAGGAGCATAGAGAACCTGCCGCCTGAAAGGTAAGGATCCAGGACAACGAGGGGGTAATCCCGAGCACTCACAACTTGTTATGTAGTAAAACAATGACATATTATCAAGCGAAGGAGAACATGGCCCAGTACCAGATGGCAAAAAACTGCTTGCTAGGGGAAGGCCGGCCTTTTTCAGGGTGGATTCGAAGTGGAGCTCGATGGGAGAACTTCGGTTCTAGTAGTGACAACGGACAACAAAGTACTGATATTACGGATTAGACGCCAGAAAGAAAGCAACGACAGCGCATGTATGTAAGTATAATACAACGTGATAAATAGCTAGGGTATCCATTAAGAAGCACAGCGAATTGCCATGTGGCCTTCCGAGGCGTGTCCAAGACACCGAGAAATACATGAGAACTGGACAACAGTTGGCATTATGCCTATTCATCCTTATCCTTGTCAGGGGATTCGGTTTCTGAGAGCAGTTCGTCAAGGGAGGTGGGCGGTAACGTCTTGACCATTAATAATGGCGTCCCGGCAAGCGATTCACCATCTGTGAATGTGGGGCTTGATCTACCAGAGCGACTGCCGTTATTGTTATTACTGCTGTCCGCAAGCTCCTTTCGGAGTGCCTCCAATTCGCGCTCGAACCTTCGAGGAAAGTAAGATTCCTGTGTGGGGACCCAGAGTCAAGAGTACTTACTTGCGACCGAATACCTCGATGTAGAAACCGCCACCATTCCAGACGCTCACAGAGAATATAAACATAAGGAATGCTCCACTCCACACAGGGCTATCATACAACAAGAACACCGCAGGCAGTTCTGTGAGGAGAGAGTATACTGAAGGAGAATTAGCATCACTGAGTCGTGGCGTTAAACTTTACATACCAAGTTGCCCCGCCATGAACGAAACTTCACGGTACTTTGGAGGAACTGTCGACAAAGCTCGCCCAATAGCACTACGCTTGTCATTCAAAAGGAAAGAAAACGATGTCGTTCGCTGGCCAGATGCAATCTTGCTTCGACGATCTACCAGTACGAATTTCCAATACATCAACTGCCAAGAGATATCTAGATGACCAGTCATGTTCAGTTGTCAAGATCATCAACATGAAGCTTACATATAGCACCGCTCATAAGGAGAGCACGGACTGGATCGAGGTACGGGAGTGCTTTCAGCGCGGGGAATCTGTCTTCTGCATTCGGATAGAAGTGCCTGTCCATCGTGATGAATAATTTGTATAGAGAAGACCAATCATAACGGACCGGATCACCGTGAATGCAAAAGGCGCGTATATATGCACGAATAACGACGTGACTTTATCCGTGTCATGAAAAACAAGGCTGTTTCTCCAAGTGATAACGGCACTAGCGAGCGAGCCATGTGATAAACTGTAACAAGCCATGAACAGCGCAGCATTTGATGGGAAGAACCACATGTAGATAAAGTTGAGGATGGTGACGTAGTAGCAGAGGTCGAATAGGAAATAATGCCATGAGCGCTTCTTGTAGTGGTAGGCACGAAGAGGAAGGAGATAAAGGCCTTGCACTGTATATGCGATATGGATCCATCTGCATCCAGGACATCAGTCACCACCAAACGCAAGGAACTCCCAAGGGTGCGTACTGTGGAGCCAAGCCAAAGAGCAACGCCGACACAAGGAGAGACATGACACTAAAGAAAAATGACACTTTGTCACGTGTCCTCACTACCTTGGCGGAATGCCATGATTCAACTAGATTTTGCATACGGGCCGAAACCTGTCATCGACGCATTAAATCGTGATGAACGCCACAAGCTCCGAACGTACCTTCAGCTTGAAGTTTTTGACCTCGCGATCGAAATTCTCCGCCAGCAGATCACCTGATTGCACGCGTTTCTTCAAAGCTTCTTCAGCCTTTGATTTTAATCTATCGCTGTGCTTTTGTATCTGCCGCTGGAGTAAGTCCAGCCGAGAGTCAAAGAATGTCTCCATTGTATCTATCGAAAAGCATGTTAGGGTTGGGATGGCCATGACAAGATGATAGGGCAGAAGACCTGCCTAGCAAGGTAAAGGCGCCTGTCTCGTCTCGTATAAAGCGTTCGAAGGGTGCAGAGAAGTACCCTGCCCCGGTCGCTGGAGACTCCATTCTTAAAGTTGGCGAAGGTGGACTTGACACCATTGTAGAAGTCTGAGATATGGGCTTTAAGTCCGAACAATGCGAGCGCAAAGCAGGGTGGCAAGCAACAGTGGATGTCTGGACTCTGAAGCGCTTGAAGGCAGTGCGTCACACGCCGACATAAATGTATGCTTACGTCACCACAACTTAGTTTTCCAGTACTCTTGATCTCTCTTGTGATTCGACTTCCTAGAAGGAACAACTCTGCGTACGTGAGATTACTTTTATTGACTTCCTCGATGTCGTTCTCCGTACCTGAGTTAGTAGATACCAGTACCAGTAGCTAATCAACTCCATTTATCATTTGCCCGTACTTAGGCAACTCTAAATCTTAATTACTACCAGAAGTCCAGATAAACAAGTTGAGTTTCGTGGACGAGCACCAAAACATGTATAGTCTGGCCAGCATATATAGAATTCAGGATGCAATGAGGACAGGGAATGCGGTGCAATGCTCTATGTAGGTTACAGCAATACCTCACATCAACGAAAGGTCGCCAAACTTCTCTTTGTAACCTGGAGGCATTGTTCAAGCAAAACGAAATATAACACAAGCGATGAACATACCCGGTACAGTCCATTTGCCTTTCTTGACCATGGTCTCGACGGCTTCCAGTATCCGTGGGTGAGCGTTGCCGACGTCCTCCACCTAAGCAAACAAACAAAATCAGAGTTGGATTCCAAGACCAAGAAGAGAAGACACACCGTCAAGTCTTCGAACGGACGAGCCTCTTCAATGTTAGCAAGCGTCGCCTGTAACTCCTTGAGTTCCACATCAATCTGAGCAGCGGTCGCTTGGGCTTTCTCAACCTGCATTAACACTCAGTCACACAATTACAACCTTGAACGCAGAGGTCATACCGCTTTAGCCTCGAAAGTTTCGATAGCTTTGATGTGGGCATTCACGTCGTACGTAACAACCTTGAAATCTTTCAACAGCTTCTCAGCCTCGTCAACAATTGCCTTGTTCTTAAGGACAGAGCGGTAGTGTGCGAGGTCAACGGTTGTGGGTTGAGATGCATACTGCGACTGGATGCGTTGAGCATCCCCGTGCCGTTTGCGGAATGCCTGCAGAGCAGCGATGGTGTCTGTAAATACAAAACCTCTATCAGTCCAGCTGCACTTTAATTACAAGTCGAGCTTCATGCCTTTTCCAAGCCTAAGTGTTGAGTAAATGCGGGTAAAGTCCTACCAGCGGGGAAACGAGGATGAGAGCGCGACCGAGCACGAAAAAAAGAGACTTACAACCGCGGCTACTGCTGCTTTTGATGCCATGGTTTAGAAAAAGGCAGGAAATATAGAGTAGCTGGGACACTAGGTAGGGTGCACACGCGTTGGCTACCCACAAATAATAATGCTGCAAAGGACGCGAGAATAGACTGCAATGAGCGGAGGTAAGGCCGGGAATTGCCGATCCCGTTCATTCCGACTCTCGACGAAAGGTTGACAGAATAGAGAACAGACGCGCACAAAGCCCAACATTAATATATGCTTCATTTATTCAATTTCTACAGTCTCTTCTGCAGCTTTACACAAAGGTTCTGGTTCTGTTACTATTCAAGGTTCCCCGGAAGACACTGAAGTGAACCCGATTTCTCACTGCGCAGGCAGACATTCACGACCAATGATCATAATAGTCCCGTAAAAGCTTGTAAAGTTTAAGATAATATTTCAAGCAGCCAGCTCACAACTTCCTTCATCAACCCTAGAAGCAACGACGTCAGTGAGCACCAGTGATACGCGGGCCCGCTCAGATAAGATACAGTACCACGACTTTCACATCCGTGCCGTCACCCAATCACCTGACATCCTTATCTTACCCCGCTGCCCTTATAAGAACAATACGTACGAACGACCTTCTCCTGAACCCTTTCTCTAGAACACGGGCACAGATCGAGGGCAGTGAACCTCGTGTGACGCTGAGAGCCTGGATCGAGCTTAGGTCTAACGACGTATTTGTGAGTCAAGTAACGCCCTTCCCTTCTTTGACTAAATTTAGGTTTAAATGCTCAGCGTGCATGGATTATAGGATGAACAGGGTTTTTGCTTCTGCCCTTGCTGCCGTTGAGCAGTTTCGTACTCTGGGACCGCTGCCTAGCATTCTCCTTGCCGCCGCGGTGATTTTTCTAACGTACAGTTTCGTCCAGTCGAGATCCTCGAATGCTGCTCATACGTCACCCGTCACCGAGAAAGATAGGAATGTGAACAAGAATAGGGAACTGGGCGGTATGTCTTGGCGATTCTAGTATATGTGATGACGCTCACTTTAATAGACTGGATCGCGGAAGAATTCGATTATCCTGAGATTGATCCATGCTCTTTCCCACTGAAGGACGTGCGCCCAGTACCGTATAGACCATTTCGGTATGGCGAATATCAGTAAGCGCTTTATTTATTTCCTTTTTTTGTCTGCATTGCCCAGGTGTTGGCGCGTGAGTTTGGTGTGCGTGGCGTGTGGATACATATGATTTGTGGAGTCATTTTGTACTTATGGCTAATGAATTTTGTCGTCTCTTTCGAATGCAGAATCACGATGGGTATTCGCACGATGCCTTGGAGCGAATGGATTGAACTAGACTCGACCTACCCGCACTGGCAGCGTGTGCGCAAGTCCCGCGTTCGCACGCGCGGGCATGATGCCGTGCGCGTTCTTCCCGCCCGAGAAGATGAATCTGTCAAGGTCCAAGGGGGCGCATGGGCAGGTGTGTTATCTCCCTGAAATAGGAAGGGCCGAACCTCTGCTGATAAGCTACAGCAAAGGAGCTCGTGTATGAATTGGCAGAGTACCTTCCGCGGCGATACCCATCGAGTTTTCGAGTAACGCGATTTCCGGACGGTGTACCAGCACCGTCCATTGGTGGTGTATCGCTCGCTTGGGGACAGCAACAGCCCGTGCAAACCATCGAAGCGGTTGAGACAGGAGATAAATTTGATTTGGGGGTGCTGGAGGGTCTGGACGGCGTTGAAATGGGCGAAGAGGCCATGAGGATCACTGCAGGGCTGTGAGTACCACGGCACTATATCTAATATTTCTAACCTTCTGTGCTCAGTATACAAGAAGACGTGGCACTCATGATCGAGGGTATAGGGCTGTTAGACCACCATGGGTAATAAATCTCAAAACGTTTATTGATACAGGCACCGATGGCAAGTACTATTTCCAGGCAGGAGCGATCTGCATTCCAGGTAAGTGGAAACAGCAGTTGAGCTTGAGGATTGCTCCTAATTACCCTTAGGATTCTGGCGCATGCGGGACAAGATCGGAATGGCCCTGGACGATATTCATATTTCAGGAACGTTCCACGATGTAAGCCTAGTCCATCATATCATTGGCAGCCTGTCCATGACGGGTGCAAAGTCAAAGAAAAACTGCAGACTAGCATGGAAAAGTTTTTCAAACGGATGCCGGTGGACAAGCCGGTGATTCGAAATAATTATTTTATGCAAATTTGCAAGTCGTCGACGCACGTGGCAGATGCCGACGTTGAGGAAGAAGACATCGATCCAGAAGAATTAGGTTGGTCAGAATCGACAAACGGACCAGAGGATACATTTTTGCATGGACACGGGCATGCTGCACAACCTGCATCATACCTCGCACCGTCGACACTACGACTCCGAACGGAGCGGCAAACGTTGCGTCGGCTTCCTCGGACAGGAGCGATTGTTTTTGGGATTCGCACATACTTGTTCAAGATTGAGGAACTGGCTCGGGAGCGAGGAGTAGCTGATCGACTTGCAAGCGCGGTAAGAAGCTGGCCTAATGATGTTGGGGTATACAAAGGGCGTAAGATGTATGGTGATGTGCTACTGAAGTACTTGGATGAATGCGCAGCACGGGATGAGGGACGAGGGTAGATCATATGTGTTGTTGCTACGACATGTTTGTTGCGGACTACCGCATGGAAGAATGCTATATTAGGGGTGAAGAATTACAAATGACGTGTCGGATGTGCTAAAAGTAGGAAATGATTGCGTTTATCGAGCGTTTATTAGAACTCCGATTCAAGTTCAATATAACACGAGACTACGTCAGACGTCGTCATTCCTCTCTGACCTCTCCTCGAGAAAATTGGAGAAATTACGCACGGGCCACAAACAAAGAGCGGAGTAGTTGGCTTCGTGCCGTGTCGTCATCGTATCATCATGACCACAACTTCACCCAAAAACGGTGATACATCCAACTCCCCTGACGTCAGGCCCCCACCACCCCTTGCAAGACAGACCAGATCTGATTTCGACCTTGAACCCAACCCATTTGAGCAGTCCTTCTCCAGACCCTCCCATGTCCGACATTCCCCTCGTTCAAAACGTGATTCACCTAGCCCAGCCTCATCTAACAGACCATCCTCTGCTGCCTCAAATCAAAACTCAAAGGATGGTAGGTCTACTTCTCCAAGACCAGTATTACCCCCTCTCGCAGCCATAGCATCCCCCAGCACAGATCAAGGTTATGGCTGGCAGTTCTCTTCATCTCTTGCCAATTCTCTACGTGCTGGGCCCCTCTCTCCTGCAATGCTGGCTGGCCCCCAGCAGGGTTCAGACTCCGCCTCCCATATGCCTTTTGACACCTCATTCCGAACGGGTTTAACTCCCCGCACCGGTCTCACTCCCCGGACAGGTTTGACCCCAGGCACAGGCTTGACACCCCTCGTAGGCGGTCCTGTCTCCTTCCCCCCTCCTTCCCCAAACACCGCCGCGTTCTTGGCGCTTATGAATAATAATGCAAGCGCTAATTCAAACGCGACTATAACACCAAACACCCTCAGCGCAATCACAGGTGTTCTCAACTCCTCATCAGCCCAGTATAGCTCTGTCACACATGCTCCCACCACGAGTTCTCACCTATCCACATCCATCACTGCCAATCAGGAAAATAGTGATCCTCCTTACCTCAGCGCATCTTCCGCCGCAAGCACCGCTGCAAATGGCTTATATCTGCTTTCCCAAGCTCATCAGGAGCTTACCAAGCGTGAAGAAGCCCAGGCACGTGCTAACAATGTTGCAAATGCAACAAACGGCAGGCGTGGTACAAAGCGCAAGTCCTATGACGCTGCAAGTCCACCTCCTCAACCTGCTCCCACCGCTCGTGCCCAATCTCAGCAGCATACCTCTCCCGTAAAACGTGCACGGGCTAATACTGTAACCAGTGTCAGCACAAATGGTCGTGGTAAAGCCTCTACAGATGATGAAGAGGATGACGAGGACGAGGATGATGACGACATGCCACCTTCTCAGAACCCCGGGGCCCGGAAGCAAACAAAGAAGCCCGAAACAGAGGAAGAAAAGCGACGTAACTTCCTCGAACGAAATAGACAAGGTTTGCCTTTGTTTAAACTTTCTCTTCGCCTTACTCACTTACCGTCCAGCCGCCCTAAAGTGTCGACAGCGCAAAAAGGCATGGCTTGCATCATTGCAGGCCAAGGTCGAGTATCTTCAGACCGAGAACGAGCGCCTCACATCCGCTCTCGTCTCATCGCGCGAGGAGATCTCGCGGTTATCCGCCCTCGTTGGAGGCGCCGTCATTGGACCTGGGGGACCGACTGTCGGTCCAGGTGTGGGCCCCCCACCAGTAGCCGTCAATGGCGTGGTCACCAATGGCCAGCCCATCAGCATGAACATGAATCTTGTTGCCAAGGGCGCGCCGGCCGCCACCTCTGGCCGCGCGAGTTATGGGTACTAAAACCCATCCTTTCATCTGATTTCGTTTCATGATGTGTTGCGTTATACGTTGACTCGGCACTGCTCGTTACGCATTTGGACCGTGTAGGATTGTCGTTAACTTTATTTTTGCATCATCGTTGACACACGAGAAAGTTGTCGCTGCGCCTCCTTACTTGCCCTTTCTCCTGCATAGTCCTCGCATCATCCCTAGCATTTTATTTCTCACCAGTCTCCACCTACCGCCCGCGGTGCCATCCCGCACCACTTCGACGTCATCCTTGGCACAGCTTAGCACATTGCCATACCCTTTATCTCGACCTCTCGACCCTACACACACCGCAAAAGAAAATACAAATTGTACCCTCGCTTGTACGTTGTGAAGTAGGCGATATATCATACATACATCATACTTTTGTACATCCTGACCTGAATACATACAGAGGCATCAACGCACGCACATGAATTGCGCTGTCCTCGGTTGTATAACAAGGCGAGAAAACATCGAGGAATGTAATTCCTGTTCCAGACCCCTGTTATTCTGCTCGTCAGCTAGAGTGGGCCAGACCGTCGAGGTACACATATTGATGTTCCTGCGCCGCATAAGTCCACGCATCGGACATCATGTGCCAGCATATACCGCATGTCCGCGAACTTCCGATATGGTTATCACATGCCGTCTATCGACATCTTTACGGGCGGTAGCTCCCCAAGATTTTAAAAACGAATACCAGTGAGTCGGTCAGTTGCAACCTTGCGGGGCATCTATAATTCACTGCGGTCTGATTGCGCCCGCACGCGACAGGGTGCACCCTGAGACCTGGAGGCGCGATGACTTTATGCAGATTGTGACGGGAAGTTGGCGCGAGATACCCTATCTGCAGGTCGTGTCTTGGACGTACTCGGCAGGGACGACGTACGTACTACCCTCCGCTGAGCACGCGCATTTACGTTTCACCGCACTTCCTGCCTCAGCGTGAAAGCGACTATCCAATCAAATGCATATTCGGATACGTGGTCGGTCGGGTGTTGGATTCTGTCGGCCAAACAGATAAGGCAGATAAGGGATTTATGTAAGGACTTATTTTCATGCTTTGCTGGATTTTCGACTGAACGATTCCAAGGCGCCATGGACCAGTCAATAATCCGCGTGAAAGAAGTGAAAACGAGCGTAGTAGCGTTGATTGGGTTAATGTTACAACGTCTAGGGGGCCCAGTATCCGCCGTACAGTTATTGCTCGTCATGAGTTCATTCATACCGCATGCATGATTTTGTGACGAGAAATAACGTATTGCGCGAGATGGGGCGGCGAACGGTTTGGGTTCGTTTGTGCCTCGCGTTTTTTTCGAGGTTATCGCTGATAGGCCTCTGCAGCTGGCATGTTTTCACTTCACCGCCAAGTGACTCTCGCCGGTCCCGAAATTGCTGGTTCGTACTTTCTGCAGGATGACATATTCACTTTACGCTCGATCTCGTTAATACAGACACAGACAGATTTACCACTCGCTAATAACGCAGCTGACGCATCTGCACCTGGAGCCAGTGGGACGACTGGCGGTAAATATGTACACTATCAATATGCGGTGGGTTTTCTCGTCCTATGGGTCTCGCAAAGACCTCTCTACACTCCATGTCCGAAGACACGCAAGCATCCGATCTTCGCGAGGTACGTCCGGGCACATAGCCAGGGTTTGGGTCAGCCGTGACCAGATCGGAGACGGGTATTGGCAAAGGCTTTGCATTTGATGAACGCACCGGGCGATGGAAAAACTAAATGGCAAAGGTGATTTTGAGGGTGCGGGACGGTAGGTAGGGCCGTGCTATTGATCGCAACTGTTTTAGCGACCGTGTACTTGAACAATCTCATCACAATTGTGGGATAGTGTCCTTGACCGAGGTGGAAGGATCGTGAAGGAAGGCATTGGGAAAGGACACAGGGGTCTGTTAAATATTAAAAGCAGGGAAAATGCTATATCGAAGGAACTGCTCCGTCTGGACGTAGACAATCTCACCCTGCCGCGCTATAGTAGGCTCGTGACCAGCCTGGCGTATACTATTAACAGATGCATTGTCATAGGTGTTTGCAGTCGCCATCCAACCCATTATTAGAACGTGAGTCTGAAATCTCGAGCAGCCCACCTGAAGATGAGCAAACTGACACCAGGAAATCATTTGATAACTTGAACATATACTAATGTTACAGACTCGAAAACAAACAAGCGTCTAGCAAAATAACAACAGTTTAACCGATTCGATACATAAATGGATACTGCCCAGCATCACACATCCTATTGTATGTCTTCTAATCGTACACCCAGGCTTCTCACCGCGATAAGGAAGAAATGTACGCGACTTCCGTGGGCGGCGTAACCTTGATATCTTCGGGGTCGTATCCATATGCGCCGTTTGTGTGGTTGGCCTGACTCTGTTTCTGAGCAACGAGCGCACAGAGAGCGGCTGGGATACATTCAGAATGGACACAAAAGAGCCGAATTTGGTCAGACTTACCACCCGCACCGCTTCCATCCTTGGCCATCCCAATGTCGACACGGCTTTCCACCTCGGGACCAACGAGCGCCCGTAACGATGCTCGCAGCTTGGTTTGGAAATTAGGATAGAATTCGACCAAGCTTATCACGCCCCGGTTAGCAAGAATTGGATAGAAAAGGTACTACTCCTACCTTCCATCTACCCCAACACCGATCCTTTTGCCTTGGTCCTTCAGCCCGGCAGAACTTTGCTCCCCGTTGTCCCATAGTCGTGCTCGCTCAGTATGGACTAGTATAGCTGCTACAGCCGTTCCACTCATGCGTGCAGCCCTCGATGCTATCAGGTTGCACACTTGCCTGACAATGTCCGCATCTGCGAGGGAAATGTCGGGCAGGGGCAGTTCTAGCCGGTGGGCCAGTACACCCTGTATCCGCCACAACTTTTCCTCCTTTTGAGCTTCCGGGGAACCTTGTGCTGGCGGGGAGAATCGCCCAAGACCTTCCCATGCCTCTTCGATCTCGCTGAGAACTGCGGTGTCCAGTCCCCATTGCTTATTCAGTAGAGCCGAGGACCGACCTCCGAAGAGGAGCGGTTTCGGAGCGGCATCAATCAAACTAAGAATCACGTTTCGGGCGATTTCCCCTAGATACATTCCCGAAATGAATTTCTCGAAAGCCTGGAAACGTGGGTTAATAGATTCGCGGTCCAGCTTGTTGTCGTATGGAGTCGTTGGCAAGGCAGATCGCTGCAGTTCGACATGAGTGATCAAAGTGACGAGATAGGAGAAGAAGTTAATTCACAGAGTTGTTGAAACCGCCCCACTCAGTGTTCACAATCATTTCACCACCTGCAGCGACTGTAGGGTTCTGGTTTAATTTAGTGATCTTGGAGACTTCTTCGACATAAGCCCCATTAGTTCCTGTTCCAAAAATAGCACCGAGAATGCATCCGCCAGACGTATATGCTCGCGAAAGAAGAGCTCCAACGGTCTGTCATGGAAATTCTCTCATCAGTACATACGGTCACGTGCAAAATTGAGATCTGATGAAGGATCGCAGATGAAAGAATAATGACTGACGTCGTTGACGAGAGCTACACACTTGACATGAATATGTTTCCTGTCAAACGCGTCTTGAAGAAGCTTTACGACGTCCTTTCCAACGGCGTTCTTTGCAGAGAAACCTTTGGTCCAGGTGAGGAGAACGCCTGAATCGAGGGCGGATTGTTCCACAGGGAAGGAGAAGGTGAGGGCCAGGGGAACATATGAACTGTCCCCATCGGCGTGAGGTACGTGAGAGTCGTCGCCTTGGGAGGGGGTGTCCGTGAGGAAAGCGTCCACGGAGTCGGCGAGATAGTCTGAGAAAATATTGAAAGGCAGTGACGAGGGAAAACACAGAGGCCGCACCGAAAAGAGTGGTCACCTCACCAGTCTTGAGGGCCTCAGAGACTTTGTATTTTTGTTGCCGGAGGGAGAAGGTCTTGTCTCCGAGCAGAGTGACCTCGCAAACACGACTGACAATCCATCAGGCAAGTAAAAAATGGTAGGATTTGGTACTCACAGGTTTGTCCCACCGAGATCGAGGGCAAGGAACGTTCTAGGATATTCAGCCAGGTGCAGCGGTATGAGAGGTAGTCCACATACCCCGTTTCGGAGCCATCTGGCACACCCTTGACGAAGGTCGGACTATCTGACGATTAGATCGGGAACAAGACGTAAAGCGGGGGAACGTGCATCATCGCCATGGGACGACCATAACTGGATAAACCATCAGAAATTTCTGAGAGGAATGTTTGAGTGATCTTGAAGAGACCCTGATCGTCGATGGTGAACTGGTTGTGGAGAGACTCAAGGATATCTTCCTTTGCGCTGCCATGAAACGCGGTGGTGTGTGACATGGCAGGACAGGAGAGAAATGGACTGGTTAGCGAGAGACAGCGTGAGCAGATAAGCTTTACCCACTTTAGTAAGAACATCATTCCAAATCTCAAGGCGACCACTATGCTATTGGACACTAACCAAGTAGTTTGGTAAGTACCTTGAAGTTATAAATCTTCGCCAATCCTCGCTGAAATCTCAATCATATCCCTCGTTCAGTTTACTGCACAGCGGCCCGCGGTGACCTCAATACCCGAGAATCTCCGTTCGCAAGTTGAACATAGGTAGCCTAGTAGGGCGACTATTAGACCAGCCTTCGGAGCTAGTTCGGATTATTACTTCGCTTCGCACACCGGCAGTCCACATTCTGAAAACCGTGCTGTACGTTGTATATCTACTGCACGTTTATCGTATCATCCTTTGCAAGATGTCATTGGCCCGTGTCTAATCAGTCGCACATCGCCGAACAATAGAAATCGAGCTCCAGCTCATATCAAGTTCATCTGCCTCACTTTCTGAGAATTTTGGCCTGAAAAAGATGATCTCCATGTATTTACCTTAGTACCATGTAGGCTCTAAAGTTACAAGTAGTCTGGCTTATTCTGGTCACATAACCTTTTCCGGATGAGTCCGCTTTGTTAGGCAAGACTATGTGCGGGTCCGACGTGGTCGTTGGTGGCACCCATTGAAAGTTCATCTAACTATCATCGCCCATGGCTATTGACGGTCTGATAATCCTAGATCCAGCGGGGTATGGTTCGCCATCTTTGTTTCTTGGTTACTATAATTACAAGATTTCGCATACAGACGTCCCATCATCCAGTCCAGTTACACCACTTATCCGGCAGCGTACCCCTTACTGCATATCGAAGCGTTAAACAACGCGCTAGCAAAGGCTCTGCGGGAGGGTAGCGTAGACCCGGTTATATACATCGGAGAGCTATCGTGTTCCAGTGCGTGTTGCCATGTCGAGGTTGGCGGGATGAGATTCGTTGCGACAATAAGTGGAGATGGTTAGTGGTCAGCGGCTCGGTCGTGATCGGGGTTTTCTCGGGCAGCAACTGACAATACTCTATCAGCGGATCCCCTCATTGCATTCGCCTTTCTCGACTGCTTCATTGAAATACTCCAAGACTATTTTGGCATAGTCAGTGTTGCAACTCTCAAGGACAACTTTGACATCGTATACCAGGTTCGTGGGCAGTGTTCTTACGCTTTCCACTACTTGATGTCTACTTGTATTGAATATGTATCTTGGACTCACAGCTTCTCGAAGGAAACGCTTGATTCGTCTGGTCATCCACTGACAACCTCGCCGAACGCGTTGAGCGATATAGTTCTCTCGCCTTCCTTAATCTCGAAGCTTCTCGCCTCGGTATCACCAGCTACTCCAGGAGTTCCAAGCACGAGACCAGGAGGCTAGTCATCTATACTAATTTGCAATTGTTAGAAACTGCATTAACATCCTCTCGGTAATACAGGTTCTTTCGGTTCAAATGGTGCTGGTGGAGCTTTTACATCGCCGATACCATGGCGTAAAGCTGGGGTTCGGCATAATCACAATGAGATCCTTTTTGATATTGTTGAAGATATGCGAGGCATCGTCGGAAAGTACGCTCAAAGTTCATATCAGCCCGTTCGTGATGTTAAAATCGTCCAAATACAGGAATGGCGCGACGTTAGTGAGCAACGTTTTTGGCAAAATTGAGAGCAATGCAAAACTTTCCGGGACACCCGACCTGACATTGACATTCGCTAATCCTAATGTGATGATGGAGTGCGCGTTTCATCCATGCGTACGGTGAGTGGTCTTGCGAATCTATCATCTTCTCAGTGGCATCTCTGAACAGTGATTCTTGACTCCATTTCAGGTTACAGAAATGGACCCGCGACAACGCCTTATCCTTTGTACCTCCTGAGGGGCGGTTCATTCTCGCAGACTATCAGTATAGACCACCACAAGGCGCGCTCATCAGCAACGTGCCCATGCCACTTTCCCTTAAAGCGAATATGGACATGGGAGAGTTTGGCGGTACCATTGATCACTGATGTTTTTAAGTTATAACTGACACTGCGCAGGAACGTTTGCGCTCACGCTGACCTCGCGTTCGATAAAAGTGATGGAGAATCTAGAACTGAAATTCTACCTCGGAGAAGATGCGACCAGCGCGCAGTGTACATTGTCAAGTGCAGGTTCTAGTGTAGGATCTGTTGGAAGCGCAGATGGATCATGGTCATTTAATTCGAGAACAAAGGTATGCTTTGCCACCAGTTCGTTCTGTCCAAAAAATCACTCCCGTCAGACGCTCCGATGGGAGATTCTCAATATGCGGTCTTCCGGGAGCTGGATTCTTCGAGGTTCGTGGACGTCAAAGTAAGCAGTTTGAATAATTTTACAGATATGCGATATTTATGGTTCTCCAGAATCAAGGCCCCGCGTCCAGCACACGCGTTCCAAATACGTTTCGAGATACCATCCTATAGCTTCTCTTCGCTCAAGGTCGATCAGTTGCGGCTCTCAAGCGAGACATACAAGATGTACAAAGGAGTGCGGATGCGCAGCAAAGGGTCGATCGAGTGGAGATGGTAGCCAGCTTAGGACCCTGGCTACTTTGTATATTTCCAAGACTTACACCATACAGACTGTACGAGTCCCCCAAGAGCTGGCACAATTGCTCTCGTGATAAATTGCTTTATTCACGGCGGTAAGTTCTCGGATGCTCGCATATGTATATCTCTAGCATTTCAATGGCATTATCGGGGCGGACACGCTCTGACACTTTTTCCGGAGTAATTACGCTCGGTAAGCCAATTTGCTTTCATAATGACCACAAGGAGCTGCTTCATCGTCACGGAACAGTGCCGGACCGTATTTGATTCGTCAACTGAAACAAGCTAGTAAGCTATAAAATGGGGAGCGACATACTAGCGACATATTCCCGAAATTGATTGTTGCCGTGTAAAACAGTTCGGCGCTCAGTCACTGCAACTTCACAGCCGTATACCTCCTTCAAACCAGTCAAGTGATCATGCTAATTTTCCGTATCGGACCTTGAAATAAGGGAAGGCAGTTCCTTCTTGTTCAAGCGCCTAACCCAAACTCTGGCATTCTGTCACACAGATCTGGTTGGGAGATGGGCCTGTAGAAAGAACGGGATGATTTTGTGAATTTTGTGATTCACTGTCCTGATGCGGGCTCTGTTTGATTTCGATCTCAACGAGAAACAAGTATTGACATGGTTTAAGAGAGAACAGCGAGCAGAAAAAGCAGGCGAAGATGCCACCTGCTCAAGGACATGCTGGCAAATTCAAATTAGTCTTATCCCCACCAAATAATCAAGCAAGATTTTTACAAGCCGGCGTTCGGCGAGTGTCGAGCATATCTCATTCGTGTCAACCACAAGCTTGTTACACAGCGTCTGTGAGCATACTTTTGTTCTACCTTGATGCATTTGGTAACCACAAACCTTTGAATGGCATTTATCTGTGTCACTATGCCTGCAGTTTCGAAGCTTGTGCCAGAGGAGACTGTATTCTTCCTCTGCGACGTGCAGACACGTTTCAGTACGCTTTATCCTGAATCCATTGTGAATCGCTGAATCGACCGTCGTGCCATTGGCTGATATGAATCAGAAAAACTCATATTCGGCATTGACGAGCTGGTGTTGACAATCAACAAGATGCTCAAGATAGCAAAGGTATTATATACGCACCAACTCCTTTTCATGCCTTTACTCACATGAGGATACATAAGGCATTGGAGATCCCGGTGGTTGTCACGGAACAGAATCCCAAAGGTGAGTCCATTCTCGTCCCTCCTCTTCGAAATCAAGTCACCGAAAAACAAAGGCCTCGGAAACACCATCCCCGACATCGATTTACCTTCCCTAGGGCCTCTTCTCGTTGCCACCATCGCGAAATCGTTCTTCTCCATGATGACGCCAGAAGTGAAGGCCATACTCCACGAACGCCCACAAATCAAATCTGTGGTGCTTTTTGGCATCGAGGTTAGTTTACCCTATAACGACTGGCTCATTGGTAACATCGCTCGATTTAGTCACAAGTTTGCGTGTTACAATCTGCTCTGGATTTAATTGAGGCGGGATATAATGTCCACGTGATAGCAGATGGTGTTTCTAGCTCTAACAAAGAGGAGATTCCCTTTGCACTGGCGCGGATTCGACAGAGTGGTGGATACATCACTACTAGTGAGAGTGTGGCCTTTCAACTGCAACGTGCGCTTTTCATTCTAGACTATGGGGAGGCCTACTCATTGATTCTAGGGGGTGCTGGTCTTCCCGGATTCAAACTGTTCTCGAACATCATGAAGGAAGAGAAGGATAGCACGGTAAGAACCTCGCAGAAGATGCTGCAACACCGCTCCTTCTTGTAAAATTTGTTTACCGCGGTTGTATCATATTCTCCGAATCGAATAGGCAGGGCGTTTTCTCAGCCAGTCTGGCGATGACCCAGGCAAGCGTCATTTTGGGGGATCGCAAAGACCACGTTGGGGTCTATCAAGACATCCATTCGTGAAAATGTAAGCGTCCCCACATATTGATGTTTAAACAGGTAACTTCAACTCGATGGCTATGTCCTTTTGGGGGAACTTGCAACACCACCCGAATTGCCCATGGCGTGGAGCGGGCAGGTCTAGAACGCGCAGGACAGGCGGCGCTCATCCTGTCCATCTGAGACAGGTAAAGTAGTTGCAAATTCATATTCCCGCTCATCATGCTGACGTGGTTCATCGACATTTCCAGCCCAGCGCAGTCCGTTTTCCATTCTGGGTGTCCAATGTACAGGAGTAGATTCTATAAGTTCTCTCGCCTCTTTTCTATTGTTCAAGACGAAATTGAACCTTTAATCCCAGGCATCCTCCTACCATCAAGAACCCCTTCAAGTTCAATACTGCTCATACTTGGGAGGAGTCTTCATTTGGCTGTTCCGTGAAACCCAGTACTAGTAATATAGTAAGTATTTGTCAGTGCACGACTTAGCCAGTTCAATGGCTCGTCATTTAATGAAAATTTCTGCTTGAGAGCACAGGGACACCTATCCCAGGATTCTCATCGACTCCTCAACTTTCCCTTTCGAATCAGGTAGTGGGGCAAGACATTTCATGGGAGATCTTCTCGACCTTCGCGGCCGAGTTCACTGTTTCTTAATGCTGAGAAATTTTTGCATAGGTCCCTTCAAGTTATGTGTTATGTATCCCACGCAAAGGAGGACATGTGCGGTAATCATCTTGACACAAATATTTGAAGCGCATGGAGAAAGGGCTCGAATGCTTTGATAAGGAACAATTTCCTTCTATTGGTCTGCCTAAGTGAGACTAGCTTTGATAGGCAGATGAAATACATCATCTCTACAAACTCGGTGCGTAGACACCGCAGCAAAGGTAGCACTGCTCTTCATCTGACCAGTAGGGTGCATAATCATTCCCGCAGTCAGCGGTTTTCGCAACGCCGTAGCACAGGCCTTCTATGCATGAACCATGGGCAATAGCCGGCTTCACCCCAGCAGCAGTAGCAAGGATGGCGAGGTAGGCGAACTGAATGTTCATGATATCTAGTATATGCGTCAGTGATGACCGTCAGCGCTGGAAAACCACCCACCCTCAGGTTCGAAATTTGGTTCTATGATGTACGCGAAGGTTCTAATAATAGAACGTCCGGGAAGAGCTAAATGTGAAATGGACACGATGTTCAAGTCGGTCAAGTCTTCAAGTGATTACTACTTACTGTAAACGAGGCGGTTGTCTTTAAGGATTTGAGACTTGCCACGTTCAATTTATATGCACCTATCCGCCAAGCCTGGAGTTTTGCTAGGTTGTGCCCGACAGCCACGGTAGTGACCGGCAGAACATGACAGCGACTTGAATATCATAGCCCCACCACGTTATCCTGCCGTTAGTTCCAATACCAACTTACGGGGACTTTGGTATGCAGTATGCTATGCAAGCGGCACGCACCCTATTCATTTCCACTCGCCGACGCAGGGCAATAAGTACCATCTTACGGCCCATCTGAAGATTAGACGGAAAAAGATAAAAGAGACGGTCAGGGGCAGAGAACTTTCGTTGTAGAGACACACGATACGGAAGGGTTTTATTAGCAGCATGCCACGCTAGACCCAACTTACCATTTATTTTCATTCCGCATCCCATTTACTCCCCTCGTACAAAGACCGCTTCGGCGATCCGATTATGTGTACATCCCACAACACACGACATGACACACACGAAATGTATCAGCACGGCCCCGTGGAGTAGCAGACTCGTGCATCTAAAACGGCCAGCGGGAACAACGGACTGGTGGAGGTCAACCTTCCATCAGGGCGTTTACAGAGTAGGAGATACGGTGGGGGACACGGGCATCCCCAATTCCTAGATAGAGATGTCATGCATAGGGTCCTGTACCCCAACTGGACAACAATTGGATTTTTTTAAAGGCGGGCACGAGCGGTTGAGCCGTGACAGAGTGCGAGTTCCGAAATCGACATAAAGAGAAGCTGGGACAGTATTAGTGGGAAGGACACAGGTTCGAAGCAGGGTATTCGAGGAAGGATGCCCTGGTGCGGGGCATTCAATATTCAATACTCATTGATCCAGCACAGAGCTACGAAATTGTGCAGTGGGTCCGCGGCTAAGTATATAGCCATTGATATCAAGTATCAACCTGTGACAGCGTCTCAGTAATACTTTGGCAAGGGAGACTTACATTTTAACGAATTCCAGACGGACTTTTTGAAGTGCCAGCGGCATGACGGCAAATCGAACCGTTACGGAGTAGAAAGGGTGCTGTACTGGTCATTAAAAGATGAGGGGGTAACGTTGTGAAGCTGAGTTGCATGACAGAAAGAGGATCATCGTCACATATGGCACCATTGAGCAAATTTTCTCCGTCCACAAATTACGATGCAACGACGCGAACGAGTGTTAAAATGAAAGTCTGAACAGTGAACTCTAAGGGTAGGGGAGTATTGATGATATCATCTGAGACAGGCTTATAAGGTGGTTGCAAATTCATGTTTATTACGAGACGTGAGACTCTAGTAAGACTGGTTACGAGTCTAAATTTATTCATGTTCCTACTCATCATACACTCTCGCACAGTTCTGGATCTCAGAACTGACATTTTTGCTCATGGTCAACTAATATACTACATTGTCCTTCATCAAAAGCCGTCGAGATACGCTGGCTATTCAGAGCAAATGAGGAGAAAGATAGTACAAATAGTGTACAAATATCTGTTTGTGTAGTGAAATGACATGGGTGTGCCAATAAAAAGCAACGACCGAAGTTCACCACTTGTATGTACGATCATCAAGTAACTTATCATAGTGCGATCTCATGCCGCAAGATACATCATATATTGTACTGATGAGGGAAAGGGAGGTCGATCGTATCCTCCATGCGAGTAACCTCAGATCGATCGGCATGTTGGACAGCCCAGTCCATGACGTTGTCAAATTTCCTGCATGCATGACGAGTGTTGAAGTTTGGATAGGGTTTCGAGTGGTTCTTTACCCAGTCCCACGTGATCATCACGACTTCAGCATTGCACATGATAGACTGCCTGATCAGCTCGATGCAGTCGTCTAAGGTGTATGCCATAAGCAGAACGTATGTCGGGTAAGGAGGGAAATTTACCGAGATGCATTCGAACTACCGAGGGGTCCCGCTGGAACAAGGGATCCAACCTGTAATGGTCGGGCCAAGAGAATTTGCGAAGGAAGTGAAGTTCTACAGAATTGTCAGCCAAACATGACCGGGCTCTACAGTGTAGCATAGTTTACCAGACAACGCAGTTGGTGATTGATTTCCAACGATGCCATGAAACCTCCACCGTTGCTTTGTGGATACTTGACCTTCGCTGGTAGATCTACTTCTCCAGCTTTATGTAGGTCATTAATCGTAACCCGGATTGGTGGCACTGTGATTCCGTGTAAGTGAATAATGACCGACAGTACAATAGAATAAAATTGAATACCATACCATCGTCAGAAATCCTGGCCCAAGCGGCATCGAGTTCTGGGGGAGGAGGGCCATGATAGTGGGGAGCTTCGGGAGATCCACCGTTAATACGATAGATAGAAGGAAAATCGATGGTTCCATTGAACTTTATAATAACAGGCTCGACAGCAACACTTGCTGGAGCTGCAATGGGTCAATATTTTGACCATCTAGTGCCATCCGACTACTCACAGTATATAGCAAGATGAGCAGAAGGTGTGCTTATCCATAGCGTGAAGGAGAACACGGATGTGACGATAAGCGATCCAACGCTTAACCAAGGCCACAGGCAGAGAATACGATGTTTGAGATGAGGTTTTGCACCGGGCCTGTCTACGTCACCAAAGATCGTCTCTTCATCAACAGGAGAGTCTGTATAGTCTTGAGCCATGCTGGCTCCTGTGGCTAGCAGCTGCGTCTACTGCTCAGAGCTGAATACGAAAGCCGGCGAGATACTGCGTGCAAATGTTTCACTGTGAGTTCTTGATGTGGAGGATGGATACCATGTTGTAAACGCGCTGTAGCCTGTTTTGAGAGCTGGTGCTGACTATGCAATAACTTGAAACGTGTAATCAAGGAATCTGACACGCTTCTCAAGATTGCTACTCACCGAACGAGTTGATCAATATTGAAATATGTTATTTCAATGTCATTTCCGTCATCCTTTCTGGGAATGGGATTTGCTGGCACCAATACATCCTTTCCAGCTTCGTTCAACTATGACTCATGACCCATTAAACTTGCTGGCCTCCTGATGTGCTCGAAATAGTGCTCTACAAGCGGTGATAGGTTTGCGTCTGGAGCTGCAAAGTAGCGCCGGCGTGATTGAGTTTGGCAACTGAATCCAAATCCAGACCATCACTTACGGCCAATACTTTTCCCATTTTTACCTTATGGGTTGAGCATTAGAGTAGGCGCCAGGTGTCTTAATGGCACAATGAGAAAATATATTGTCCGTGCAACGAGTACAAGCACCATAGTCAGCCCACCGTACGGAGTGCTGAGTGTTGCCGGACGCGATTCGAGTCGTGCCGTTCTTCTGAACCGTGAGATCGAGATTTCAGCTTCAAGTTGACCGTTCTAGCTCCGCTCGGCTTTTGCAGTCCAAAATCGGCAGCCACAATTTGACGCTCTACCAACGTGCTCACGCCGCCGGTCACTGCTGCTTATTGTGCCTCATTCTGATTGCTATCGACCATCCTTCTGTAGCAGATGCTTTATATTTTCACCACCTCTCGGGACTGCAGATCTCGGATTACAAACCTCACCCATTGGACCGTCCATTTTTCACATGAAGTGCAAAGATTACAAGCACCAACGCACCAATATTGAGTATGTACATATGAGCGACTACTGGAATGAAGATGAACAGCAGAAGCTCTTACTCGAACTTGCTTGGAACAACGTCTCTGTCCTGCAAATGGTGTTTCTACCGTACCTATCACTGTGCCTGTCCGTTGGCGGTCCGAGGCCACCAAGGCGAGTGAAGTAGCAATGAGCTGGGGTCTCCAGGGATGAGTCATGTTCCTCGAGCACGATGAATTTCAAGGTATATGGGCAATTTGAAAACTGATTCTCCGCCATCGCTGGTGCTTAGAATTGTATGTTATGCCAGCTCATTGAGATATGATAACACAGGATAGCGGAAATTTCAATCAGGATCTTAGTTCAGATCCAATTGTTGGCACTTCTAGGTCTCCGAGGTTCACAGGCTGTATATTCCAAGTGCCTCAAAGTTTCGTCCTGCCTGTCCAATTCATATCCGAATGATCCCTCTTCCGTACGTTATGGGCAAGGGATATTCTGCTCAGTATTCTCCTGTCAATGGAGCGGACGACGAGGACGAGAAGCTTCTCCATAGGGATGCAGAAGCCAGACCTCACTCGAAGTCCCGTCTCCTTCACGTATCGCTGTGGCTCATACATGGTATCCTGATATTTATAACGTTACTCTTCTTCACGCTATGGGCACGAGCACTTTCGAAGGATGACATACTCCTGTACTGTAGGTGAACAAACGGCATGACAGAAATGCCTTCCTGACCCATCACAGCTCCGGCAAACGAGGCTATTGAATCCAAAGGCATTGTGAGATTCAACGGAAGTTGGGATCGTCGTGAGGTATATCGCGGCAGTCCGTCTCCAGATCTTGAAGCAGCTTGGGATAGAGTAACTGCCAATGGTTGCATATCTTTATTCCTATCGAGGCGATTACTGATTGACAACCTTTTCAGGGCGCCCAATGGGTATAACGCTCGAACAACTACTCGAAATAGAGGAAGAACCTGCCCCATTCATGGCTAGGTATCCGGAAGAGTACGGCGGGAATTATTTGGCGATTGTAGAGGTTATTCACCACCTTCATTGCATAGTCAGTCGTAACAGGGGGCTACTCGATCTTTACTCACCCCTTGTAGAACATAGTTCGCAGATCCACCTGGCGTAACCATTATATGGCAGAAGATCCTGACTTTATCCGATGGCGCATCCATCCTGGTTAGCATATTGTTACCCCTCAGCGTACGTCCTGCCTGCTAATGTTGTACATCAGATCACTGCGTCGAAATTCTCAGACAAGCCATTATGTGCCCCTCTGATGTAACAATGGTTAATTATGATTGGGTTGAGGGACTCGACGATCCTTACCCAAACTTCAATATTCCTCATCAATGTAGGGACTTCGAGAAGATTTTGACTTGGGTAGATGATCGTCGTGTTAACATCCCTCCATCGAAGTTGATCCGCCAGGAGGATAATGTTGATCTTCCTTACCCTCCCTAATTGTATTCCCGACCCATAGAGGATCTACAGGAGGCATGATATCGCATCACGAATGTCACTACAAAGACGTATGACTCGAGTTCTAGTGCTTATAGGCTGTCGCACAATAAATTCCCTTCGAATTAGATATCTTGTAAAGTCGGAGGCAGTCACGACTTCTACTGAACAAAGTAGTTCTACGACCACCGGAAGAACTTTTGACAGTGGTTGCAGTTAATAGTATCTCTCTCCCGATAGACACATCGGATTAACTTGAAAAAGGTATACATTAAGTGTCTCACGGGGCGTGGCAGGGCATGACCCCAACTGACCAGAAACGCCAGGTACTCGCTAACTCGACAGCAATCGCCTCGCGGTCCTTATCTGCCAGACTTAGCCGCATGAACAACCTCGAATTTGTAAATATACAGCACTCATCTTCCGCTACTCTTAACACTATCCCTCCAACTCCCACCATCATTGTCTCTGAACCAGTGGTACACCCCCCGACACCGGAAACCAGGGAGGAACGCTACTGCAAGGAACTCGAACTGGACAGGAAGGATGCCGAATGCGAGTTTTCTCATTACGAAGATGCAGGTATACTACTTGAAATAGCTGAAGGTACACAGATATTCGGGAGGAACGTGTCATATTTCTGTCTGCAATTCATAAGATTAACAGGTATCATGTTAGCAAAAAGAATGTACATTTCCGCTTCTATTCCGCGTCGCTATGGATGTCTTGCCCTGCAGTGGTCAAGCTTTATCTGTGCCTTCCGAGCGCATATTTTCATCGAACAAAGAGACTTGCACTCTACGGCACGGCAACTTATCTCCAACCACATTTGAAGCACTATAAGTTCTGAAGTTTATTTACGAGCAAGACCATCTCAATTTACAGAAGACCTGGTGGCTGACGAGCGGGACTATACAATATCTGGACCTGTGACACCCAAGGCAGTTGATGACCTAATGGCTACTGGGAATCTTCGCGAGCTTGTCGAGTTGCTCCGTCGGACTGCAAGGGACATTGATTATAATTAGTACAAGCGCTCCGTTCACCTTCGGACGTTTTCTACTGCGAATTACAATAAGAGATGTTTGTTTGCTGTTGTCTTTTTTTCTTCTTATCTTGCAAATAACGTTCGAACGTCCTGCCAACATCGCACTCTTGAAAGTGTGGTGTACAGCTGTCCGTGTGCGAATGAATCTGCGCGCAGGTCAAGCGTGGCTTCTCTAACGTCAGCCCTTGATACCCGTTGAATGTCGTCGCATAACCAGGTCGCAAGGGAAACTGTTTGCAATTTACGGTCCAGCTTTAACGCACTGGATTGAAAGAGAAGGTGATGGCAAGGCAGGCGATGTATCTCTCCGGTATGAGGGATTTGAATCTGCGATGAAGAGCGGTGATGTTGACTCCCGCATTTCGCACCATATCGCGATGTAGTCTGGAGTTTGCTCCGGTGCGTATTGCAAAAGGAGGGATAGAGATAAGCGAACAACGCACGCATATAAAAAGCTCGCCAGCATGTGGAGCACAGACAGGGGAGTCACGCGAATTGCTTCCGCGAGATCAAACGTTCGAATTCCGTCCCCACATATGTTATTAGATATCTGCTGGTCGCCGCATCACCCCGAACTCGTTTCAAAATTGAAGGGACAAAGTGCTTCATGGTAGTTCAACTGAACGTCATGCCACGTCATATTTCAAGGTCTAACGGGTTAAGCAAACCTACAAAAAGATATAAGGACCTCTGAATTTTCAACGTAGGCACTAACAAAGTGAACACTTCGAGTCTGACCTTTGTTCCTCTTAACTTCAAACATGCAACGCTATCTCCTTCTTAGTGCACTCGCCTGCATGGTGGTCCTTGCAGTCGCATACCCCATGTCAGAAGTGATTACGGATTCCTGCGAGTGTTCATGATATCAGTAGCATTATAGTTATTAACATATCATGCAGCTGTAGCAAAGTGTGACTCAGAGGATGGGGCCATTGCAGCCTTCTGGTCGATTGCCTACTACTGCGATGGCGTCGACAAGAGGAGCTGCAAGTATTCATGACCGTCAGTTACCACCACGATGCTGACGTACCTATTCAGCCGAGGATGAGGCTCTTGGGATCTAATTTCCGATTACCTATAACGAAGACAAGTAGGAATGTTCCGGCAAGTATTCACCTAGTTGAAAACATATCTTTACTTACATACCTATGCAGTACTAATACAAGTTGGGGAGAACTGGAAGGTATTTACCATCGTTGAGCGAAAGTAGGGCCACTTTTAGCAAATGTTGAGAACGTTCGAGGGAAATGTGTGTCGTGGGTTGGCCGTAGTTTTGGCTGTTTGGTATAGGGAGGCTTTTGGATGGTGAGGTATGTTTGCCAGTGTGAGGGAAACAACCTTAGCACAAAGGTGGTGTTACGTGAATACCACCGTCGAAGCTCCGATGAGCGTTGGGTGTTGAATCTTGGTGACGTGGCGCATCCACTGAGTGAAGATTGTGCTGGTATGAAGGTGACGGCTAGAGGGAGAAGACGGATACGTGCGGGAGGAGGTGCGGAGAATTGTAGAGTGAGTGGAGAACGTTGTACCTGGTATGTTTAGTAACTACATATACAAGCTGGTCAGCTGTAAAATCATAACATACAAGGAATTCAACATTCAAAACGATCAGCCACCATTAGAGTGCTGAACCGAAGAACCCAATTGTTGGAGAGCTGCGTGGAGGACTTTCTAGGCTGCCTGAAGCTCTGACAGCGACGTCCAGTCTCTTCCTGAATTAGTTACAGATGAATGGACGGCGGTGACTAGGGAACCAGACCTTCCTTGAAATGACATAGAGCTGTGCATGATCTTATCAGCCTGCGTGGGAATCTATGCATGGTGCATTGACTAGGGCCGCCCTTCACTCAGTGACAGTAATCACCCGGTTGCCTTGTCCACGACTACAGAAGTTACTAGTTAACGCCAGCGTCTGCTTCACTTTATTCGTAAACCTACAAGGATGCTTGGGTGGCTGTTTCACCTCGGTTTAGATGCATTCATCATCAGTGCATTCCTCGCTGGCATAAGGCGCTCAACAGGCCTCACGTACGTTTACCATGTTGCTAGTGCGAAATGTTCTCATACCACTGCAGACCTGCACTGTCTCAAGTTCCAAACAAGGACATTCGCCGTGAGTCCCAGCTGAGTGACCTGACCTGAGAGCACTTGTTCACACGTTGTTCTTGACTAGAGCTGCTGCGGTCGTATCTTGAAATTGGTCTGTAGACTCGTCCAGCATCAACTCTTTCATTTGCTCATGTGTTTTAGGTGAATACGCATTCGACTTCGCAGTCGTCATATTCGGGGTACGTGACAGACATTCTATCATCGTATCTCACACTGCACGCCACTGACAACAACGTACAACAGCGTTCCACTTATTTCGAGAGGAGGCATTGAAGTCCCCAAGTCCCATCTGCATTTCTCCTGCCAATTCGTGATAACAGACCGCACTCACTACGTTGTAATATTTTACTCTGAAGGACACAGAATCTGCTTACGGCCTTAAGCTTAACGAGCTGGTTGCAGCACAATTGTGTGCTTGCGCGACTCCACGTAATATTATACACATTCATCCGAGGAAGTTAAATACGAAGAAGTGTAGCACAATGGAGCCAAGGGCAAAGTCTGCGAATGCTCTGGCAGAAAATGAGGATCCATGTAAAAGTAAGAAAGGATGCAAATACCTTTCAGGCGAGACTTCCTTGAACTCGGATCTGTTTTCGGGGTTGACTTGTGCGCGGAGGGACGCAGTCAGAACGAACTGGCCTACCGAACTTGCAAAGCTGTGACGACACTCAATACATGTCTGACACGCTAACCAGCAAACTCACCCGGCAAGGAATGCATTGAAAGGAAAGTTCGTGACAAGTACGCAATATACGAACTGCAGCACCCCACTAAGCACGATGAACGCCAAGAAAGCGTCGATGAACTTGAGGCGGTCGGGGGTCTGATCAAGATATGATTTCCACAACGTTGAAACTGCCACAGAGGTTTCTGACGACGTAGGTGATGATTTTGAGGATGACTTTGGGCCAGCCATGCTGAACGAGTGACGGCTAACAAACTGCTTTACTTGAAAGTGACGACGACGTGGAAGAAACAGTCTCGTCCAAACAAAGAAGGTCGGCGACTTGAAAAGACCCCGACCCGTCACGTTCAAAAAATAAGTCTTTCGCTAACTTGCACGTCTCGTCCAAGGCCGAGCTACCTTCTACATAATCTGTAGTCTCTATTTTTCGTCATGAGCATTGCTGGTCTGCGAGCGTCGTCTTCCCTTGCGAGTGCATTGTCTGCATGGAAGAGCACGAAATGTCCAAGGCAATTTTGGGGTGCACGGAGACACCTTCACTCTCGGATAGAACTCGACTACAATGTCGATGAGGGCCTTGCAAATTTTATGTCGCCAAGGACGCTTAAAATTGTTTCCGAGGAGTACCAGCAAGGTCTCCTCGACCGGTTGAACGAGATGTTTCCTGGTCAGTGAGGTTTTATGGGCAGCTCCCTTATGACTTACACATGTACAGATGCTGCTGACCAGCGAAAGAGCGTCACGCAACTCGTGATAGACACTGCTAGCTCTGGAAAAGATGCCCTTGGCTTCTCCTATGCAAGCCACGCCCTCAACAATTCGTTCTTCCTCAACTGCCTTGTACGTCCAACTCCCCCATCTCGTTATTACACCATACTAATTTACTTGACAGCGACCCCCAAAAAACGATGAGGACTACGAAGATAAGATCCACAATCTTCTCATAGCCCCATCCATCCGCGCCCAATTCGGTAGCTTGCCGCATTTCATCAATAACTTTTCTTCCGCCGCCAGAGGAATGTCGGGGTCGGGATACATCTGGTTTATCACGGACGCCGTAGGCAACCTTGCCATTCAGCCCACCTTCGCGGCCGGTACACTTCTTATTCGCTCGCGTGCGTGCACGGAAAACCCTGCCGCTCGTCATGAGGTGCTTCACGAGGGCAGGTTCCGTGATGGCCCACAGCCAACGCAATTGAATACAGGGCTGGGCAACACACCGACATCACCCACGTCAGGCATGTCACATGGCCCTGCGCCACTGCATCCCTCTGCCCCCGTACGAACGCTGCACTCATCACCGTGCAGCCACTTAGACGGCGCGCGTTCTTTCTATGATAATGAGCCCGCAGATCGGGCGCTTGACCCTTCCGCGAGGAGCCTACGTAACCTGGGTGAAAAGATCTACCCCTTGTTCTGTGTCAGCATCCACGAGCATTGCTGGCTTCTCGACCATGGAGTGTGGGGTAAGGAGAAATACATGAAGGAGTTCTGGAGCGTACTGAACTGGGAAGCGGTTAACGAACGGTACCTGACATTCACCAATACGAAATTTGGCCCTCAACCATTGCGAAAGTAGGTGGATGGGGATGCAGGAATTTAGGGTGTTTTGGCGTAATTCACTGCTCAATTTACTTATATCTGCGACATCCATACTTATACCGTCCATTTAAACTTTTTCCGCATAGCGGAATGCTATTGATTTCATGCGGTAATCATCATGATAAGTTGGCAGATCGCCGCATCTTTGATCGGCCTTCGACAGACCATTTCGAAATGAAGTGTCCAGCGTGGTATGATTGCGAAGAATCTTACTGCTAATATTGCAAGGGCGGATTTGGAATTGTACCTGGCAGTAGAAGCAACTGAGAGCTAGTTCGGAAACTCAATGTTGGCAATATTCGGGAAATTGTATTGCGCAAACTTCTCGGCTGAATCATCCAGATCAATCGGAGCTTGAATTTGGCCGCTTATCGATATGATCAGCGATAGTGGCGAGGGTATGATATATTCCTTGTCGACTCATGGATCCTCAACCACTGGGGTTCGAAATGGATCGTCAACGCCTAGCTGCGCTCGTGACAAATCCTCGACCAGAGGTCCGGGACCGACTACTCAAGTGTATGGTACTAGTAATCAGTATTGTTGTTGCTGCAACACATAGTATACTACAGTCCATATATCCTAAAGATCCAGAACCCTACCATACTTCAGCTCTATCCGGGCAAGACTGGGTTATCGATTTGCTCACCAGTCACCCAGAATGCATCAGGTGTGAGCTTGGCATGCATGCCAATGCTTTTGTGGAGCTTATCTCTGAGCTTCGCACCATGGGCCATTCAGACTCCAAGTTTGTCTCCCTTGAGGAACAACTTTTGATTTTTCTCTACACCTCTGTGACTGGCCTATCAATCAGGCATGTTGTGGAGAGATTCCAATGCTTGAATGAAATGATTTCATAGTGAGTTTTTTTATTTTATTTTCAGGGACAGTATTTGATAGTATGTAGTTATTTCCGCAAGATGCTTGTCATTTTCATGTCTGACCCATTCTATCCAAAATATGTATGCTTTCCAGATGGTTCAGTCCCTCACGAAATTTGGAAGAACCCTAAATGGTGGCCCTTTTTCAAGGATGCTATTGGGGCACTTGATGGCAGTCATATCCATGTCACACCTAAGGCCATTGATTGTCCTGTTTATTGTAACCGCAAGGGCTTCATATCCCAGAATTGCCTCTTTGCTTGCAACTTCAATCTCAACTTCACATACACACTTATGGGCTGGGAAGGGTTGGCCACTGATGCATGCATCTATGAGGATGCCTGCGCTTTTGGCTTTTGCACTCCCCCTGGAAAATATTTTCTTGCAGATGCAGGATACCCTCTACATCCCAGGCTACTTGTGCCCTACCAAAGCATGCGTTATCACCTTGCTGAATGGGGTCATGTAAATTTGCAGTAAGTTCTCAATTGATTCACAAACATTGTGCTAAGTTCTAAGTTTTACAGGCCCTCGAATAAAGAAGAATTGTTCAATTTATGTCATGTGTCAGCATGAAATGTCGTCAAGCGCATCTTTGGTGTTCTTAAGCAATGATTTCACATACTACTTCTACCACCTGCATATGCTATGGAGATTCAAGCGCAAATTCCAGCTACGCTGTGTGCCATACACAATTACATTTGTATACATGATCCTAGCAAGGGTCATCCACCCACTGATAATGAAGATGATGAAGACAGATTTTTGGAGGATGGTCTTGGCACTGACATGGCCGTGGAAGATGATGCTGCAGCTATTGAGGAGGATAATGAGAATGAATTCTGTCAAGGAGCTGCAATGTGTGATCACATTGCAGCAGCGATGTGGACTCAGTATCAGCATGTCGTACTGGAACAGGGTTTAGAAGGGCTTGATATCATGGACGGTGATGAAGATGAGGATGCGATGGACAGTGATGACAGCAAGGATGCTGCAAGTGATGTGTAGTTTTACTTAGTACATCAGTAAATTCACACATTCCTTAGCACAGCTTATTTTGAAAATTAAAACTTATTTTTAACTTATCTATAATTATTCACTTTGCTTTGAGTTTGACAAGTCAAGTAAGGAAGCACATGGAATTTAAGTGCCGAAAAGCAGTGCAAGGCAAGATCAATTACCATTGCCAAAACAAGCGCTGCAAGTTGCAATACATCATTATTGATCTACTACTACTACTCATGATTTGAACTCTATACTCATCTGAACAAAGATCTCGAGCGTGATCTGGTATGTCCTCAGGCTTTGGCTCGTTGTTTGTTCATTGATGATGCTGGAACGACAGATAAACCAAGATCAATGGACTCCAACGTGCATTGCGGGCAGGAGCGAAAATGCCAGTGGACAGAGGCTGCCACTCATGCACTCGCAGAGGTGAATGAGGATGTGGGATGGCAGGTGGACTCAGAGGTCCCACTGGGGTTGTGGGAGAGACTGAAGAGGGTCTTGGGGCGCAAGGGTCGAAACTGAATGCGAGTGCAGTGTGACTGCAGGTTAAGGTGAGTGGAAATATTACAGCAGATGAGCTGCGAACTTACCGATCTTGAAGTTGATATTATCATCTTGGTGATTCGGTGTCTGGGAGCGGCGGGATGGACCTGTAAACTAGCATTTTGGTTGATGTTAGTAGTTTAGAGTAAAACGCAAGAGCACATTTGGCTGCGTTGAGGGTGAACAACTTACAGTCCATAGAGGACACGACCTCCTTGAACAACACTGTGCGTTGCTGACATGTAAGCCACCTGGACTTCATCCTCAAGAACTGACAGCCTTAGAATGGGTCTCTGGGCACCGAGACTGCAAGATGAGCTGAGGCAGTGGGGTCATAATGAATGCTAAGCAACTCCTGTGCCTGCTGTTGTTTGAGTGCGTGCATTCAATCCTTGAACATTTTCTGTTGCAATAACCTTTGGCGCTCATGCTCTAAGCACTTCAGCTCGACGCGCTTTGGGAAGGAAGGTCAATTAGAAGGAAGATCAGAGAAGTTTTAGCGGTACAAGGTAAGCACTCACTGAGAATGAATGCAACAGCACGACCTTCCCATAAGCCAAGGGCCATGATGGCATGGTGGACACGCCTGAGGAAAGATCCAGCTTTGTGGTGGTGATGGTGAGACTCAGCTTCATGATGGCGATAGACCCGCAAGACAGACCCATCAGGAAGAAGCTCCTTGACATTGCCTGAATTTTCCTTCTCAGAGGAGCTGGCCTGGATGGTTGATGTAATGGGTTGCATGAACAAGGGAATAGGAAGATCAGAGAAATTTTAGTGGTACAAGGTAAGCACTCACCAAGAATGAATGCAACAGCACGACCTTCCCATAAGCCAAGGGCCATGATGGCATGGTGGACACGCCTGAGGAAAGATCCAGCTTCATGGTGGTGATGGTGAGACTCAGCTTTGTGATGGCGAGAGGCTAGACCTGTGACTGCATGCCTCCTTGATGTGTTGGGAATAGTTGTAGGCAACTTGCTATTCACATTGTTAATACATTGTTGTGTCAGAAGAAAGGGTGCATACCTCATCTGAAAACATCTGGTAGATGTGAGTGTCCATTGCAACGCCGTTGTATCCATCGACCATAAAGCCATCCCAATCACTGAGACTTTGGAATGTGTCATGAATGAGCTCAACAGTATTACTTTCTGTGGATGAATCATAAGGATATCTATAGAATCCGGTCATTATTGGTCAAAATTAGGATGAGGGTGAGGTGCTTGCCTGATATTCCCATATGAGTCTTTCCAATATTGCTTCATGACTGTAAGCACATCATCACCATCAAATCCAGCAGGTCTATAACTCATCAATCCAGCTGTATAAACTAGGATAGAAGGGAACTTACTCATTCAATGGGGTTGATGTAATGGGTTGCACGAACATTGACATTGCCTGAATTTTCCTTCTCAGAGGAGCTGGCCTGGATGGTTGATGTAACGGTGAAGGTTCAACAACTCTGCTGGGCTTGCAGAGCTAAAGAAAGAAAGAAAACCTCTACCTCTGGGGTGAGAGGAAGGCTACTGACTCTCTAAGTGTTGGTCGAAGTGTGCCAGGCGATATGTTTGACCCTTAAGGGAAGCAAAGAAAGCAAGTATCCATGAAGTGACACCAGATCAACTCTGGTGAAGCGCGCTGAAAGCGTGTGTGTGGGAATGTCAAGCGCATAGGTGTGCGAAGCATGGGAATAGGGCACACACAGTGCGCAAACGTGTAAGAGATGATGATTGGCTGCTGCTGAAGACTAGGGTGATGACTATAGCATGCTGGCTGAAGATGATAGATTCTGACTATGAGATACTAAGTGACATGATGATGGTTCCTATTTTCTGTGGTGGTGGTTGGTTTTATGAAAACTTCCTAGGCAACAGGTAAGCTGTGCCTAGGCGTGCTCCCAGGGCTCGGAAGTGAATAGGGAGCGCTCTAAGTATGTAAGTAAGGGTCCATAATGAAATAATGTCATACTAATACTAAATATGGTCTGATAATGAGAATAAACAAGAAAGGACTCACTAGGGAACTGGTTGGACGATGGATGGATGCTCTGGGATGCTGCATGACAAAGTGCGACCAAGTGCGGGAAGAGCGCGCTAAGCGTGTGCGCAGGAATGCGTCGCATAATGTGGGAAAGTGTCGCGCCTCTGGCGCATTTCACAGGAAAGTCATAGATAGTGAGTTGCACACTATACCAATTGTCATGGGTCGAAATATGCGCAATATACGCCTAGAGGATTCTTGTTCCCTACAACGGGTTGTGCGAACAAGGGATTAGGAAGGATATGAAGTTCTCCAGAAACAGGACCAGAAGCTCCTTGACATTGCCTGAATTTTCCTTCTCAGAGGAGCTGGCCTGGACAGTTGATGTAATGGGTTGCGCGAACAAGGGAATAGGAAGGATATGAAGTTCTCCAGAAACAGGACTAAGGGTACTGTGTCAGCATCTGTGCAAGTTTTGACTGGGTGTTCTTCATGCGATGTCCCAGGACCTGACCATTAGCAATGGACCAAGAATTGGATTGAGAACCCACCTATGTAATCCAGTCAGGATGCTATCTTGAATGTGTGGTGGTCAGCGTATTTGTTGACATAAAATGAGCCGAAAGTGTCAAGAGAATGATAAAAATTGAGGGAGTGAGGAATGTACTCTGAACCATAGATAGCTATCAAGTGTGCTGCACAGAAGACTGTCTCGATGTGAATGACAGCAAGGTTCCTTGAGCCGTCCTCATGAAAACTTGGAGCGACCATCCACATGCCAGTATCTTCATCAGGGCAGTCACCAATCTTCTCAAACCACTGTATGAGAGTGCAAGGATATACTTCCCAGTTGTGCTTGAATGAAAAGAAGCATATGACTCTCACAACTTCGAGTCCTCGCATCCCTTCAGCATCTGAATCAGTGTTAATGAACATGCAATCATTGCGCAGGTACTCATTTCGCTAGAGTGGACATGCATGGATATGTTCGTGTCGCATGCCACCAATGCCACTCAGATCACTGGGAGCATAAAACATTGCAGCAGCAGAATTGAAGACCTGAAGCTTGCCTTCATGTCGAGGCAAGCTAGCAGCTGGGATATCTTTGGGTTGTGGGCATCATCTGGGTTGAGCTGAGAGAATAGAAAGTACTGAATGAGGCATCGTAGATCTGGAACAGCAACTTCATGTGCCAATGCTGCTACTGTCTGTGCCCATTTTTGTTCTGTGAGATACAGTGGTGAGCATTGAGATTGGACATTGCATGAGATTACTTACAAGGAGTTTTGGCGAGTGCCACATAAGCGAGCACTGTTGGACCATCAACTATTTCAGCATCATCAGTATCATCTGCTTGTTGTGGTTCAATGACGGGGGCATCTGGTTGCGGTGCAATAGCAGGGGCGTCTGGTTCGTTTTCATCTGCCATTGTATATGACTGTTGAGCATGTGAGAAATTTGAGAAAGAAACCTTAAACAGACTTACCAAGAGCAGCTAAAGTACTTGATAAAATTGTGCCAGTGAGCATCCCTCACACATCAAAGTCTGCATGGGACCCTGCGAGCTTATCAAGGCACTGATTGGTCACAAGCATCTGACCAAGAGCATTGTGCCTGTTCGACCACCACCAAGGCTCCTTTATGGCCTTGATGTGCTTTGATTCTGTGATTGATGAGCACAGTCTGTTAGGGGCACCAAAGAGTCTGATCATGTCAACATAATGAACCATTGAGTGCTGATGGGGGAGTGAGAAGGTGGGAATGATGTTTTCAAATATCATGTGATATCGATGAAAATGACCAAGTGTGTCTTGAATCTGAATCAGTGTATCTTCAGTAATGACATTGCACCAGACAAGATAACAGAATTCTAACAATGCACGAAACGTGCGCACCATGTCTTGAGGTACATGACCTTCAATAGCCAGAAGAAACACTTTCATGAGTGCTTTGGAATCATCGCCAGTCCACTGTTTAAAATCGTGGCCTTGAGGGAAATATTGTAGACCAGAGAATGATGGTACAGCAGCAACTCTGACTTATTGTTAGATAATATTGTTGAGTAAATGAGTAAGTTGACATACCTGCGATCTATGTTGCTCATGATCTCCTCTGACCATTTGGTCCCGTGCATGGCCTTGAGGTACTTTGCTACCCAATCAACGAGATGGTCTTTGAAAGCCCCTTTCATTAGCTGGTGGAGGAGGTCAAACGACAGCAACTCATGAATGTCAGCTCAGGGGAAGTCATTAGTGAATGGCTACACAAAATAGATTAGTCTGGTATTGGAGAGCGGCTTGTTTGACTCACGACAAGATCACCAATGAGACCAAATTCATCCCACAATACATCCACATGTAGCTCATTGATTAAGAAATCAGTAAACTTGCGGGTGTGGTAGGTGGCATCACCATCAAGGTTTGTGCGAACCACAATGCATCTACACAAATTGTTAGTGTGAATGGATACTGACTGCAAGTGCCAATACTCACTTTGGGCACCAATGTTTGACAATACAGGATAGCACTAGTTGTTCTTCATAATCTGTGATGTATGATCCTAGACTATATATGACACGCCGAAAGTGTCCATCTCCACAGCGCACGACCTCATACTCAGTCATAACAGGTTTTAGACTGGAGAGAATCACAGACAATGAGCTGTGGAACAGCTGGTGGTGAAATATCTGAAATAAGTCATCTTTCAAATGTGTCTTGTCAGCTGTAAGACAGGTCAGATGAGGCATATGTTACAGTCGTGGTTACCCCCTATCTCTTTTTCTCATACTTGTGTATTACGTCATGACCACACCTGGCTGTGCCATCATTAGGCTAACGTCCTTTTATATCTGTATTACAGCACGACCGCTGCGTACCGTTGCTAGCTGACTCATCCCCTTATCTCTGACTCAAGCTGACTCACTCTCTTATCTCTGACTCAATTGATGACGCATGCATACCTGCCCTAAAGTACCTACATCTATATAAACCCAGTCATGTACTTAGATAGATCTTCACTTTAATCTACTAGGTCTTACCTGACTATCCTTTGCTTAGGACCTCCAATCCTAAGTTGTCTGATAACCGATATTCAAGCTAGAGACACACTCTCTGGCTTGTCTTAAGAACCTTACATTTGTAAGGACATGATCCGGCTTCAGGCGTGCTCTTATCGAGTACCTGTTGTCACACCCATCCTAGTTCGCCGTAACAAAAGATTAAAGTCCACCACCGACCCTCTCCATCAGAGAGGTTACAGAAACCAGAAGAACTCAGTGAGAGAACGAGAATGTTCCCCTGAACTAGAAACATCACTTGACTAGATGCTCAGGATGTCCACCACCCCAGAATTGAAAGCCAGAGCCCCATCCACTTATAATGGGAGCCCTCAGCAGGCTTTACGATGGTTGTATGCAATTAAAGCGTACTTTGCGCTTAATGCTACAATCTACAATACTGATGAGAAGAAGGTTATCACTGCTCTCGTGTATATGACAGAAGACAGTGCCATGGGTTGGGCACTCACTTTCTACACTGAAGTTGATGACTCCTCTACCAAGTCGTATGGAACCTTCGCGAACTTCGAAACCAAGTTCAAGGAAGCCTTCGTCCCTGCCGACGCTGTCAGTACCACCATGAATAAACTTAGGACATTAAGACAGACGGGTGACCTCACATCTTACATTGCCAGCTTCAAAACCCTCGCTGTACAAGCAGGTGTCAAGCAGGATGCTGTCTTAATTACGTTCCTCAATGACAGGTTGAAGAAAGGAATCATCAATTCCATCTATCAGATGGAAACTATCCCAACAGACTTTGATAAGTATATCGCAGCGGTCATCAGACTCGATAGCAATTACCAGAGGGGTGTCGCATATCGATCCAACCATCAAACTACCACTAAACCCTCAGGACAACGCTATGTACCCAGACCAACTATCGACTGACACAACCCAAATGCTATGGAAGTAGATTGGCTCACAGAAGCAGAAAGAAGTGACCATATGAAGAAAGGCTTATGCTTTACTTGTCACCAGAAGGGGCACATGACCAAAGCGTGCCCGCAGAAGAAGAAGATCCCTATCCGCAGAGAAGAAATGAGCGATAGTGAAGAAGAAGATACAATGATCCGTCGCCTTGCTGAGGATTTTTGATGTGGAAGACTGGATCGACGTCAGTATCTTCCAATGTACCTATCAGACTTGTACAAAGTATTGGAATCAGAAAGGAACTTCGCGTTCCCATTTCCCTCATCTCCAAGACTCGTCTGAAAACCGTTGAAACAACAGCCGTCGTTGACTCCAGCGCCACCAGAACCTTTATCTCTGAAGAGTTCGTCAGAACTCACAGAATCCAAATGCATAAACTATCGAAACCATTTCGGGTTACCACCGTGGATGGAAGTTATGCAAGGGGGGGCGCTATCACCCGATATTGTGTCCTCATTGTCAAAATAGACGAACAATCTATGATAGGAAAGTTCAATATCACGCGACTTGGTCGGCGTGATCAGATTTTACTAGGGATCCCTTGGCTACATGCCATGGACCCAGTAATCCGATGGAAAGCGGAAACGCTAGAACTCTCCAGGATGGAGAAAAGTGACCAGATTGAAGAAGAAGTCAATAACGAACGGAAGAAGAATAGACTACCTCCGTTATTTCAAAGAAGAAAGAATGAGAAAATGGACTTGGTTCCAGTCGTAGTGCTGCCAAAGGCGCCTCCTGCAAAACTGGTTATGCTACCAAAAGAACCAGCACCCCGAGCCACGATAGAAGACGTTACTGACAAAGAAGAAGAGACATCACCGGCATTGCCAAACTTAGATCCCATCCCCGATGACAATGATGATTCTTTCGATACGAAAGAGGACGTATGGACAGAGGACTATGCACCACCCATACATGAAATCTCCACCTACCATCTAGAAGACGACAAATTCCTGGTTGAATACTCCATTGATGCCACCGAGCTCTGGGTAATCACCAACATCTCACTGGATACCCCGTTAACCAAGGACGGTACCAGCGTTGCAGAACAAAGATCTACTATTGCATCTTTGCCGCAACCTGCTGAATACGTCAAAACCAGTAACAAAGCACAACAATTTGCGTTGGCCGCTGGACTCAAGCAGAAGATGAAGACATTCGAAGAACTCGTCCCTCCTTATCTTCATGATTTCGCTGACATCTTCGCAAAGGACGGTCTGAACCAACTACCGCCTGAATGACCTGGCATAGACCACCGGATAGAAACTAAACCTGGTTTCATTCCCAAAACGTCTAAGGTGTATCCACTATCCAAAAAGGAACGCACAGCGGTCAAGGCATTCATTGATGAGAACGTACAGAAAGGGTTTATTTCTGAATCAAAGTCGCCGCAAGCTAGCGGTTTCTTCTTTGTAGGAAAGAAGAGCGGGGATCTTTGTCCTTGTCAGGATTACTGGTATATTAACGAATGGACAGTCAAGAACGCCTACCCACTCCCATTACCACTTTCTCTGGTCGCTCGGTTACATGGGGCCAAGTATTTCACAAAAATGGACGTCCGTTCGGGATACAATAATATTCACATTCATCCGGAAGATAGATGGAAGGCAGCTTTCACTATGGAATATGGCCTCTTTGAGCCAAACATCATGTTCTTCAGTCTTTGCAATTCCCCCGCCACTTTCCAGGCGTATATGAACAAGATGTTTCAACAAGAAATAAACGAAGGATGGCTTGTCATATACATGGATGATATCTTGATTTTCTCCAATGACCTCACTTCCCACCATGAATGCACATGGCGTGTCCTTGAGAAAATCCGGCAAGAGAGACTCTTCCTTAAACCTGAAAAGTGCACCTTTGATGCTCAAGAAGTGGAGTACCTTGGTATGATAATTCACCCCAGATGTGTAGCAATGGATAGCGCCAAAACCGATGGTATTCAGGATTGGCCTGCTCCTACGACTGTGAAAGAGGTTCGGTCATTCCTGGGATTTTGCAACTTCTATCGGAACTTTATCTCCCATTACTCTGATATCGCCCGACCCTTGATTGACCTCACCAAGAAAACCGCCAAATTTCTCTGGACAGAATGACGTTCATCCACCTTCACCACATTGAAGGAATGCTTTCTGAAGCAACTAGTCCTTCGGAACCCGGATCCCAGTAGACAATTTGCGGTCGCAACCGATGCATCCCTAGTCGCCACGGGCGCGGTCTTACTCCAAACTGATGATAACGGTGTCTATCACCCATGTGGATACCTGTCGCAAACCTTGAACCCGGCAGAGAGAAATTACCAGATTTTTGATCGTGAACTCCTAGCAGTCATTCGCGCCCTCACCAAGTGGCGTCACTATCTAGAAGGAAATGCCCACCTGGTCATCATATTCACGGATCACAAGAATCTCCTATATTTCAGAACCGCACAAAAGCTGACTCGCAGACAAGCTCGATGGCAATTGATTCTGTCATGCTATGATATTGAACTCCATCACGTTGCCGGAACTAAACTCGTCGCCCCAGATGCTCTCTCTCGTCGTCCTGACCATGGATCAGATTCCTCCGAAGATAACACCAATGAAACACTCCTCCCCGATTCCATGTTTGTCCGACTCCTCGACATTGAGCTCATGACCACGCTCGCTAACCCTGACCCTACCGACCCAGATCCCATCTTCACTGCTGCCTCTGATGCGCTAGATGGTCTTTCCCTTCCCCCGATGAAATCCGCACTCTCCGATTGGATGACCAAAGATGATATCCTTTACTATAAGGACCGCGCCTATGTCCGCCCTGCTGGACGGCGTCTTATTCTAGAACGATGTCACGACCACCCCACCGCCGGTCACCCCGGTCATTTTAAAACAGAAGAATTAGTCAAACGGGACTTTTGGTGGCCCTCCATGGGCACATATGTCTGAAAGTACGTAGAGGGTTGCACCCTTTGTCAACAGATGAAATCCGATACCCACCCGCCGGCCCCTCCCCTGCTCCCCATCCCATCCATCACCTCCGCTCCATTTATGCAAATCTCAGTTGATTTGATCACCGACCTCCCTCCCTGCGCCAGCTTTGATTCTGTCATGGTCATGGTCGACCATGGCCTTATGAAGGGGGTAATTCTTATCCCTTGTACTAAAACCATCACCTCAGAGGGAGTCGCCAAGAAATTTTTCAAATACGTCTACCGACGGTTCAGCTTGCATGAGAAGGTCATCTCCGATTGCAGCCCACAGTTCATATCTAAGTTCTCACGAGCCCTCGCCAAGCTCTTGAAATACGACATAGCGGCATCCACCGCTTATCATCCTCAGACCAATGGCCAGACTGAATGACTCAATCAGGAACTTGAGACATATCTCCGGATCTATTGCCGGAACCACCTGGAAGATTGGGTTGAACACTTACCAATGGCAGAATTTGTGCATAACCATTGAAAGCACGATTCCCGCAATGCGTCCCCCTTCTTCTTAATGATGGGCTATGAACCACAGGCCCTTCCTCATACTCTCCCTGACTCTACCGTTCCCACAGCAGAAGAAAGACTCCTCCTTCAGAAGTCTAGAGAAGAGGCCCTCTTGTGTCATAATCTCGCCATGCAACAAATGGCCAAATGAACTCATGGACAGAAGTACCACCCATGGAAAGTAGGAGATAAAGTTTGGTTATCTGGAAAGAACCTAATCACTCAACTGCCATCATGGAAACTTGCACCCAAACGATACGGCCCTTTCCCAATCACCGCTGTCCTCTCCCCCATCACATTCACACTCCAACTACCTCCACAATGGAAAGTTCATCCCATGTTCCATGCTTCGGAACTATCATCCTATCATGAGACAGAGGTTCACGGACCAAACTACCATGATCCCCCACCTGATATCATCAATAACAAAGAGGAATATGAAATCGATGCGATCTTATCGCATAAAGGGACGGGTAAACAAAGACGCTATCTCGTATCCTGGAAAGGATATTCTTCCACCAGCAATGAGTGGGTTCCAGAAGGAAATCTTGCTAATGCCTCTGATACTCTCATCGCCTATAAGAAAGCCCATAGGCTATAGATTTTCAAACAATGTCCCACATCGAACGACTATGTCTCTGTATCCTCTGTATCAAAGAACTTACTGCAGCCATGAACACCATCACTGAAGGGAACGCTCACCTGTTGACCCTCCTTGATTACCAAAACATTACCGCCACCAACCTTGCCCAACACGCATCATCCCCTGTAACCTCACCACCGGCCTCTGACTCTACCCTGACCCTCACCGACGACTCTGTCCTCACCGATTACTTCTCGGTCATTGACCAAGTAGAAACTAGCGCTCTATTCGAATCCGCCATCACTTCCCAACAATACGCTATAGAAATAGACTGTCTCCTTGGAGAATGGGGAGCAATATCTAGTGGCCTTATTATCAGGATTATCAGAGATGCCAGTCTTATTGATTGTACCGCCGCTCTCCTTGATGATGAGCGCCATCAAACCATTTTCTGCCATCTTCACATACGTATTCGCAACACTGCGATCCGCCTGTTGCCTGAAGAAACTAGAGACACTATTCAAGAAGCTATCCACATTGTCACCGAACGTATCGCCCTTGACCCCGTCGCACGACCACCATCCCCTCACATTGTCATTCCCGTACCACCACCAGCTCCTGTTATGACTACCATGGAGCATCAGGATGATAATATCCCTCCTATTGCCATACTTGACGTACCAACTTCTCCTTCTCCTGACCCCATCACGCGTACCACACAACGACTCCCACTCAAACGAAGATCTTCACGCATTGCCGCTAAACAAGCTGCCTCCGTATCCCCAACTAAAGCACCACTTAAATGGTCAAGATCACCCTCTCCCCCAAATCAGTCCTCTTCTGTCACAATCGTAAAGACATCACCGATCGATAATGTCATATGCCGTAACTGCCACGTTGCCAGGCATCGTCACAAGAACTGCCCTGTGTACTATTGCAGAGTTTGCAAGGAATACGCACCCGGCCATCTGTCGGTCTTTTGCAAAGAGCTAAAAGGAGAAGTGGTCATCCCTTTGGTATGGACTGACGTCGGTTTCTACGACGCGCTTGCTTGCTGGGAGATTGAGCAAGACGCTATCGCTCATGCTGATCAGATGGCGCAAACCACCATCACTGAGGAGCAGGATGATCTCCTCTATTCCAACTATGACGCGGACCCCGTCTACTGGGCTAACCAGGATAATTGAAGTCGGTGACTTCATCACTAAATGAGGGGTAATGTTACAGTCGTGGTTACCCCCTATCTCTTTTTCTCATACTTGTGTATTACATCATGACCGCACCTGGCTGTGCCATCATTAGGCTAATGTCCTTTTATATCTGTATTACAGCACAACTGTTGCATACCATTGCTAGCTGACTCATCCCCTTATCTCTGACTCGAGCTGACTCACTCTCTTATCTCTGACTCAATTGATGACGCATGCATACCTGCCCTAAAGTACCTACATCTATATAAACCCAGTCATGTACTTAGATAGATCTTCACTTTAATCTACTAGGTCTTACCTGACTATCCTTTGCTTAGGACCTCCAATCCTAAGTTGTCTGATAACCGATATTCAAGCTAGAGACACTCTCTCTGGCTTGTCTTAAGAACCTTACATTTGTAAGGACACGATCCGGCTTCAGGCGTGCTCTTATCGAGTACCTGTCGTCGCGCCCATCCTAGTTCGCCATAACAGCATAATGAAATTTAAATATGAACATACATACTTTTGGGTATGGTGAGGAAACTGATGATGACAAGAGCATCACAGTGTGCGCATCCTACGTTGTTGCATACATTACCAATCAAGGCATAGAGGGGGTAATACTCATTATTACCAGTGCCCACAGAGACAGTAGTCTTGTCACTACCGAGAGTGATTGGGATCAAAGCAGATCTGTGTGTTTCTGGATCTTGCGATATGGTGTCCTTGATGGAATATTAGCTATATAATGAGCGATACCAGAAAGAGATGGAGGACATACTGCCTGTTGCCATGCCCAGTCTCCGGACATGAAGTCTTTCCATTGGTGTGTCTCATCTGATGCATCATATTCATGAAATGGCACATAGTCAATTTCATCCTTGTAGGTAGGGTTAGCAAGTATATTGTGTGCCATTGCACAAGGGTCCCTATACCAGACCTCAAATTCTTCATCCATCCAAGGTGGGACAACCTCAGGTTGTTCTCCTGTGTATTGTGCAGAGAAACACTGCCAAGGGACATCACCAAGCTGCGTTGCATCTATGACATTGTGCAGATCTTTGTGATCAGCAAATGGAGGGGTGTCATGGTGTTTCGCAAGTGTCATGGCCATCAAGTCACACAGGAAATCCAAATTCCTCGCTGACATGTGGCATCTTTTGAATGCAAACTCTGCCGCCTCAAATTTGATTCTATTGCGGTATGGGCTCCAATCATCAGGAGCCTTCGGTGGTGCAGGAGTCAGAGGGGTACCATGCGGCAGAAATGTCCCATCAGCCATGCATGGTCATCCTAAGCATATATTTGAGTCAAAAATGGAGTATTCAAACTTGAACAAAACTTACCATTTAACTTTGAATGGAACATGCGATAGCAATGCTCACTCACGTCAGTGAATTCTGCGTCGGTGTTTGAATCCTCATGAGTTGGATCAGGGAGTATGGGAGATGATGGCCAGGGTGGGGGTGAAAAATCCAGAGGGGGCAGCGAGAAATCTTGAGGGGGTGGTGACAAATCTCAAGGGTGGTGACAAGTCTCAAGGGAGGGAGGGTGAATGAGATGGCCGGGGATGATCCTGAGGGGACGGTCCTGAAACAGGTAAAGTTGGGTGAAGTGAGTGCCTGTGTTGTGTGAGACCTGACTGGTTTTGAAACCAGTGCGAGCATCCTGGAACTGGGCATGGAAGCTGAAGCAGGTGGTGAGCATGATGGGAAGGCATATGTGCTGTGCTGGGATGTTGACAATTGAAGAAGATGTCAAAGGTGGACACATTCTAGGTTTGGGGTGCAACCACCTGTAATTATTGGCACCAATGTGACAAACCAGTTTGATAATAAAAGCCAGATTTGGGGCCCAGACACGAGCAAACTGTACCGAACAGGCTTTGGCAAACATTGATTTTAGTGCTACACTGGAAATGTGGTGGTTAACCTCAGTCTCACTGTGTCAACGAATGAAAACTAGTACTCACAGTGCAGAAAGGGTTGGTAGACTATCTCCTCATCAGAAAGGTGTTGGTGAACCATGACATCAATGTCCCACAGGCAAAGTGTTGGATTGGAGTGCCTGAAAAATGCTGGAGACTCCCAATATTAATGGCAACGGCAAAATATTGCGCTAGTATATTAGTAGGTACATCAGAGCAAAGTAGGGTCATATGTATTTATTCAGAGTCAGCTTAGGCAACATTTTTTGGAGAGTTGTGACGAAACTCACCTTGTTGTCAGCCACCACTAGTCAAATTTTCTCTTTCTTCAGCCTCCTAAACCCTCCGTTGATACCATGTCTCAGCCTGCCAGCACAGTTTCGAAATGTGTGATGACCCAAGCTAAAAATGCAACTCAGCATCCAGGTTATATCCTGACTGGGGGCAAAGGCCACATAAAGAGACATACCAAAGCTCAAAAGGCCGCTGACGATCAGTGCAAAGAAGAGGAAAAGAGGGCAAGTGAAATGGCTGAACTTGAAGCACATAACCAGATTGCTACTTTTCAGAAACAAATGGAGACAGATCAAGCCGCTAAATGAGCTGATGCACCAAAGCCTACTCGTCCCCACCCACACCCTGTTAAAAAGGCTGTAAAAGCCATGGAGACCTCCAACTCGACTATGGCTGAGGATAAGGCCGTTAGCGCTGATGGCAAGGGTGGTAGAGTGGGAGGTAAATTAGCAACTGGTGCTAACGTCAAACATCCTGAGAGTGATGCTGAGGAAGAGGTGCAAGTGCCAGGGTCATGCGAGAAGAAGGAGAAGAGGAAAGTGTTACCAGTGAAGACGCCAGTGAGAGATGCAATCCAAGCTGTGGGCCTTATCGATGAATCAACAATGGCACATGATGACAATAAGAAGCTTGATGATGTGTAAGATGTTTGCTTCTCAACTATGTTGCACCATCTCACTGAAATGGCTCTTTTCTTTTTCAATCTAATGGTCCATGATGATAGCTCTACTAAAGATTATGGTATTGCTGCCAAGTGCATCTTGGGTTGGAGGACTGATATTCCTCCTGCTGGTTCAAAGCCATCCTCCAGCTTGAGGAAAAAATTATCTACAATGCCTTCCAACTTCTCTAGTACTGCTCCCTCCTCTAAACTAACTATGGGGAGTACTATTAGTAGTGGTGGTGCCCCACTCACACCCATTGACACAATCGCTGATGCTGGGGCTGACAACGTGGCAGATCATTTTACGACCCTATTTGCAGACGATGATTTGGACAAATCAGTCAAGCACTCTCAAGCCCTTGCCCATATGTCTAAACCAAGGGCTGCTCAGGTGAGTTCAATTACCCAGTTCTTTTTATTGCGTTAACTGCATTACCAGGGCGTCAAGATTTCTTCTAAGGTTCCTGATACTTCAGTACAAACCATTCATGCCTATCAAAACACCAATCTGACTCCTCAACAGCTCAATGCAATTTAGTCTGACATTGTTGCCAATGATGAAATGAACGTTGAGGCAGCTCCCCCAGTAGTAGCTTCCCTTGTTAACTATGGATCCAACACCAATATGGAATCTGACCTCGAGCCTCCTCCTTCTATGCAGGTCCCCAGAGGATATTATGATGCTGATATCCGTTGAGCTGCAGCTCTTGCTCAAACTCAAACATCCCACTCTGCCATGACAAGTGTCAAGCACAAACTCATAGATATCCTGACCAATGATGATGAGATCGAGGATGCCCTGCTGGAGGATGACCTGATTGAGGATGACTTCATTGTCAATGACAACTTCACAGATAATCATGCCTTTGCGATTGAGGAAGATGCACCTTCATCTGATATTGAATTTGTGAATCACATCAAGCCTGTGGTGGTCAAGACCAAATCCAAACCAGTATCCTTGTGGGTCACTTCTGCAGTAGTAAGCTTCAGTTATTATTTTTAAATCATACTAACTACAAATTATGTAGACTAATGTTGGCGTCAAACACAGAGCTCCTGTGGCAAAGCGGACAAAGTCTTCTATCGCACACACTCATAGTCTTTCCAGCATCTCGAGTGCTACTTCTGGCGCCATGCTGAAATCTGTAGAGGTGGAGATCCTCCCCTGTTCTGCTTACAGGATCAAAAACCTTCCTGGAGGTCCTTGGGCAGTCACTAGGTGGAGCTCAGTCTTCATTCCTACCCTCATTTCCACTGTTGGGGATCAAGACGAAGTTTGGGGCCGACTCAAGTTGGAGATGACGCTTTGCACTATTATGCAAGACACTTGGAATGTGGTCTACAAGGATATACCTCACATGGTCACCATTGATGGGCCGGTTATGGCTTTAGTAAGTCATTTTTGACGCATTTCATATCTGATTGTGTTTTATTTTTTTATTAGGCTACCCAGCAGCTATCAGAGTGGCACAACAGTGTTGGCACTACTGCCATCACAGTACTTACGCACTTCATGTCATCACAGGATGATGTGGAGACTGATGAGGATTGCAAAAATCTTGCAAAAAACTTACATCTCAAGTTAGCTTTCTTGTATGGGACCGTCACTGAGGACAGCAAATTCAAGCAGCCTTTTCAATCTGAACTCCTCATTCAAGTTCTTGTACAGCATAGGTGTGCTACTTGGGGCATTGTTGACAACCACAGGACAGTCACACACACAAAGGGCGCCCTTAGTCTTGCCACTGCAGCGGCATGTATATTCATTCTCCCGTCATACCACGACTAACTCATTTCTCGTGTTTCAGATGGAACGTGCCCTCAATATTTTCAGTGGGGACATGTGCGTCAGTGAACTGAAAGTCAACAGCAAAGGAAAGGCCATCAAGGTCCCACACACCATGAACAAAGCCTCAGGCAAGCCCAGTAGCACTCTCAAGGTGTTTTCGGACACAAACTACAGTGAGGTGACCAGGGGATACATGAAGTCTATCAACCACCTCTGAGAGTCGGTCATCCAGGACATCTGGGAGCGCACCAAGGACATTGCCACAAAGAGGCATGGTGCACCCGCCGCTCTTGACAGCAAGGATTCCGATGATGAGCATGCACTCATCTATGACGACTGGTAGTACCATTTCATTGTTCACTACTATTCCCTAACTGATGATTTTGTAGAGTCATTCACTACTACTAGGTGCTGCATAGTATATTGAATCTCTCGTGCTTGTTCTTGCTTGACGTCTATATTTCACTACTTACTAGTACTTGCATGCTCTTTCCCTCGCTTAATTTACAAAATGCCAGTGTTTTTGTGGTTATTTTTATATTAAAAGTGTGAAATAAGTGAAATAAGTGAAATAAGAATCAACAATTTGCACAATGCAATGGAGAAATAAGTGCTACTGTTAAAAATAATTGCCCAAAAAGCTAGAAAAGATTGAAATAAGTCATGGCCAAGAGGAGGCACCTGCTTTGTCGACTTAAAATTGCCTTGTGGCAAGTTTACAGCAAGTTGGTGTCACCATTCTTGTGAGGGACTTATCCATGCCTTTTTGGGAAATTAGCTGGTGGCAAGTTGCAAAAAAGGAAGCTAAGCAATGTGTGAATTTACTGATGTACTTAGTCTGCTCCAAATCAATGAAGAAAGCGCTTTGTTATTGGCCACAGGTAGTAGTACAAAGTATAGAGAAGTAGCGAGCGACACAACATGATTGAAAACAAACAACATAGACAACTCAGCCCATCATTTCAGCATCAGCATGCACTGGACCAGCATCACCTGCATCAACTTCCTCACCAATCAGCTTCACCACAAATGCATGCCTCATACACTTCTCCTGCATATTCATGTAGAACTTCAGATAATGTTTGTTGCCCTTTGAGCCAATCGTAGTGATCAATGCAGCCTGCTGGCCCAGCGGTAGGTCAGAGTCTTTGCCTTCCAAGATTTTGACAGCTCACATCACCAAGTCCTCACTACCTTGCGCACCATCGGGCCCTCCTCTAACAAACCATTCAAAGACATCAGTGAGCCAGTTGATGGTGCCTTGCATCCCCACCACAGCAGCTGCCAGTGTGATCTTCACAGCCTTGGTGGCACTGCTAATCTTTGTGATGTGGCTGTTCTGGGACACCACTGGTGTCTGTGGTTTCTTGGACAGGGGGGATGACACCAATGTGGTGGAAGGAGGTTGCATGGACGACATGTGTGTGGAGCCAAATGACATTGTCTCAATGTCCCCCATCACATCTGAATACAGGCGCTTGCTAGCATTAGAGCCAGCAGCGGTAGACATAGCAGTGGAATGTGCTGCAGTGGAATGTGCTGCAGTGGAGCTAGTGATGGAAGTAGTGATGGCAGCAGCACTTGATGGGCCGGCACAAGCACTTGATGGGCCAGCAGCAGTGGCAGTTGGAACAGCAGCCTGTGGGGCAGCATCCACAAGGTCAGTGTCAAGATTGGTGATGGAGGGAATAGCACTACCTGGACAAAAAGCATCCTGTCCTCTAGCGCCACCCAATGGTATAATGGCCTGCATTTTTTTGTAGTGCTCCCATCCTTTGTTGTGGAATGAATGCATGGGTTGGTTTACCTAACAGGATGTAAGCTCTCAAATCAATATAAAAATGCAGGGAAATATCTTGACAGCAAGATATGATTTCCACACAGCATCAGCCACAGATCCTTTGATCCCAGCTCCAGTCTCATTGTCCCAGTGGACCCCTGTCTGGTTGCAGTACTTCTCAATAGAATTGAAGGTGGCTTTGAGCTAGAGGACTTGTTAGCTTAGATCAGAGCAGATCAAATCTGACATACTAATGTCCACTTGCTTTGAACTGCTTTTGCTGTCTTCAGTGCACCTGACTGCTTGGCTTGAAGTGGCTTATGGGTGTTGATGAACACTGCAGCATTCTCAAGAACCTGTTGCTTGAAGTTGCCTCCCCCTTCAGCCTGTGAGTGATGCTCATATAGATAGTCGATAAGGGTAGCAATGTCATCCTCATTCCAATGGACAGAGGGGGCCTTGGGCTGACAGGGAGCATTGACTTCAGGTTGGGCCATGAGAAGAGTAGTGTACTGGGCACAGATCACAGTGATCACGACAGCACCAGCAAAAAGCCTCTTGCACCGCTCTAGGGTAAGATGAGGGTAGATATCCATCAATAATATGTACAGTAGGACAGAGACAAAGTTCAAGCTCCGACATCTCGGGACGATGCCGATGAACTTCGTGTAAACATCAACAAAGTAAATATTGGCCAACATTGAGTTTCCGAACTAGCTCTAAGCGACTGGAGAAAATACTGAAGTTCCAATATCTAGCCACTTGATGCACATATGTTTGAGTGCCTCAAGATCTGCTGGAGAAATGCACAAACCTCGAACATCCCATTTATGTCGACTCGCCAGGTTGCTCAATAGTAAAGCAAGAACCGTGGATGCTCCGAATGAATGGCCGATGTTACCACACACGAATTGAGTAGGTCACGGACAGCATGGTTGACGGATGCACTTTAAACAACAGGAGGTGTATCGTCGCATACTTGGATGTATATGGTTTGTCCTCATTCTGCTCGCCTTTAGATTGTTCGAGAACGCGTCAGCAAAGGGGCTCGAGTGGAGCGCGCGCATGGCGTCTAGACTGGTGACCAGCCCGGATCTATGATATAGTATCGGCGCGAACTGCTTCTGCGGGATTAAACGCTCCGTCTTTACAATATGTGGATGTCCGAGCAAGTCGAATATATTTGTTACCGAAGAAGCGCTTAGAAAATCGTCACGAATGGATGCCTTGATGGTCTTGATGCGCTCGTTGCGATCCCCACTCTTGCTTGTGTGACTGAGTAAAGCTCTGCTCTCTGGAATGGGAAAATATGATACACAATCATGATGAATAACTGCAGGGAAATTACAGTCTACAAGACAGCGCGGTACTGTAACAGCTTCTGCAACGTTCTTACCGTGTTATCCTTCTCTTCCTTTATGACGTTTGAGAACAATTTGAACCCGGGAACACCGGCATCCCCTAGAATCAATGAGTAGGCCCCCCCACAATCCGGAACGAAAAGCACGCACGTTGCAGTTGAAATGCCGCACTCTCGCTCGTAGTGATGTATCCACCACTCTGTCGAATCCGCGCCAGGGCAAAGGGGATCTCTTCTTTATTACAGCTAGAGACACCATCTGCTATCACATGGACATTGTATCCTGCCTCGATAAAATCCAGAGCAGATTGCAACACGCAGACATGTGACTGAATGGAGCGATTTGACTAATGAGCCGGTTGTTGGTGGGTAAACTCACCTCGATACCAAAAAGCACCACGGATTTTATCTGTGGGCGTTCGTGGAGCAGGGTCTTCACTTCCGGTGTCACCATGGAGAAGAGCCCTTTCTCAATAGTAGCAAGGAGAAGGGGCCCCAGGGAAGGCAAATCGATGTCGGGGATGGTGTTTCCGAGGCCTTTCCTCTTGGATGATTTCATTTCGAAGAGGAAGTACGAGGATGGTCCCACCTTTGGGGTTCTGTTCCGTGACGACTACGGGGATCTCCAATACCTTGTGTATCTTTATGTGAGTAAAGGCATGATAGGGAGTTGATACGCATATCATACCTTTGCGATCTTGAGCATCTTACTGATTGCCAACACAAGCTCGTCAAAGCCGAAGATGGCATTCTCTGATTCATGTCAACAGTGAATGATACGACAGTCAATCGATGCTGTTCACAGTGGATCCAAAACCAAGCGTACTGAAACGTGTTTGCACGTCGCAAAGGAAGAATACAGTCTCCTCTGGTATAAGCTTTGCAATTGCGGGCATAGTGACACAGAATATGGGTGCTATTCAAGGGTTTGCGTTAGTGCCCTATGATATATGATAAGTGACGCGCACCATATGACAGTGTTCGGGATTCGCCGAAGCCAATTCACACAAAAGGTCTAAATTTGCTTTGGTGTCTGTCCGTCTTCATAAAAATGCTTGGAGTGAGTGCTCGTCGGACGACTTTGTTGTCGTACTCTAGGCAACGTCTTCCTCGTCCTGCTCGTCTTTATTCAACTCCTACAAAAGCAACAAATGCACCTGCTACCGCATTCGCCCAAGTCCCTCTTCCCCATCCAGATTATCCTTCCATGTTGGCCCAGAGGGAAGTACCGGCAAACCACCTTGTAGCCATGAACGGCTTTCTAAAGCGCAGAACGCCGTACACAATCCTGCCAACCCCCCTTCCAGACGACCGTGCTTCAGCTCTGAATAGCTTCTACTTCACTGATTCTCCAACTCAGGACCAGCTCGCTGTCATGGATGCATGTTTGCATAACCTGTATGACGTTCCCCGTGCAAAGCAGATCTTCGATCAACTTAGAACTAGCAAGTCTCGCGAATCCTTGCTCGAGTCTCGTATATACAATTCTTTCTTGGAGGCCTATATCCACATGGCATTTGTCAAGGAGCCCGAGGATAGAACTTTGTGGGTCGAGGACGCGTGTCACCTTTACGACCTCATGGAAAAGGGTACAGATAGAGTCCACCCGACTGCGTCCACATATGCTATCATGCTGTTAGCGTGGAGACGGTATGCTGCATTCGTCTCCTTAATTTATTGCCCTGATCACTTTTCTAGATTTAATCCCGAGTCCGACACGCCCGTCCACCTCTCCGACTTGCCCAATCCGACAACCCTCCTTAGCAATATCGTAGAGCGAGACATTTCACCTACTGCCGTCGTCGCCGATCGCGTTTTGGCATCGTCAGAAGAAGCCTCGGATATCATAAAACTACTCACTAAATCTGCCGTAGATCTGAATCATCCTCGCATACTGGCTGAACTCGGGCAGGCAGAATTCCTGGGGAGTCATGTCCCAGACCCATTGGAGGGCGTCCCGGAGGTTAAGCCTGTCGTACGACTCGCTGTACGTATTGTATTCTTTCGCTTGCATCTCGCTTATATCTCCCCAGACACCCTCTGAAGAAATCTTGGACGAAAATGGGAATGTAATACCTGCGCAGCCTCAGGAAGAAGTTCCCTTCAATCTCAATAACCTCCGCAGTCACTTGGCTCAGGTTACCCTTGCACGACGCGTCCTCCCAGAAGACCTGGCTTCCCGACAGAAGCTCCTAGAAGAATCTGTCTACGACGTTGCAGTAGAACGCCTCCGTCACGAAGCCAAACTTTTTGACGAGCTAGGTCTAGGCAACCGCGAACTTCATCATGCAGATTTGCAAAAGTGGATGTGGGACTGGCACCAAAAGCTCAAGAAGCGTCTCGAGGCAGAAATACAAGAGATCATCGCTGCGGAGGCAAAAATCTGTAAGTATAGATGCGTCTTTTAGACATTTACATTGACCGCCAGCTAGCTCAAAACAAGCAAGTCCAACAAATGGGCCCCTTCCTCTCACTTGTCAAACCCGAGAAACTCTCCCTCATTACTATCCTTGAGATCATGCGCCTCCAAGGCAGTGGTGGTGTCTCGGATGGGATGAAAACTGCTCGTGCGCTGCTCACCGTCGGGCGCGCTGTCGAGAATGAGTACAAAGCTGAGATGTGCAAGCGCAATCATATCGCCATCCCTTCGCATGGACGGCCAAGCGAGTTCACAGGTTATTTCACGGGTCTCGGGTACAAGGACCTGCACGCGCGCCGGATGACGGCTGCGAAGTACATGGAGGATAGCGAGGAGTGGACATCAGAGTGGACACAGGTACTTAGGGTGCGCGTTGGGAGTATCCTCGTAGACTGTCTCATGGATTCGGCAACGATTGAGCGGACTGCTGTTGATAAGCGCACCAACGAGGAGATGTGAGTCTGCTTGTCTCTTGCATGTTACATCAATTGAGAACTCTCCGCAGTAAAGAGAATCAACCAGCATTCTACCATGCCTATGAATATGTGCGCGGGCAGAAACTCGGTGTCATTCGGTTAAACCCTGTGGTTTCAGAACGCATTGCGAAAGACGGATTGCGCGAAACGCTTCACCCGCGTCACCTGCCCATGCTCGTCAAGCCCAAGCCGTGGCTCAATCACGACCAGGGCGGATATCTCTACAATCGATGTGAGTATACCCGTCAGCCTCTATCGACGGCTCGCTAACAATGTTAATTTACTAGCTGCCGCCATGCGTTTCAAAGACTGCCAAGAACAGCAAACCTATCTGGAGCATGCAACCGCGCTCGGTAATGTGGAGCTCGTGTACGCAGGACTCGACGTTCTCGGTAGCACGCCTTGGAAAATCAACCGGAACATCTTCGACATCGTGCTCAAAGTCTGGAACTCTGGTGAGCGGCTGTGCAAGATCCCCCCAGCAGTATACGACCAGCCAGAGCCAGAAAAGCTCCCGAACATGAACACAGATATCAAAGCCAAAAGTGTGTACGGGACGCGTCTGAAGGCGTTCATGCAGGACAGAGCAAACAACCATTCTGATCGGTGTAGCGTCAACTACAAGATCGAGATTGCCCGCGCTGTAAGTTTTCGTCTTACTCTTTCGCGCCAGCAATCTGACGAAAAATGAAAGTTTCTGGGTGATACAATGTACCTTCCTCACAACCTCGATTTCCGGGGACGCGCGTATCCCATTCCCCCCCATTTCAACCACATTGGCGATGACCTCAGTCGTGGGCTGCTTATGTTTGGTGAAGCGCAGCCCCTCGGCGAAAAAGGCTTGCGGTGGCTCAAAATCCACCTTGCAAACTTGTACGGGTTCGATAAGGGGAACTTTGACGAGCGCGTCAGGTTCGTGATGGATCATCTTGAGGATGTGTATGATAGCGCTGAAAAGCCTCTCGACGTGCGTTTCCACCTTCTTATTATTATACCTTGGTGCTGACGCGTCGAACAGGGTAACATGTGGTGGGTGAAAGCTGATGATCCGTGGCAATGTCTTGCAACATGCATGGAACTGCGCGCGGCGCTCGAATCAGGCGATCCACACGCGTACCTGTCGTCTCTCCCGGTGCATCAGGACGGGACGTGTAACGGGCTACAGCACTACGCTGCTCTTGGCGGTGATGTCAAAGGTGCCGCGCAAGTCAATCTGAGCGTGACAGACCGCCCGTCGGACGTGTACACGTACGTTGCGAACATGGTGGAGAAGGTACTCGAGGAAGATCTGAAAAATGGCGATAAGTATGCAGCTATGCTTTCTGGTCGGGTTTCGAGGAAGGTGGTTAAGCAGACTGTGAGTGATTAGGGAGTTAATTGATTGGGGAGTTGTGAGCTGACGTGGGGATGCAGGTGATGACTACTGTGTATGGGGTGACTTATATCGGCGCTCGTGAACAGATTGAGAGACAGCTTAAGGATAGGAAGGATATTCCAGAGGAAGAATGTTGGGGTGCTAGTGCTTACCTTGCCAAGAGGGTGTGTATTCTCTCTCACACGACAGCCTTAGACTCACTCGTCTATTTAAAGGTGCTCTTTTGCATCGGTGATCTGTTCTCAGGAGCCAAAGCCATTCAAACCTGGTTGAACCTCTGCGCCCGTCTGATCTCCAAGTCTATCCCAGCTGAGCGCGTCCCAGACGCATTGCAAGCTCACAAAGGTCGCAAGAAGCATGGCTCTTCGCTCCCCAAGAACCGTATCAGGAAGGAACAGATGTCGTCCGTCGTGTGGACGACCCCCCTCGGCCTGCCCATCATACAGCCCTACCGCAAGACGAAACGCAAGCAAGTCATGACGGCCATTCAGAGCGTGTTCATCTCCGACCCTAATGCGCCTGCTGAAGTGAACGCTGTCAAGCAGGCGTCGGCGTTCCCGCCCAATTTCATTCATAGTCTTGATGCTACGCATATGATGTTGACCGCCCTTGAGTGTCGCGTAGGTTCCGTTGGCTTCGGATATTTTTATGATTAATGGGCGTGTTTATAGACCCAGGGCCTAACATTTGCGTCTGTGCATGACTCCTATTGGACACATGCTAGCAGCATCGACAAGATGTCTGAAATCATCCGAGACACATTCATTGCGCTGCATTCCTCTGATGTACTCGAGAAACTGGCTACAGAGTTCCGGACTCGATATGCATCCCACAAGGTTCCTCTCACATCGCTTCGCAGCGGACAGCTGTTGAAGAACCTCCAAGGTGCGGGCGTGCGTATTGTAGCTTCGTCTGAACAGGCAGATGCACTCCGTCAAGGCGGGTTTACGTCGTTTGACCACATCATTAATGTTTCGGACAATGAAGCCGGATCCATTGCCCAAATTTCAAAGAAAACGGAGACCGAGGTTCCGCAGACTGAGGCTCCGAAAGCTGAGACTCCGAAGCCCAAGACGGGCAAACGTGGACGACCCGTCAAAAACGTGGTCATAATCGAAGGTGCCAAAAAGGATGTTTCGGCAGTCATGGACCACGAGGAAGGCGATGATGACTGTGCGGGTGAGGACGACGCTGATTCAATTCTGGTGGACAAATTCGTTGATTTGAGCGCTGTGCTTCCACCTTTGCCGAAGAAGGGTGATTTTGACGTGGAGACCATCAAGAAGTCGCAGTACTTTTTTTCGTAAGCTACGTTTCGCTGTTCTTGTTTTCAGTCCTGCATGCTTCATCACGCCGCAATACGTACGCCTTGCATTTGCATATCTATCGCATTTATTCTTCTTATCTTATCTGTCACATAGACCTACTTATAACGTGGAATACTTAATAGAGATTACTCGCTTCTCAAGTGATGCATGCGGTGTGAGACTGTCGTGGTGTGTCAAGTAATTTCGAAATATGGATTCTACTTAATTGTGCCATGCGGATCCAAGCTATTACATCAAGGTAACCATCAGGGTAGGCATGTAAGAACAAAAGACCGCAGTTCTACGAGTTTGTGAGTTGGTTGTATGGTTCCGCCCGAAAAATTAATGAACTCGCGAGGGAAGCGCGCATTAGGGGCGCATGTTGGTTTCCCCATTTGGACAGACGCTTTGCACTTTGCAAGCTACTGACTGCGATGGGGAACAACAATATTGCCACCTCATGGCTGCTCATGCATGCGTGGTCTCCTGCGGCGATCTAGAGGATATACAGGGTCATCCCACGAGCACATTTAATTCACAGGTAAGCGTTGCCGAATCTCAGGGTGGGGGAAGCGGAGTTTTAAATGTGAGCATACTTGGATGATGGAAATTGGTTCGACTTGGGGTTTGCTGCTCGCCATCATCAACAACCTCGACGCCTGCCATTCCGACGTCTTGAGCGTACGGGTCCTTACTTTCTTTTAAACCACACAGTCTCTTCAAGTTACACTCCTTCCGACGTTATTATGGACCAAACCTTTGACGCTTTCGACAAAGTTCAAGAATCCAATATGGCAGCTAAACAGAGGGTTAGTGGACTCTTCGTTGCTTTGACTTATGTTCATATTTGCGTTTAGTTTGAGTCATTCAAGATGGGTGGTGGCGCTCCAGCCAATAGTTTAAACAATTTCATTCCAAAGCATTCACACGGACGATCTCGCTCTCGCAACAGTTCAATCTCTTCTCTTTCAACACTATCTATTTCTGCTTCTGCGCCTTCATTCCCCTCTCCAGTTGAATTTTCTTTCAATAACGTACCTTCAAATGCACCCCCTTCAAAGCGCCCAAATTCCCATCACAGACGTCGTTCTTCTGTTTCAACTCGCCGCGAGTCGGCAGAGCTTATGGGCGTGTCACTTCCCGACCTTCCAACAACTAATTCAGATGATAACGTAAATCTTGGCGACAGGGATTCCATTCGTCGCAGGGCACTCTGGGCTCTTGAGGGAAAGCCTGACCTTGCTTTCTCCAAGGTCGAAATTCCTGATATCACGTCCCCCGGTTTGACAAGGTCTTTTGAATTCCGTGAGTTGTGTCTCGTTTGATCCCACAGCCCATATTTACAAATGACATGTAGCAACCAAGCCGTCTTTCCCTCCTGGTACTGGTATCAGTGGGCATGGCATTAGTAGCCTCATGAGCAAACGTGATTCATTCGGCAAAATGTTTCCCTCGACTTCTACCTCCAAAGATCAACTTCAGACACTAGTCGAGGAGGAAGAGGAAGAAGAGGAATCCCAAGAGGAACGTCCCGCCCAAGTTGCCCAAGTTGTCGAGGAATTTACGGAAGCTCCCACTGTTCCGCTCATTATTACTTCAGCCTCTACAGTGACAAAGTCTGCTTCACGTCACCGTCCTGCCAGCCTCAATCTCAGGCCCCTCTCTCTTGTTTCTGGAACTGCTGCCAGTTGCACACCCGGAAATCTCCCCACGCCCACTCTTACGCCGAATCATCTGTCCAATGGTCTGAGATCACTCGCCTTGACATCTGGCTCTGACACCTCGCTTACGAATGCCAAGCTCACGAAAAGCAGTACGAAACGCCACTCCACTACTGTCACGTCATCTTCTTCCGGTTCCTTTAGTCTCGCTTCACGTCGCTCTTTTTCATCCGAAAGCTCCTCGCTCCGCGACAACAGCAGGAAACGCAGCAGCATTTCATACAAACGTTCTGTTGCCTCCATTCCTCGCGACATGGGTGTTTTGCCCACACCTGGTTCGACTCCCACCGACCGTCGGTTTTCGGAGTTAAATAACGTAGAATGTGTTGCAGAACAGCCCCTTGCCACAGCCGAGCAACATTTTTTATTTAGATCTCATAACGTGCTCCTGGCTCGCATAATGGATCTCGAGCGCACACTACGTTCACGATCAATGTCCCGATCGCGTCCCCTTTCCATGGCTTCGGAGGCTTCGGCAGCGTCCTCCGAGCCAAGCGACGAGATGTTGCAACTTATTTCGGATTTGAAAGCTGAGCGTGACGAGCTGAAGAGAGACGTAGATGGGTGGCGCATGCGTGTAGCTGATGCAGATAAACAAGCTGGCGTCCTGGCAAGGCGAGTCGAGGCTGAGAGAAGAGAGGCCTGGGTGGCTCGCTCGCGGCTTGGTCTACTGGAAGTCGAGAAGCGTAGCCTGGACAACGCCCTCGGTAGCAAGAATGCCGAGCTCCAGCAATCAATAAGCCAGAGCGAGCAATTCAAGAAGGAATGTGATGGCATGAGGGAGGAGCTGGACAGGTTGCGTGCTCGCCTCCGAGATGCTGACCATGCAGTTGATGAGGTCATCCGCCTCCGCGCCGCACTCGAACAAGAGCGAACCAGGCGCGCGGAGCTGGAAAAAGTTCTTGACGATGCCGGATTACTTAATACACCCACCATTCCATTTTCTGTTGGTGGGCAGGACAAAGGTTCAGTGCCTAGTCAATCTTATGGCACCCGTCCTCGTGGACTTGGCTTTCAGTCCATTGACTCTGACGGCTCTTCAACCGATGTCGAGTCTGTCGACCAAAGCTTTACTAAGGCTGAATTGACCCTCGATGCTGTCACAGAGGAAGATGAGGACGAGGACGAGGACAGCTGCGACTGCGATTTCTCTGACGAGGAGAATGAGTTGGCTGGTTACGAAGACGCAGAAGACTCCGACCTCAGTTTCCAGAGTCCAGATGGTTCATCCATTGGCTCCGGGGACGAACTCGACCTCATGCCAGTCTCAGTCTTGAACGAGGCTACAAACCGACTCAGCTCATTGCCCAATCACGCTCCGCCGAAGTCTTTGCATTCTCGACACAATTCACTTTCTAAGACGTGGACGTTCCCCAAGGGTCAGCCTGTCACAGTCAAGCGTGATGCTGATGAGGTTGACCGGTTCTTTGGATGCCTCGATGATGTCGAAAATTCCCCGCCATTTAGTTCTGAGGAGATGGGCAAAGTGATGTTCACGTCGACGTTCGGTCTTTCCTGCGATGATGACGATGAGCTGCCACCCTTTGTCATCCCTTCAGACGTTGGCACTATCGTCGACATTCCGACGTCGAGGAGCCTTGATATTGTGCCGGAAGAAGACGAAGACAATGAAGGCGAAGCTGATGACGAGAATGATGACGAACTCCTTGGCGAGGAAGTTGAGGGAGGGATCCGTTTCACATTCAACCCTCCACCAACTGTCTGCAGTCCTCCACCTGTCATCTGCATCACACCTCCGACAGAATCTGAGCCGGTATCTGTTGCAAGAAAACCTGTCGTTATCTATGAGCCTTTTGATGATGAGGAAGATGATGTTTCTCCCTTCACTTTTCCTCAGTCCAGGGTACAGGAGCCGATCACTCCACCGTCCTCTTCGCCGCCGACTTTAGAGAGCAGCAGCCGTCCATCAAGCCGGACAAGTAACTCGCCATCGTCAATTCCTCGTGCAACTTCACTGCGCTCGTTCATGCCGCTCACACCGCCTTCTTCAGCTACACCGCCTAGAAGGACGTCTGATCGTTTTAATGCAGTAGCAGACTATCCGGCGACGTCATTTATGACCCCTCCGTCACGGCGCGGCGGGAGCACCCCATCCTTCATTCCTCAACCAGTATCGCCATCACCATCCAAGATTTTCAGTCCTTCGAAATCTCGCGTTCCTGTTCCGCTGATGCGTTCCAAGGGTGCTACAAATGGTTCGGCATTTAAGCCTCACCTCAGATCATCCATGAGTGGGTTCTAACTTTTTCTCTTTGGTTTTCACAGTCAACGGAACTCTCAGATACTACGGTACCTCTGAGGAGATAGCAGAAGCAAAATCAGATACCTCCGACACTTGTGAATACCCTGATCGATACGCCTCAACTTCATCTTTATCGTCAATTATGTCTTCACCGCTTGCGGCACGAATTTCATTCCAGACATTGTCAAATTTTATTCCCCTCTCGTGGACGCCAGGTGCGGCTGCGGCTGCGTCGCGCACTTCGCCTAGGACCTCGACTGATGATGTTGCAGAGGCAGTATCGCCATTCACTAGTGCCCGTCCTGGTGTACGACGCTCGATCGAAAGGAGATTTGTTTCTAGGGATCAGCAGTTGGAGAAGCTGAGGAATCGACTGGGCAATGACCATATCATTGGCATAGGACGCTGTCTTGCTGTCGCTCCTTGTGGTGCTTGCAAGGGCGTCAACATTTTCTTGTGAAGAACCCTGCCAGTACGTTCCCTGATATATGCCTGTCCTAGTCGTATGCCTTTTTCTTTCCTATGTTTCCCTTACATCTCCGATTGATGTGTCACATACTCTCATATCCTCACTTTTCTTTGTCGTGTTATGACTGCCCGTGGAGGGCAAGTCATGTTATCATGTGCCAATACTGTTGTCTTTGTATTATATTATTACGTACCTTCTAAGAATACTTAAGGACAGTCTTCATTCATGCTCATATTTTTATTTGTCACGTTTATGCATTTCTTGGGTCTCATTGAGCGATCGAACGATTGTGAGGTTGATCCCCGACTCCCAACGTTAGTGAAAGAGGGCTGTTGTCGAACATGGTGGGTTTCCCATCTCCCAAAACCTCTGACTACACCCGCGTCTGGGCCTTTTTGGTTACGATCATTTGACACTGGCTTGTCAAGTTGTCTGTGTTCCGTTCTCGCTGAGCCCTTTTTTTCCCGTTATACATGCCTCGGTGGGTCACTCCTACATGGTGCCTTGAGCTTTCCGTTATGGGGTGTTCTAGAATTTCACATTGACCTCTGTTGACATCTGTCTGGTGCCCCCGTTTTGCTGCAGGAATGCATTTTTCTGACCTCCGGCCCCAGCACGTACGTACATCAAGGATATATCTTACATTTCTGAGACACCTTCGCAGGGCATGAAGGAGAATTCCTTTCCGTGGACAGACTATCATGTAAAATTTAGGAGGTTGTGGCGCAATGACTGGGCCTAGTAACTAAGTTGAGATGGACCTCTGAGGATCTATACACCACAAAAATGTTGTCAGCAGGTTTCGAACCAACTCCAAGAGTTTGAATCTGTTATGATGACTGCTTGGCTAAGACTAGTTAGGCGGACCTCAGAGGAAACCATCCACAAGTGAATGTCAAGGGATGTTTCGATAGAAAAGAAATTATCAGCGGCAGGTTTCAAACCCGCGCAGTCCAAGAGAAACAGATGATGCTGTGGTGATAACCACTTGGCTAAGACCAGCTAAGACGAGCCTGTAAGGGAACCATCCATAAGTGAATGTCAAGGTGCATTCGGATAGAAAAAAACAAACACATTGTCGGCAGGTTTCGAACCTGCGAAGCCCAAGGGAAACAGATTTTGATTCTGTGGGGGAGACCACTTGGCTAACACGAGTTATAGCGAGTGATAGTGAACATCCGACGAAACCATCCATGAGTGAATATCAAGTTGTATTCCGATAGGGAAAAAAACCTTGTCCTTGGCAGGGTAACCACCTGGCAAAGACCAGTTTAACATGTAAAATGGTCCTGCAAGGAAACCCTCTATGAGCGAATCTTCAAAGCATGTTCCGATAGGAAAAAAATTGCCGGCAGGTTTCGAACTTACATTGGCACACTCCAGAGGACAGATTTAGATTCTGTTGTGGTGACCACTTTGGCCAGGATGAAGCTGAGATGAACCTCCAAGTGAATCACCCATGAGCGAATCTTCAAGCATGCTCCGATAGGAAAAACTTGTCATTCGGCAAGTTTCAAACCTGCGCAGTCCAAGACAAACAGATTTTGATTCTGTTGTGGTAACCACTTTGGCCAGGACACCTTCTTGATAGGAAGCCTCCGATGAACTGAGTGAATATCACGGTGTGATAACTTAGATCATTTGTTGGCAGGTTTCAAATCCGCACCGCCCAAGAGCAGATTTCTAATCTGTTCTGGTGCCGGTTGGCTATGACCACTTTAGACCTTGAAAGATCCATTTGAATGTTCAAGGTGTGAAAAACGAAAGAGATTGTTGAGCAAGTTTCGAACCTACCGTAAACACATTTCTGTCCTGTCACACTTACCACTTGGCTAAGACTGGTCAAGGTGAACGTCTACGAGTCGAAGAACATCATACATTGACGGTAGAATCACATAGGATTAGCAGTCATTTGCCATTGAAAAATGACTAGTCTGTGTTTAATTCGATGAACATGCTAGGATTCCTGGAATTAGTTAGTGAGTCGGGAACTTGCGCTAGTGCCGTTATGATGCTGGAACTTGAAAGTCGGTAGGTCCCGGCTGACTGGTAAACGTGGGAACAACGCGAGAGCAATTCGGTTAATCCAGAAATCAGTTTGAGGCCTCAGCAACTTCAGCGTTAACCACCATGGTAGCATCTCGGGGAGCACGCACTTTTATGCGCAACTGGTTTGCCATCGAGGTACTTTTCCCATAATTTGTCCTTGCGTGAGCTGACCGGTTTACTGCGCTCAGGCAATTCCTATGTGAGCTCGTATCTCCGCGTTGCTAAAGTTGAATTTTATTGACGACTAAGCAGCTACGCCGTTATTGGCTTGGCCGTCGGGGGTGCAGGCTGGTATTTGACCCGCCTCGCTCGTGGTCCTACGGGTACGTCATGCATTCCTTGCGACTCTATTCGCATCTGCTAATGAACGAGTGAACAGTCGTTTGGACAAAGAGTAACCCCACTCCCTGGAACGACGTCAAACAAGATGAAAACATCAAAATGTTGGATGTTAACTCGAGGTTCGCAAAGAGGTGCGTCGTATACTCAAAACGTGAAACTCTAGGACTGCGCTAACCCATTGTCACTGCCAGCTGGTCGAGAGACAAGCTATAACTTAAGCTTGCGCTGGAGGAGTGCTATACCTTTCTTTCAGTCGTGCTCGTTGTCATAATACAGTTCAATTATATTCTAGGAAACTGTTTTCCTCCATCATGAGTTTCATGTGACCATGTCGTGTATTCCGGGCCGGATAGTTGCTTTTAGTTTTTGGTCTTGGGATCAGATAGTGTTAAAAGACAACGTTGAACTAATTGCGATTGTTTCATCCATCATTTGACGATCTGCGCCTATCTATCAGGTGGTATGACGGTCCATTTTGACGCTCCTGATCCTGATTATCCTCTTCCTCCTCTCAATGAAATACCAGACGATGATGCTGACAAGCCGAAGGAGGCGTACAAGCTGGTAACTCACATGCTCGATATCTTGGCCCTGTGCTGATTCTCGATCATCAGACTACGACGTTGAATGGCTTTCCTGCGATCATCTTTGGCACTGCTACGTTTTCCCGCATCTATAACGAAGCCGATCATATCTCCGGAGTGACACCCTTGCGAGCTGCCAGACTGGCTCTACGGTATGCGATTTACTAGACGATGCGGAATGTATTTCTGAGAAGCCGACAGCTATGGTTTGAATGTATTCGATACTGCGCCACTCTATGGGGATTCCGAGATCATCCTCGGGAACGCTCTTCGAGCTTTAGGGCCTGAATTCCCTCGGGATTCGTATAAGTTGGTGTGTGTACTCATCCAATGCTGCAGGATGGCTAACAGTAACGCATGTAGGTTACCAAAGTCGGCCGCTATCCTACCGGATGTGACTATACCCCTGAGGCTATCGAAAGTAGTATTGCGCGCAGTCTTCGGCGCCTGCACACCAACTACCTTGACGTCGTATACTTACACGATGTCGAATTCGTTGCGGACGAGAAGCTCCCTAGAAGGGAAGGAAACCATGTTGCCGCTCTGGGGCAAGAGAAGGAACAATACGGGTTGAATGAAAATCAGGAGGGTGAAGCCTATACAGACAAAGACCATAAGATTTTGTCGGCTGTGAAGAAGCTTTTTGAGCTACGAGATGACAGAGGCGTCATCAAGCGCGTCGGGATCAGTGGTGAGTGCACTATAGATCTGACCCTATCAATTTTCTCATGATAAGCGCGTATCAGGCTTCCCACTTCCAACTCTCTTGCGTCTCGCAATTCTCATCCAGAAGCGCCTGGGGAAGCCACTGGACCTTATGATGTCTTACTGCCACCTCACCCTCCAGAATAGCACTCTCGAGCAATTCAAACCCGCATTCGGGCCACGTGCGGGAGTGAAGCAAGTTATCACTGCCTCGCCGATAGCCATGGCTCTCTTGCGGCCTTCGCCTGTTCAGGTGCACCCAGCGCCGGTCGAGATCAGGGAGGCCGCGAAGAGGGCTGTACAACTCAGTGAGGAGTGGGATGCGTCTGGGGCTGGTCTCCCCGACTTGGCGCTGCAGTATACATTTGCGCGGGCAAGGGAGATTAGGGTGCCTGTTGCAGTGGGACTTAGCACACTTGAGGAGGTCCATGCAAGTGTAAAAGCTTGGCATGAGGTGGATGTTGAGGGGTTAGCGACGAAGGAGGAATGGGTTTCTCGGGTTAAGAGCGTGCAGGACTTGTTCAGGGATGTGCAAATGCTGGACTACTCTTGGGCGACACCTTGATTTAAGTCGGTGTAGGCAGGCAGGCATGTACCGTTAAGTTTGCGGGAACAGTCAAGGAACAGTAGTTGAACATGTTGATAAAGCAAACAATATTTGAACTGGTACAAACAAAACAACTACAGTAGTGTGATTCAAACGTGAATGCATGACCGCGCAAATCACCGTGTCTTGATAATTCCTGCGTTGATGAGTTTCATAATCTTCTGGCGTACGACAGGGTTTTTCATGTGATCTTGTAATGCGCCAGGATTGCCTTGCGCTTGCTGCAAAATTTGCTGCATCACGGGGTCGCCCATGATTTGCTGCACAAGAATGTTTGGTTTAAACCACAACCACATAGCAAGATCGGATAGCACTTACAGCAACTTCGGGATCCTTCATGGCTCGCTCGAGGGTCTGTTCCTCCGTCTCGTCGGCACGCTGAGTAAACAAGGCTTGCTGGATCTTGAACTCCTGAGCTTGAATCTCTTGCGCGTGTGCATTGGCGGTGTCGGCTGACGAAGCGGCTTGTAGAGCTTCAAGAGCCTTACTATAGTCGCGCATCGTTTGCAGGATCGTAGCTTTCCGGATATATGCCTTGACTGAAGGAATGTTCAAAAATAGCCTGAGGAGAATCGGACGCAATCAAAACCCACCGAATGCGGGATCGACCTCGATTGCTTTGTCGGCATCCTTCAGCGCTTCAGCCAGTGCCATAAGTTTCATGTACGCTGCTGCCCTGTTGTTGTATCCTCTTGCATCGGAGGGATCACGCTTGATACTCTCTTCGTACAATTTCACGGCCTTTGCAAAGTCACCATTCTTGAATGCAGCATTACCCTCCTCGCGCGCGACGGCAGACTGAGCGGGGTCGATATATGCCTGGCGCTCGGCCTCGGCGATGGCTTTCTCAGTGGATTGGAGCTTTGCGAGGATGGTAGCGTCGCGGTGTTCAGAGAGTGACTTTTGGAAGTACTTCTTCGCCGATACTAGGTCGTTCTTTGCGGTGTACGCAGTCCCGATACGGCCGAAAATTTTGGCAATAATCTTGTAGTCCGCGCGAAGCTGAATCCTGCGTTAGAAGACGTCTGGTGTGGAAGAGAACAACTCACTCCTCGGCCCTCCTCAACAGCCAGCTCGCACGTTGCGATACACTGATCGTACTCCTTTGCCTCAAGGTATGCAGCACCAAGATTACCGAGGAACGTGATGTCCTTTGGCCACAGATCCCAAGCCTTCTTAAAGTGTTCAGCAGCTTCGGAAAAGCGTTGTGCCTTGTAGTGCTCTGCACCCCGAGCCTTTGCACCGAGTGCGTCTGCCTTGGCTTTGGCCTCCTCAGCGTCTTCATCTGTCATTTCGACGTCCTCGGGCTCGGGGGCTGCTGCTGGTGCCGGAGCTGGAGCTGGAGCTGGTGGAGTCTTCGATGTGGATGCAGATGGCGACCGAGGTGTTCGAGCCTTTGGGGGAGGAAGCTTGAAACCGGGCGGGAGCTCATCAAGGCCATCGTCGCGCGAGAAACCTTGCATATCAATACCCATGGCGACACCAAGGACGTCGATCATGCGGGGGTCTGACTGGAGAGCTCTATAGAGAATGGTTGAGTGCTGCCAAGAAACAGGGGGTTTTGAGCTAAACGTACGAATCAGCGAGTGCGGGGTTTTGTTGGAAGAGTTTAAGCTGGGGGGTCTTTTAGTTATATTGAACGGGATATTAGGAGAGGATCTACCTTTTGCACGAACGCTGGGTCGGCGAGATGTTTTTGTGTTCGGGGATTAGTTGCCAGCTTTCCAATGAGGTTTGGGTCTGCAAACATTTTTCCGAGGCCTAAGGACTCAGATCCACCATCCCTGCCTGGATTCAACAGCACGTCAATGACTGTTTTCGTCTGGGTAGATAGAGTAGCCTACCCTTTGCATCTTTCACGTCTCGTAAACCGTTGCGCAAGGCAGGGCTGTCCTCGAACTTAAGACCAGCTTCATATGCCTCGATAGCCTCGTCATATCGTCTTGCACCGTGCAATGCAGCCCCTTTTCTGGCGTAGCCTTTGGACCACGACTGATTGAGCTTGATACACTTCATCACCGCATAGGCATCAGCACGCCAGACCAGAATCTGATAAGGCACACCTGTTCTGCGTCCTCTAGTGCTGCACCCCACTGCTTCTTGCCAGTTTTTGCGGCACTCCGATTTGAAAAGAGGACATGGTTCGATGGGTCGATGGCGATGGCAGCTGTGAATAGCTCGATCGCCTTGTCGTAGTCCTTAGCAGAAAAGGCCTTGTTGCCTTGGTCTTTCAGCGCATTTACCTGTATAAGTGTTTGCCCGCGTTAAATTGTCCTGTTAGACAATGATTTGGATGGGTATGTTATACGCACATCTGACATGCTTGTTGAATTGAGGTTGGTAAAATTCTTGATTAGATGGGTGTTGTGGTGAAGATAGATCTTTCAGACTATGTGTAGTCTTTCACAGCTTGTTACTTCCCCTCTGTCCTGGTACTTTTATACAATCCGTAATCGTCATGGACTCAGAATATAGGAACTTTCTAGAATCTTCGAAGGAGTCCAAGCGCGCAAAATCGTTATCTTAATCTTATCAGATCAACCATCACTAGTCAACGTCTTAAATTCCTGGAAATGTCGTTCGCGCGTCTGCGGTTTTTCTATGATCTGGAAGGCAGTCAAACGCACTATTCTCACGATAGGTTCTTTGCTATGCGGCGGTACTTGAGTCGATGACAAGGACCACGAACCCTATGAGTCATGCATTAATATTGCGCTTCTGATAATCTCCGTCTCTTCATTCTTCACCATCTCTTATGTGTATCATGATATTTTTCGACCTGGTAGTTGTCCAGGGATGTTGACACTCGGGCTGCATTGCTCAGAACTCATTGCGCGACGCGAATGCGATTCGAGACGTAAAACAGTGGTGACGAGCTGCCAGAAGGAAAGGATTCAGAACAAAAACGAATCTACCGAAACTGAAACTCATCAATCCGCTTTGTCTGGTACTCTTCATCACGAGATCAGCGACGCCCACGAGATAGAAAAAATGGTCATGGCAAGGGTTCCGTCACACAGTACACTAGGCGAAATCATATGATCACATACGCGAAACCCACTAGTACTCTTGCATCAATATTACACTTATGATGACCTGTGTCTCTTCACCATGTCATATGCGTATCATGCACAGTGCCAACATGAAGAACTTGGGGCGTGCAAGCTCCAAGGTTTCTCTTTCGAATCAGGTAGTGGTGCAAGATATTTCATGGGAGATGCTCTCAAATTTCGCGACCCTGTTTCCAAGTTCGCTGTTCCTTGATACTGAGACGCCGAGTGAGTTGCGGATAGGTTCCTCATGTGTGATGTATCCCACATTAAGGACGTGTGCGGTAACCATCTCGACACAAAGTTGGGTGAATATCTGAAGCGTGCACAACGATTCGTGAGGGGAGGATTCAGCGGGCGGATTAACTGCTTGCTAGGAGAACGGTAACTGAGCTACAGCGACAATAACTCATATTGATGTCTACATAGTGAACGGACATCTCAACAAATCATCGAGTCACGTTATAATCTGTCAGTCACCTGATATGAACATCATGCTGTGTAATCACGTGAGATAAAAGATTCATCGTAGAAAACAACCTAGATTGTTTTCTATGTAAGCGTGAGGCACGAACACGTGCGTAGAATGAAGTCTATGTAGGGATGGTGTAAGGTTAAGGGATCGTTTTTTCTCTCTCACTACCACTAGCCTGGCGTAAGTGCTCGTCTATCAATCTTTTGTCTCATTGTCAATCCTCAAGCTATCTCTATCCTAACTGAAAAACTTTCTTCTATTCATTTTATTTCACTATGAACAGACTACAAGCTGATCCTACCTTAGAGCAGTGCCCTGATTTTGCCTCAGCGATTTTTCAAGCCAGTCAGGCCCCTCTCTTAGGTCCCATGATTGATGATGCTCAAGCAGCTGTCATTTTACAAACCATTTGGGTTGCCACCAACAATGCCCTCAAAACTCAATGGCAACAACAACTCAATGCTGATGTATTGCAGGCTGAGGAACAACATTGCATCCTTGCTGAAGAGGAAGCACAGCAGTTGGCCATCAAAAGAGTGCAGGATGCTGTCATTGCCGAAGAAGATCAGAAGAAGAACAGAATCCATCATATTCTGATTCCAGACTGGCCTCGTCAGAATCAAGCCACTGAGTCTGTTCTGATTTCTGATTTTGTGCTTCAGAAACTTGACAAGGCACAATACATTGAACTATATTACTGGACCAACCATGGCCTTGCTGATGCAAGGACAAACTTTAGGACTATGGATGATGACAGTATGGTGCCCACTGTAGGTCCTGAGGGCACCACCACCTGGATGGTTGCAAGTGCTGCTTGGCCTGCTACAGGGGTTATTCTGGACCACCTCTTGGCTCCCTTAGATTTCTCTAGAGCCATCCCCCATTTCATTGACTTGCTTGAGCAACATGGTTGGGCTAACTCCCACATTTGCATGCTGGCCAGTTTCTTTGGCACTCTAATGTTGCACAACTATTGGACGTCTGATGACCCATTTGAGCTCAGTGTGCTCTTAACTTATCAAGAAGAGCAACAATGGGCTTGGCACCAGGCACTCACCCAACTGGATGGAGCCTGGAATATTACTCTCATTGATGAGGCTGAGATTTCTTGTACCTTTGATCACATATATCACACTGAGCATACATGTGTGGATTGGGAATATGATACAAAGGTCAGCCAGTCATTTCTCCTTCACATGACAATGGCTGATAGTTTTGACTTCTTTTCTCTCTGTGTTATACATTGTGCGTTATGTGTTGTGTTACACAATTTGCAATATGCATTGTACAACATGCGACATGCAACATACATTTTGTGTTTGTGTTATGCATTTGGTTTCCACCTGCAGCATTTACATGCTTTCAGCACCTTGGGGTATGTTGATGAGTCTCTTATTCTAACCATGGATGATGGGGTAGATGTTTGCCAGCTCATCTTGCTGCTGAACAATGGCATTCCACTATGGAATGGAAACACTCTGCATCTCCTTTGGGACACAACAGAATTCCCTGAGTTCCCAAAGCCACAGCTTCATCCTTGGGTTTTTCCAACAGTGCACATGGCCAGCATTCTCCTGCAGTGTGTGCTGTTTGTCTTGGGAGAAATCAACACATGTTTGTTGAATGCTCTGCTGAGCATCTCTGGAACAACATCCACACAACCATCAGCAAATGGGTCAACAAACAGCTTCTTGTCCATTCCTTGAACAAACCTCTTTGCGTCGACTGGCAACATGGACATAGTTGCACCAATTGTTCCCACAACAAATGTCACCTCTGTTCAGGATGTCCCTCCACCTCCCATGGTGCTCAGTACTGTCCTTGAACTCAGGCACATAGAGCCAATATGCCCCTATAAAGTATCAATGTGGGAAGTCTTACTGCTTCATCACAGTCTCATGGATCACTATCCCAAAATTCCAGATGGTTTTTGACATGGTTTTGATCTTCATCTGCCTTCTATCACAGTCTCTCAAGTTCCTACTAATCACTACTCTCTCCATTTACCATGATGCCTTCCACCACATTCTTCAATGCGAGCTCAGTACAGGCCATTACATTGGCCCTTTCACTCGTTCTCACCTTCAGTCACTTATTGGAACCTTCCAAACATCCCCAGTATCAATCATTCAAAAATCTGGCAAACCAGGAAAGTTTTGAGTCATTCAAAACTTTTCCTTCCCTTTGTTGCCTTCTCCCTGCCACCCTTTGCCATCAATTAATTCAGCTGTCAATTCTGATGAATTTCCTTGAACATGGGGGACCTTTGATATGGTTTGCTGTATCATTAGAAATCTCCCTCCTGGCTCGCAAGGTGCAACTTGGGATGTTGTGGAAGCTTATTGCACTGTTCCATTACATCCTTCTCAATGGCCTGCTACCATTGTGCATGTGGATGATGACATGTTTTATGTTGATACTTGCACATCTTTTGGAATGGGTCCTTCAGCTGGAGCTTATGGTTATGTTGTAGATGCTGGTGTGGACCTCCTGCGAGCTACCAGTTTGGGTCCTCTTATTAAATGGGTTGATGACCATTTGTTTTTCTGCATTGAATGCACACACCTTATCAAATACAATAGTTATCATAGTGCTTTACATATCACATTGTCTACCAATTGTCTTCGTCAAACCAGTGGTCATTTGTGGTTTGAGGGTGTCATACTTGAAGATGGGAGTACTGAGGTATTTGCCAAAGACTGTCATTTTCCCATCCTTGATCTCGCACACACCTCCATTTGCTCAAGCAAGGACAATCTCTTTACATCCAATTTCCAAGACATTGACAAAGCATCAGTTCCCTTGGGGACCCCCTGGGAACCTTCAAAAGATGCACCATTCACATTTGAAGTGCTGTTCATCAGACTTCTCTGGAATCTCATTCATCTCACTGTTGGATTGGGGGAGTTGAAGAAAAAGAAATATCTGGAAGCCATCGAGGATTGGTTGTCACAGGAGACTCACATGCTTCTCCAGGTCCAGGAACTATATGGCAAGTTGTTACATGCCTGCCTCATTATTCCCGTTGGATGAGCCTATCTCACCTCACTGGAAAGCATGCTTGGTATCACTGCTAGTCATCCTTTCATGCCATACCACTCAGTTAAGCACTTCATTGACGACTTCATTTGGTGGCAGAAACAACTCTCTCACCCTTGCCTGGAATGCCTCATTCCCCAACCATTCCACATTGTTGATGCACAGGCCTATTCTGATGCCAATTCTGGCATTGGAATTGCAATTGTTATCCATGGGTTTTGGCATGCCTGGAAGTTATTACCCAGATGGTGCACCCTCAATGGTGCCAAGGATATTGGGTGGGCCAAAGCTATTGGCTTCAAGCTGCTCATCCTTATGATGCTCCACCTTGGGTTACCATCTAGGGAAGGGCACTTTCAGTTGCACTGTGACAACCTTGGAGTTGTCAAAGGATGGGCAAATAGACACAGCAGGAATTGGGCAACAAACTGCATTTTTAGGCAAGTGCTCTCTGTGCTCGAACATCTTGGATCCTCCACATCCTTCCATCTTTCTTACATCCCAAGTAGAGAGAACCCTGCTGACAGTCCTTCACAAGGACACTTCCCTCCCAAGCACCTCTTGCTCCTGCATATCACCCTCCCAACAGAACTCACTTCTGTGCTCATTGATGCCACACCATCTGCTGCACCTGACACCACCTGTTCCACGCACCCAGACACACACAGGAAAGCAAATTTTGATGAGTTGGCTGACAGGTCAGAGGAGTGGCAGTTCAGAGAAGAGCTATGGCAATTCTGAGAGCATTGGAAGGAATAGGTTGTCGTGTTTCCAATTGCCAGTTCCTGCACTTGCCTCATCACTAAGCACAGTCACTCCTTGTCCATATCAGACTGCATTGACACCATTTCCTTCTTCACTGCAACCACATTGTTTAGCACAAGACCACTTACATCTATGGCATCCTGTATGAAGCCATTCGCAGACTGACCATACTGGAGCAGTAATACCTCTATCTGAAGATGATCTCAATCGCATCCTCACTGTCATTGGGCACTCACTAGCTTCTGGGACTCACACAACTTATGGTTCTGGGTTGTTGGCATTTCACATTTTTTTGCGATGCCCATGGAGTTCCAGAGGAACAGCGAGGTCCTGCCTCATCAGTATTGATCTTAGCATTCATTGTGAATTGCACTGGTATGTATTCAGGAAGAACATTGGAAAACTATTACTATGGCATATGTGCTTGGCACGTTCTTCATGGCCTTGACTGGGTGGTGAATCAAGCTCAAGTGGTCTCAGCTCTAGAAGGAGGTACATGCCTCACTCCTGCTGTCTCCAAGCATCCCAAACATCATCCTTTCACAATCCCCATTCTTCTTTGAGTTTGATCAACACTAGTTCTATTGGATCCTTTGGACACAGCAGTATGGGCATGTCTGTTGACATTGTTTTTCTCCCTGGCATGACTGGGGGAGGTTACTGTTCATTCATTGTCAGCTTTTGAACCCTCCCTCCATGTCAAAGTGTCTGACATTGCCTATGCCCAAGATCGGCACGGACTTAAAGTGACCATCCTACATCTTCCATGGTCCAAGGTGTCCACCACTGGAGAGGACTTGTATTTCACCACACAATCAGAAAATGTTGACCCCACTGCAGCTCTAGTGAACCACTTACACATAAACACTCCCGCATCCACAGATGCCCTTTTCAGTTGGAGGCACCACAATGGTCTGTGCCCTCTGACTCAATCCAAATTCCTGCATAGCCTAGATTGTTCTTCCTGGCATCTGCAAATCGAGCCACTTAAAGGTCATGGAATATGCATTGGCAGAACCTTGGAATACTTACTACAAGGTGTCCCCTTCAAGATGGTGAAAGCAATGGGTAGATGGAGTGGAGATGCCTTTATGAGGTATTTGCACAAGCACACTGTAGTGATGGCACCTTATCTTCAAGACACTCCAATACTGGAACCATTCACACGATATGTGATGCCGCCTGTACAGTAGTCATGTAAGTCATAGCTTTCCTTCTTGTGTTTGGGGGCAAGCATGCGCTAGCTGCATTGTCAAGCTCCTAATTCTTGGGTACTATTGCTCATACTTGCCTTGTTCTGCCCACAGAGCCAAAAGGCATGTTTCAGCCAATTCAACCTCAGAAGGTTTATTGCCCAAATAGATTACTATGTTAGCTTTCTTGTCAGCTACACCTTTCTTGGATACAGACTCATTCTCTCGTTTGTGCTTTCAAATAAAATATTTATAAAGTACTTCTTGGCTTACTTGAACCTTCGGAGTCAGAGAACATAGATCTAAAATCTAGAAACTCAAAACTGTAGCAATATTACTATTTAAAAAAATGCAAAGCACCAGCCAATTGCCTGGACATTGGAGCAAGGTCAGAAGTTCGCAACACGGACCCCTAGTTCCTTGAAGGAGTTTGTTTTGTGCTATTAAGTCATGATTACGTAAGTAATATCTACATTTCCTGATGCGGGCCCTTCCATCATGTTCTATATATGCTCATGTATGGTGGACGTACGCGTTTGGTACAGAAAGTCCGTCGAGAAGTCATGGTGTCTGGGAACTCGAGTCTACTAGGATTCGGGAATCATACATACCAGGACTGGCCTCACCTTACCATGACGGGTTCAGGAAGTCCGGAAATTGGCTAGTCTGTGAGGTCTGGCAGACTTGACGCAGACGTCTGTGTTCGGGATTCAGAGTTTCCGGTCATCAGCCGCCAAAGGTCTGTCTGCCCGCCATCTTATATCATCCGCTGATTACCCTACCCCCCCATCAGTTCTGTCATCGCTCTGTTCCTTATGTTATAGTTACATACCATCAAAATCACCGGGCGTGGATTGATGCGGACCCAACCATTCGGGAAGCTCGTGAACGAGCTGGACGTAAATCAGCGGGGCTCTAGAAGAACTTTTTGTCTGCACAACGTGCCGCGCGAGAAATACAAATCAAGAAGTCCAATGAACCATCAAGTACTCAAGTACTTCCGCAACGCACAGCATGCTCCGCTGACATATCTGATAACGTCGATCAGCGGAGCCCCACACACTCGCAACTCGAGGAGCTAACAGGTGTCAGATACTGCCCAACTTTGTCAATGGCGCATGACTTTAATCTTTGAATACTGGTGGCTGTTGGGCCACCGACATAACCAGACAAAATAACTATCTGCATCCCGGAGTTTGACATCCTTTACCAGTGCGTCGCGCCAGTGAAACCCTCAACGGCAGTTGAACACCATTTCCAACTTCACCTTCTATTGTTGGAGACATCACCAAGCAAGCCTCCCGCCGAATAAGTTCGGTTTTATCAGTCGGGGCGAACTCGAACTTGCCAACTATCTCTGTAAGAAATGCCTGGAGTTCGATCACCCTAAGTGAATGTTCATATTAGATTTACTCCACCGTTACCAGACAACCCGTTAACACTCACGCGAAGCGCCATCCGACACAAAACCTGACTCCTCCGAGGAATGTCATTCTAGAAACAAATTGGGGTTCATGCGTGTTGCAAGATAGAGACCAACGCTTACAGATTGGAGTACACTCCTATTGACGTCACCTTCTTCTCTTTTGCTGTGCCATTGAGCCATCTATCCGGATTGAACAGGTGCGCATCCTCGCCCCAGAGCTCCTTGTTCCTAACCGATATGAGCGCACCATCAGAAGAAAGTATGTTGACGCTATGTGGAACCTCCTACCGGTTATACGCTGCAATTGATACAACAATTCGGGTACCCTTTGGAACTGGTAGCTCACGGATGACCTCCCCAGATCGCGTGGTGATTGGCTGTGACAACGGAAGGATGTCATCCTGGCTGGCGCATCGGTGTACATGATATGCGACACAACATAATCTCAGAACTTCCTACAATGACAAGCGCAACGTCATGACAACTCAAATATTGCTCGCGCGACGCAACGCACTTTTATCACAGCAGCAGTATATGGCATAGCGTCAAAATCAGCGATTGTGAAGTTGACATCGCCGCGTGCGTGCACAGTGGCTTCTGTTTCCCATATCTCTGCCCGCAGACGGGATTGGATATCAGGCCATCTGGCTAGCTCGAGAAGCGCCCAACTGATAGTGTTCGAGGTCGTCTCATGACCTGCGGCGAGGATAGTACTGTGCAATTATAACAATCCGTGATCAGCAAGCTGTGCAGTTACGACAAACGGAACGGACCCACCGCATCTGAGCAAACAGCTCTTCTTCCGTTAACTTCGCCTTTGCATTTGTATCCATATTGGCTTTGACTGCTATAATCAGATGGCCTAGATCTGAATGAGACTATTGAGAACGACGACCCACCAAGTAAGCTAAAGATATCTCGGCTGCCCTTGCCCCCCAATAGCATCTCTGCCTTGTCTTTCACCAACTGCTTTGCGACAGATGTCGCCAGGTTACCTGTCTCGCGCATGCGCGTGATACGTGGGCTTTTGCCCATCTCTATGTAGTATTTGAGAATCCGAGGTGGGATATACTTTGAAATATCCTGAAAAAGTAACATCCCATCTGACGGGGATCCAAATACGTCAGTCCTAGTGCAACGAAGTTACATTCAATTCAGATCAGTGAAGGGAAAGCCAGATGCTTGGCAATAGTCAAGACTGACATTAGACCCCTGTATGAGCGCGCAAGAGCGTTTTCATCATTGTCAATGGAGTTGAAGCGGACATCAAAAGCAGCTGGAAAAGAGATGAGAAAAAGGTGCTTGTGTGCCCTAGATAGCACGTACCTTCACCGATAGCATCCAACGTTGCGCGGGACACCCAAGCAGGAATATTGAACACTACTGACCCCTCCTTAGAGTGACTGATGATCTCCATCCATTTGTTGCACATCTGTGAGAATTTAAGTTGTTGACGGGCGTTGAGAGTATCGAGTGACTTTGATGCCTACAGACTCGGCGCAGTTCTTGAATAATAACAAGAAGGCTTTGGACTCCGGTCCACCAAATCCAGGGAGCATTATTTTTTTGTGTCGTTTGTGATTGTCACCTTCAAAAGTTAACATTCCATGTTTTGATTTGGTGGCTAGAGACCTACCATCCACCGAGAAAATTCCCTTTCCATTCATCATCTGGGAGAGGGTGCGGCGATCATGCGGTTTGGGAAACCGATAGCCCGACCTTGCAAGTATGTATTGCAGGGCGGCTGGGTCGGAAATCATCAATTGGTCTTCCTATGAGTCGGCAGAGGATCAGGAAGTGTATGCCGCAAGTGTGGATTTCATTACAAACGCCAAAAGACCCCCTGAAGCGAACGATATTCCCAAACTGAGCTTGCCACTTGAAGTCAGCCTCCGCTGCCTGACCTTGGTAGAGTTCTTTCAGATTTCCTGGTGGTCATATCAGCAGCAGAGGGATCCAGCAAGAGTTAATATAGACATACCCATGATAAACGATGCAGACTCTGGTCCAGGAACGTCTGCCAAAGAGATATAAGAGTATCGACGGTACACCCCATAGACAATCGCTAGAACCACAAAACCAGCAGCGATAAAGACAGGATCCATGGTTACAAGAAATACGATTTCAAAAGCATATGAAGGCAGCTTTATCAATGTCTCTCGTATGAACTAGATGACGATGCATGATACGTATTCCTGAGCACCACGTGTGCATCAGAACGAACAGGCCCAGAAGTTGCCTATTCCTGATCTCCTTATAATTTGATGATTGCGTGAATTCGGTGCCGATGACACGACAAGAAGAAAATCAGGTCCATATGAAGCGTTGGGTATGTCATAGGGTTTTACACCAAAGATTCATCATTCTGTAGGCAGTAGGTCAGCTCCAGCTCTTGGGAACTGCTCACACACAGTCGGTTTAGATATCCGAGTCCCCAGCCAGGCGGCGTATTTTTGATGACTCCCGCGTTCTGATTGCAGCTACCATGATTCGACAGGCATTTTCTCCTCATGACAGAACGACACAAAGATGTCAGTGCTCACTCGTGTCCCCGCAAAACTAGGTCACGAGCGGTCCTCCGGGAGCGCTTCGCTAAGATTAGATGATGGCTGACGGTTGTCAGGATACATAATGAATCGTTAATTATTCGGCCCATGGCTTGGGGTATGACGGTCATATTTTTGGGACTTGAGTGTAGTTTCCCGTAGTCAGACCTGGATATAGAAGGAATATAGTCGTTCCTACGACGGTCTAAACGTTGTCTGGGCGTGGCCTCAGGAGGCTTTGCTTGTTCTTGGGCCAGGTGAAATTATGGTGGATGTTTGGTCCAGAGGTGTGCGAAACTAAAGTTCATGACGTCAACCTGGACAAACTTTTAGTCTCTTCTTTCAGCTTCAGCTTTACTCGAAAGTCTCGAAAGTTGTCTACCTAGTACTCGATCGGGTATCTTTATTCATGCTGTGACCTCCAGCCTCTGCAACAACTCCTCCTGCAACACAGCTTAAAGATGCAGTAGACTTGTTTTGTGTCAGTGACACTATCCAGCTCTGTGATACACCAGTTGAGCCCTTCAATGAGCAGCAGAACCACAGTCTTTGACAATTTGACAGTATCTCCTGCCTTCACATCTGGAAGTGCTGATGTCAATACTTGCTCTCCCTGCGGCACTAGTCCTGGATAGCCGTAGTTCATGGGAGGTATACTAAATCCCCCTGCATCGCCATGCTTTCACCTAAGGCGTCTAGGATCTGTCCCGGTACTTGGTCAGGGAGGTCCATGGTGTGCACAGATGGGTGAAAGAGGTACAGTTGAATGAGTGGCCATGGTAGGTCTTTCAAGTTTTCGCATCCGGTACTCTCACATTCTACTTCCTGCGCCCTCTGATGTCCATGCCCCACCGTGTCGATGTGTTATCCTGCTGCACCCGCACAGCATCTTCCGATGTCTCTCTGCTGTTTTATCACTTCGATAGCGCTTCCCGAACCCAGCAGCGCCTCGAATCTGCACTTAGCACCATCCATTCACCAAACCACACCCGTGACCCGACCGTACATTTCAGCATCATTTATTCACCCAACCGCAACTCCAACACTGCTCACATGTAGCACTCAAATTTCTGACAACAACAGTGTCTGCAGTCCCGGCGCACATTTTTCAACCACCACCGGCATCCAGGCACAGTATCGCCAATTCCCACTATCACTCAACTTCAGCAACTCGCAGAACTGATCATACAGCCTAGGAGGCTTGTGAGGGTGGAGGTCAAGACTGCAAGTCGAAGGAGAGGAGGGGCTAGAATCCGTGTTTGCCAGCCACGTTATTGGCATCGAGGAGCAATTCTGCCGTCCAATGTCCCATCTGGTCCACTCTTGCTGCGAGGTCTGGTAGAATGAACTGTATAATGCATAACAGCATGCTTTCGCTACCGAGCGGGGCGCGGGATTCGCAAGGCTAGAATTCTCTATATGCCTAGCACTTCGCAGATTACCAACTGCCATTTGGAATGAAGGATCTTCCAATGGCACCTGAACTTGATGGAACCACACTTTAGTTGCTGAGGGTAGAGATTGGAGAGAGAGATTGAACTGAGCATGATATATACTTCGAAACACCAGCGATGTCATACTGAACTCGGAGAGTCGCAGACGGTATTTTCAGGAGGGTTCCGTTTCACCTCGGTGGCGGAGCAGCGAGCACAGGCATTTTGGAGAATAGTCGTTAGCGTCCGAATGTTTCTACTAAATACATATATTCATGCCTGGTAAACATTTGAATCCTAGGTTATGGTGCTCACTTCGGGGCGGAACAGTCTAAAGTATAACTTTGCAAGTCAACTAAACGACGTACCATCGACCAAAAACACAACGCTCCAAGGACAGTACTGTCCTACATAAAGTCTCACTCTGAATAGACATAAGTGTGGAAAAAAAACGTTTCAGAAATTGCTTGAAGGTCGAGTTGAACGTATCTCTGCTAAAAGTTGTCCCAGATATGGATGATATAAGAACAAGATAAACGACTTGCCACGCGGTCGGCGCAGTGCGACAAAAGTGAAGAAGCAGGCGAATATAAACAGTGCTATGCATAAGTTCTAGATCTGGACGAGGTTTGTCAGGATGCTGTAGCAGTTTACATAGGCAGTAAGTGCGAACCTGGGCAGTGAACATGGATACCTCCAAGTCGGTCAGTTGCCCGTCTTCGGCACTATTACCTAAGTTGAATGAAAACCCGAACATCCAGTCTGTGATCGCCGATGATGGTGTTCAATAACACCGATAAAGAAAACGAGGCGTGAGTGACTCACGCAGGAAAGGCTTCGCGACGAAAAGTATGAGACAAATGGGATGAGCGAAAATCGTCTTCACCGGGTTCGTTGCCGTTGTAAGTCCTTTCTTTCCGGTAGCGTATCTCCACTGTCTTTCGTCCCGAATGACATTTGCGATGAGCTCAGAGCAATGCAGCCCAAGTGTTAATGGCCCCTGGATAGCTGCCATGTTCATCCATGAGAACAGCATAACACCGCTCGAACTATACTGGATGTATTGCCCGCTGGGGAAGTTGAACGACCACGTTTCTAGGGTCAGAGCATTGCCGTACCCGGACACTATGTTACTGAAAGAGTACACAGTCTTGTCCCAGATGTACATGACGAGTGCGGCCCATCCAGCGCATGCTGCAACGATCACCCAGAGAAAAATGATAACTTTCCGGATGCCAGGATGAGCATGCCACGCAGAGGGCTGTATCTCTGATGGCTTCGCTGGACCTCCAAACGTGTCTAGGTCAGACACACAACGCATGCACCGCAAATCGATAGGGATCAATTGGGTGTGGTGGATCAGTGCGGCAGTCAAGTCGAAAGGTGAGGAGCTCCACGTCGATATTTTGACAGCCCACATCCCTGACACTGCGATCATCACCTGGAGGAGGAGTGCGATGCCTAAAATGAGGAGAGGTAACCCTGCGATGGCAACACTCTGAGGAGAATAGTGGGCTTGACTGTTGAGACATACGATGAATGAGACCGAGCTGTATGATATGATGAGGGAGACAGCCAAGATACCGTGAAACAGGGCGCCGTTAGGGTTATACCATTCACGAGCTGCGGTCAGAAGGTGCGCCCATCACGGCCCATGGAGTCTCGGGAGTGGTAACCGTGACTGATATAATCCCCATAACTCAGTTTGACCTCAGGCAGAGGGAGATACTGGCCATGATACTAAACTTGATCGTTGCATTATGCACCGAGTCCATAGGCTTCGTACACGGCATCTCATTGTGCTCTGCCTTAGTCTCAGAGTCTCGACTTGCAATCTGCGTCCTCTGGCTGCAGTTTGTGGATGGTATAACCTTAATGGTGCCCTGCTTAGTGGCATCATGGCCGTCCTCCACCTCTTGACTTGACCCCTGCACTCAGGCTGGTCCACCACGCGCAATTGGCCCCGGCTACTTTCTGGTGCATACGTTGTGCGTCTGACCTGGATGTGGATGAAAGTCCAGCGAAGCTGTCAGAAATACAGCACTCGGAGTGGAATGCTCATCCCAGCATCTGAAAAGTCGACATGTCTTTTCGGGGGATTGTTGTAGCATACGCAGGGTGGGCCGCACTTATCATGTACGTCTGGGACAAGTACCCCAGCACTAGAATGACAACAAACCCTCCGCTGCCAACGTGGTCGTTCTTTCCCAATAGGAATCCCAGTTCTATCGCGTATATTATTCCGGACCTCAATATACAGGGGTGGATCCTGATCTTCGTCAACCTGGCAATTGTCTAGGCACCGTTGACGCTTGGGCTGGGTTGCTCGTAGCTCATTGCGAATGTCATCCGAGATGAAAGACAGTGGAGATGCGCTACTAGAAAGAAATGGATTCGAGTGGCGACGAACCTGCTGAAGTCAACTTTCACTCATTCAGTATGTTTTGTACTTCTCCTCACAAAACCTTTCCTACATGAATTGTTCACATTTAGTTTTTTTAATCGGCATTATTGAACATCATCGACAATAACAGACTGGATGTTTGGGCTTTCTTTCTTTGTGTATGGCTCGGCCAGTGACGAGACAGTAGAAAAGTTTGTGGTAGGCATGTACGCTGCACAGGTTCGCACTTACTGTGCATGTAAAACCGCTACAACATTCTCACACACTCTTGTAGATATGGAACTTATGCGCTCTTTGTAATTGCCTGTTTCTTTACTCTCTTCTCGCTACGCCGGCAACGCGGCCCCTAGCCAGCCACATATGGGCATATCCAGACGCTCGCCAACCTCGTAGATAAGTGATCGCCTGTGATGTAGTGGGGCCACAAGCAGCATCAAATCCCATATTTTCATGCCAGTAGGGTACTTACATGTTCACGAGGATAATCAATTGAAGGTTTCATACAGGATCAAGCGATCGTCCGCTGCCGGATGTGAAGATGGACTGTGTTTACGCTGGTTTTGGTGTAGAGCCCCCTGCATCTGTCTCATGAGAAGCCACCGCCTTGAAAACACATTTGTTGATTAATCTTTGTCGACGGATCTAAATACTAGCTAAAATCATACTAGCGGGGCTGGTTATACACGTTGAGGGTGTGCACGGCCAGCCACGCCATCGAGTAGGACTCGCGATTCTCTTGCTACATAAATTGGTACGCAACATCTGGATTCTTTGATTCCACAAACATGGTGATTCTAAATTCCAAATTCATTAGTCCCCCCTTCGAATTCGGAGATGAAGCCTTCTTGAAACCCATGCCCCCTCCGGCACGATAAGACAACCCGTCTCCTATCCTCATGACACCTTTTAGACTTGTACCTACTTGAAAAGAACGGAACGTGATAGCCGCTTGAAGAAACTAACGTACACTTACATTCCGACGAGATCTCAGTTGCAAATTTACGTCCATGATGGAACCTGGTACTTGGCGCCGTTGAAATTGAGCTTGCATATGTATAATGTATTTCCCCCGCAGTCACGGTAGCCTTGACACGTATCCCAGATATTGTCAAAAGTCCGTTCCCTCTCAAATCATGATGGAGCGGTAGAACATATGCAAAGAAATTCAACCATCCTCCAGAGGATTTTCAATTCATGGATACATCGGATGCATGTTATACAATACACAAAAAGACAATACACAGAAAAAACGCAGTAAGTATGTATTGTTAAGAAGAACCAAAAAAAACTAGGTAACTAGGTAGTAGGTATGTCGTACATCAAGCGAGAGGATCGGACACGTGTACAAGGGTCGTCATGCGGTGGGTAAGACTTGGGTAACGGGTTTGTGTTGGGGGGTGAGTTGGGACGGGATGGGGGGTCGTCGTTCGATGGAGTTAGATGGGAGGGTCAAGCTTCAGCTTCAAGGGCAGAACAAGACCAGAGAGGGTATGTGTGTGGGGAATAGTTTTTCGGTGTGGGGAACGGGAACTATCGCTCGGCGTCGGTGTACATGTGTGTGTGTGTGGGGAATGCGATATCACTCGATGTGGGGAATACAAAAAGTACACGGTGTTTAAATCATGCGGTCGCCATTCGATGACACAAGCAAACAAAAAAAGAAAGGGAACTACGCGTATGTGATGGACATGGGATGGGATGGGATGCGCATGAGAGATGCTTATATGAGCATGGGAGATAATTAAGAATGCAGCGTCAGATAGCCAGAAAGTGCGATGCAAAAATGCCAGGTAGGTAGAGGTTTGGTAGAGGTATCTAAATCCAAAATGAAAATGAAAACGTACATATGGCGTCGCATTGCGTTGCGGCGTAGTAGTCGTGTTTAGTGTCGTGATCTTACATAGCGAGCAGCGAGGCGGTTGATTACGTGTGGTGCGTCCCTCTGCTAATGCCCATGTCCAAGTCTCATCCCCTATCCCCTGTAGGCCGCTGCATGACATCTAAAAACCGCGCCCACTCTGCTTGGCTTAACGACGCTCCCCACATCGAATCTTCCTCAACTGACGTCGGGTATGCATAAGGGTATGTCGAACTGCTCCCTCCTATGCTGCCTTGCGCGGGATAGGGTCGTGCGTCAGGGTAGGGCGCTTGAAGATGCTTCCCGTCAGATGGAGGTGGATACGATCGTACAGAATCAGAATATGGTTGTGTCTGTGATGGCGCAGGCGGTGGTGGTGCGGGGTACGGGTTTCCAGTCCCAGACGTCGACCCTGACCCTGACCCTGGTCCTGGCCCTGACGGCGGATACGGATTTCGCGCAGGCGCGGGAGGCGGCGGATCCGAATACGCACTCGTCGTCGTCGAAGCCGTAGCACCAGAAGCAGGCACTGTCCTCGAAGCCCCATCCACATACCTCGTACCCTCATACGACCCCCTCACATCACTATATCCCCTATTCTCAGGGTACGGATAGGGCGGGGACGTATTAGGCGGCACGTACCGCGGTTGGGCCGTATGCGTGTGAGGCGGGTAATCCACGCTATTCCTCCTCGCGCTCGGGCTTCCGCCAAAAACCGCTACGCCATTATTAGGACTCCCAGCTGCGTACCCGCCCCCTGGGCTGCCTAGGTAACCGCTTGGACTGCCGCCTGAGTAGTTGTGGGGGCTATCGCCCGCTCCGCTCCGTGACGAACGCGATTGGTCGTGATAAGGGAATGCGAGGGTTTTGACGAGGCCGAGGACACGTCCTTTAACACCTTCGCGTTCGCTTGCTTCCATGTCTGCGAATCCGATTTCATAGAGGGGTTGGAGGGCGCCTAGGATATCGAGTGCGCGGTCTGCAACTGCTTGTCCGCGGCTTAAATCGAGAGTGCCGAGTGCTTTCTTGATGTTTGCACGGAAGAGGCCTGCGCCTGGTTGGTTCGGATTTGAGATGAGTTGGAAGGAGAAGAACATGGCAGCGCTGAATACGTGAAAGGGGCCCCAGGACATGTGGCCTGGTACTGCCAGGCTGGCGTTTGCGAGAAAGTCTGGGCGAGCGTGATCGACGAGGGTGATGAGTTTGTCGGCACTACCTACTGCTATATCGAGGCTGTTGGCTTGACGTTCGGATTTGGCGGAGTCTTTGGGGTCTTTATCGGATTTGTCGTGCTTGTCTTTGTCACTTGGGGAGGATGTGAGGGATGCGGAGGCGTATGGTCTGTGGAGGGTAAAGCGGATGTGGTAGTAGCTTGTTCGGATGATGACACTTTGTACACCTAATCTTCTCGTGACAGTGTCTGGGCTTGCAAGGGCGCGTGCTATTCTAAATTCGTCCAGATCAAGCTCCGGGGGTAAGGTGTCCATCCAGTTGGCGAGTGCTTTATCGTGTGCCATAATCGTGTCGTATGACACTGAGCGAAGCGAGACGGCGCTGTCCATGATATCGCCTAGAACGTAGGCGAGGCGAAAGAGAGCGAGATTTGGGGCGTAGAGACGTGGTTGTGGTGGGTTTGTGGGAGTGATGGGGGAAACGGAGGGAAGCTGGGTGTCAAAGTGGTGGGAAGCTACGGCAAGAGGACGACCAAACATGAATGCTTGCCATCTGGGAAGAATTAGGCGTGTACGTAAGAGAAACGAAGGAACGCACCGTTCGAGTAATATGATATGCCACCATGCCCAACGCTTTCTCTCTGCAAGCTCCTTGTTCATTCTCCACCTAGATGGGTCGCGGTGTAGGCCCATTGCGAGGCCCATGCTGACTAATTCGGCACGAATTGCCCAAATCTCCTCACTATCTGTCTTGCTGAGATTTAGATAGTGAGAGCGGATGAGCAGACATTCGACAAGTTCAAGGGTGTAAGTTCTGGACTCTGCACGATGTCGGTCGAGTGCCGTGCGCATGACGTCGTAAAAGCGTTTTCCGAGTTCTTCATGGTTATCTGCGAGATGTGCGATGAGGGGGTCACGGTGAGGCAAGTAATGAACGGCGATAGCCATAATCATGCAGACAGTCGCGAGGACGACTCTATCTGGAGAAGAGCCGCTCTTGAAGCGAGACCACGCGGAAGTGAATGCGGGTTGGTTTACATGACGGTAAATCCAATTGCAATATTCAAAGTAGTAGATTATGAGTGCATCGATTGTTTCGAGTGCTGGAAGGACCTCTAGGAGATCTCTGTCGTATTCATGAGTGGAAGCAGCGATTTCGTCTGTGACGAGGCCTTCTTGGGAGGGGTGTCTGTCCATTGGGTCGTCTGAAGCGCGTGATTCGTTCTGGGTTGTGTGAGGAAGATAAACGGATGCAGGGAAGATAACTGACCATTGTGAGGTGAGTGACGACAGAGGTAGTGCCAGCGTAGAAGCCGCCGTGTCCCTGGGAGCCGATCATGCCGGGAGCATTGTCGCGATCGACGGGGTCAGAATCTTGAGGTTCTTTCTTGAGTGGACTTGGAGGACCTGAAGATGGAGGGTCAAGCGGACGCTTGAATGGAAGATTTCGGTGGTTTGCAATGATAAATGTTTCGAGTAGTGAAACGCTGTGCTTCAGGCGAGTTATTTCTTGCATTGGATCCACTCTAGAAGCGTTTCTGGTTATGCATGAAGACATGATACTCGTTTGAATAGGAAAAAAATCATACTGGTCATCCGGACGTAGGTTCAAGTCTGATTCATGTCCACGAGCATCCTGGTAGCATAATGCGATAGTGCCTTTGTGGTGTTTAGTGCGTTTTTAAAATATAAAATGGTTGAACTGACCTCTCAGAACACAACTGGAGCATGGTCGATTTCTATTGTCGTCAGTAATGGCTAGCATTGAAGTTATTGCACTAACCTATCACACTTGAGTTTTGAATTTCTACAAGGCTCGCAATTGATAGCTTTTCTTGCTCTCTTCGTTGGTGGTCTTTGATCATGTTCGTTAGGAGGAGGACTTGTTCTTGACCTAACATTTGTTGTTGATCTTGGTTGAGTCTTTGAACGTGGTTCGTCTGCCATGATGCTTGAGGGAGACAGAATTGAATTGAAATCTGAATTGAACCGTTTTCACTCGGGTTTTACACTCATGGGCAATCTAACCCTAATCCGCCCCCGCATGCGAGGCACTTGACTGCCATAATTGATCATATTTCCTAATTTAGTTTCTCTCTCACTAGATTAGGATTCAATTTTACCAAATTAAACACTCCGCCGGGGCCCTTTCAAGACACAATTTTGCTTCCGCCGTCACTTTCCAATTTGGTTCCGACGAGTACGCTCTGATCCACATATTGCTAAATTAGGTAATATAATATCTTCTAAAAACACGCAGCCTTGTGCATTATTTGATCTCGACTGTTAAGGTAGTACTCGACCCCCCCAAATTTCACTATCTCCGCCGCATCGATCTTGCCATCAACGCCGTCTAGCCGTGCTGACTCCGTCAAGATCAAATAATTTATTCCAAATTTATTCCAATTATCTCCCCTTGCACCTACAGCGTGTATCTCAACCCCCCCGACCCTGCTTGTCGCAATAAATCGTTTCCCCACACCGTGTGTTCTACAGTCTCGTGACTTTCGTCGTTCCGTTCTCTCCTTGGACTTTATTCAACCCTCACGACAGGTCAATCAGTACAAGTTCCTATCTTGCTTTGCACCCGACGTGATCCCCTTCATCACCAGCACCCACCACCGCCCAGAATAGCTGCCGCCGGGAGAAGGGTCCTGAACCTCCTCATGCCACACTTTGGGATCAGCATGTTCCCTCTGTCACATGATACCAGCTCAGATATCACTACGCCCCTATTTTGCTCTGTTCTGTGAATGTGGATCTTGGGTAATTCGTTTTGACTTCGGAATTCCAGATCTGAGACCCTAGTCCATGTAAATCCTGCGTATGACGGGACGGTGGATCTACAATTTTTCAACAATGTATCACTACGATCTACACTCTATGTTGCGGTGGAATGTGCATGACAGGATCTGCGTCAATCGTCAATCGACTCATGCGGCGTCAAGATGGTGGATCTACGGTCTTTTTTAACAATGTTTTCACTACGATCTGCACTCGTGCAATGTGCACCCGCTGGCAGGATCTGCGCACTCTCCATATGTCACGGTGGAATACACATGTGCACGACAAGATGTACGCCAGCAATACGCGCCATCAATCAAGTTGAAATTCCATCATGCGGCGTCAGTTTTGTTCATGTTGTATGTACACGTGTTCGAAGTTAACCTTGAACTGTTAGGATTTTTGGATATTCTAGTTCCAGATTCCTCTCGTGCTCCGCCACCATCCTTACTGTGCGCACTTTGCTACGGCCCCGTGGCTTCGACTTCCAAGTCGTGCTCGTTCCATCTTCCATTCGGCTGCATATGCCGATACCTGTTTGTTGCAGATCGAGCATGGCTCGGCGCTATGCAATGCACATGCACACGTCGTCTGCAAAACGAGATTCTTCGGTCAGGAGTTGCGACGTGCATCCATGTCGAATTCGGTGACGGTTTTTCATTTATTCCCCTGCTGGCTTCCGTAGCATACATCTCCACAGGGAGGTTTTTTACATTGGAATTCCGAGTGCATCTATGGTGGCATCCCATCCACCCGTCAAGCTACCATATACTCGACCCCCCAAAAGTTCTACCCTCTCTACATATGTAGACCGAAGGAACCGGGCGCACTCCACCATTCATACCTCGCATTGTCTAGTCGTTCATTCAATTGCCGACCTTCTCCACCATTGGTGGCCGTATACTGGCTTGCCGCCGGTATTGCAAAGTTTTTCTTATCTTCGCTTGTGCTTCTATTAACGTGCCATTGGTTAATGACGTTCTACTTCTTGAGGCTGTTACGCTTCTTGCTTTCTTTTTTTTTTGTTACCCACCATGGGTTCTAGAAAGTGGTGCGCTTGTTGTTCTTGTTCTGCGGTCACAATACTGCGATATATCGCTATTGGGTCTCAGTGCAGACTCTTCACGTTCATGCCGCTTGGAGTTCTAGGAAATGGCGTGCTCCTCGTCTTGTTTTTGTTCTGGACTCACAGTCACGGTACTGCGATATATCGCTATTGGGCTCCAGTGCTGACTCTTCGCATTCGCGTTCATGTCGTTTGGGTAACGACAGTGGGGCCCGCCGACTTTTATCTTCTATCGCCTGCTAATAGCTATCTTGACGCTGAAGCATATGATATCTGCGATAAGTTCCGCAGTCGGTAGAATGCACGTGCCGCTGGGAATAGAACTAAAATGCGTATCAACGCCACCACCAGTACAAGAAAGGCCTCATTCGCTTTATAAGCGCCCATTTAATCTTGTGCTGTACTTATCTGCGCTCGCATTTCACCACTAACAACCTAGACCCTCTTGAACCTCCACCACCTGAACTGATCGGGATCAGACTTCACTTACCCATCTTCCCACCGTGACGTGCGATCGTCGGTGGGAAAATGGAGAAGATCGCGGCGCCACTGACAGTCGAACGTTCAGCGTTCAGTCATTTGTCATGAATTTCGGTTATACTAGCATTAATCCTGTGCTGAGATGTCAATTTGTAGGTATAATCAGTACTTCTTCTTCGGACGCTGCTGCTACTCATATACGCGGGCCGGTGTATCTCGGGACCCGGGCGTGGAAATTGATCGAAGCTGGACCTGGATCGATTATGGATACTTAGCAGCGCCGGGCTATCTAGTACTCGGTCCCGATTTCTCATCTCACTGACGCCATACTCAGTGGGTCCCCGATGGTGCGACGCACGCACGCCTGCATGCATACACGCATACTGGGAGTCCATCATTCTCCGCCCGAGAGAGAAAGATGGCATGTGGGTAGAATTGGATATGCACCCACATCTCTTCTATTTCTCTCGGTAGTGTGAAACTGGATGTCTACCGCAGAAGCTTCTGATGGAGGTTAAACGACTCGGATACTGACAGTGACACCTCGATCACTGTGCGACACACGCATTAACGCACGCTGCCAGCAGTCTACGCAGTCCAGGGTGGACGAGGTTGCATGACGGTGCTCTCACCCCCGTGAAACTGGGGTGTGTCTACTGTGGGAGTTTTCTGAATCTGTGAAAGGTTAATCTGATTTTCCTTCTCTAGATGATTGTAGAGTCTGGAGGTGATCGGGATGCTGTAATGATGGGTATTGCCATTGGTAGCGGTGTTGGTGAGTGGTTACCGTGCTGGTGGTGGGTTTTTCTGTTGTGCGTGTTCACGATGAACTCATGTGGGTTACCAAGTGCTTGGTTGCTGCTGTGCCAGATGTCATGCACCCTAATCATCAAATTGAAGACATAGAAACCTACCTTTTGTTCCAACTCAGCTCAGCTATTGGCGTGGGACGTGAGGCTAGTCTCTACAATCCAGTGCTTGGCCCGATCGGTGGTTAAGATGAAGCCCACAGCTGATCGTGTTGGCGTCCGTCCGTTCGGGGATTCATTGTGGTCAGGTTCAATGGATAGATTTTGTTGCATGATTGACTTCGGGTTTGTGGTCTATACTAATAGCCATGCGCAAATTGGGGAGATGAAGACCTAGCTTCTGTTTTGGCACGGCGACTGAAAAACATAGGTCGTAATGGGATAGAGGCCAGGTTTGTACAGTCCAGGTCATTGTCGCCCGATCAATGTTGGACTGGACAATTCATGTTGATCATGTTGACATTCGTGCATTCAGGGATCAGGTCGAGTTTAATGGGAAGATTTTCATCGGGCGTCATTGTGCAATGGTAAGCTCTGAGTGCGCGTTTCTGAATTCCTTAACGTGACTGGATTTCAGGGTTCCGTCGTTAGAGACCGAGTCCGATGGGGGCTTCTGTCACATTGGACAAACCCAATCACGCGGGAGGGGCCGAGACGGAAACTGTGTAGGTCTTCACAATATTAATTTAGTCCTGATAAAGTTTAGGGTGAATCCGACAGTTGGTCGCGTTGACATTTGTCCGTTCATCAGACCACCACAAAGTTAGTGAGTATTTGATCATGATCTACGATATGCAAATGGTTGAGCGTCCAGATGGGGACACTGCACGACGGCACTCAAGAAATTAGAATTCCAGATCTGATGACAGGGATCATATTGCGATGTCAGTTTCCACTCCACGTTGACCCATTTTTATTTATCGTTGTACCAGAGCACACCAGAACAACAAATATCACGGGTAACACACGCATCTTGGAACTGGCTCCCGATCTTGTTCAGTTTTCACGAAACGTACATCTCTTCTCGTTAATGTGATACCTACCTTCGGTACAAGTAGCCGCAGATTTGGAGGACATGCAAGTGTTACATTAGGGCGACTCCTATTGATGGATTGGGACTGATGAAGGACTTTGCAGGTCTTCGATTGGTTGTTCCTTGAAGCCCAGCCAGTTCAATGGCCCGTTATTTATTAAAATTTTCTGTTTGAGGAGTGGCATCGACTCCTCGAGTTTCTCTTTTGAATTAGGTAATGAAGGAAGACATTTCATGGGAGATGCTTCACGGCCATATTTCCAAGTTCGCTGTTTCTTAATACTGAGATGCTGAGTGAGTTTTGCATAGGTTCTCTATGTGTGATCATCTTGACACAAAGTCGGGTGAATATCTGAAGCGTGCGCATGGAGAAAGGGTTCGAATGCTTTGATAAGGAACATCCGCCTTCATTGGTCTGGATAAGGGGGACTGATTTTCGATGAGCATATAATGAACTTCGAGTGATGCAAAAGAGGTAGAATAATAGCCAGTGCTTAGAATACTAAAAGGATGCTGCGAGGTGGGCAGGAGCAAGAAGCACTGCGCCACCTCGCTTATTCGCACGTAGACTAGATCTCTGCTAACCTCGTACCTCATTAATAACCAATAACGCAGCAAAGGTAGCAGTCTGCTAAAGGTACCGGGAAGGGTGCGTAGCCTGGCCCACAGTCGTAGTTGGGCATAACGCACGCCAGGTCCCAGTTACATTGATCATAGGCCTGCTGCGACTTCACCCCAGCGGCAGCGGCAAGGATGGCGAGGTAGGCGAACTGAATCTTCATGGTATCTAGTATATGCGTCAGTGATGACCGTCAGCGCCGGCAAACCATTCACCCTCGAAATTTGGTTGTGTGATGTACGCAAAGGTGCTGATAGTGGCACGTCAAGGAAGAGCTAAGTGTGAAATGGACACGATGTTCAAGTCGGCCCTGCAAGTCTTCAAGTGGTTACTCACTGTAAGTAAAGCAGCTGTCTTTGAAGATTTGAGACTTACCACGTTCAATTTATATGCACCTATCCACCAAGCCTGGAGTTTTGCCAGGTCACCATCCGGCGGTTGGCACAGTGGTAACCGGGAGCTACTTGAAATTATGTAACCCCACCACGTCATGCTGCCATTAGTTCCAACGCCAGCTTGGGTATACCGTATGCTATACATGCAGCACGCACGAGCAGTTCAGCCGCAGCAGAGTGCGAGTTTCGAAATCAACATAAAAAGAGGGAGAGACACAGGTTCAAAGCAGAGTACTCGAGGAGGGAAGCACCAGGGTATTCAATATTCAATATTCAATGATCCAGCATAGAGCTACGAAAGTGCGCAGTGGGTCCACGGCTAAGCATATAGCAATTAACCTGTGACAGCGTCTCAGTAATACTTTGGCAAGGGATACCTACATTTAAAAAGACTTTTAAAAGCGCCACCTCGGCATGAAGTATCAGAGTCATCATGGCACTATTGAGCAAAGTTTTCCCGTCCACGAATTAAGGTACGACGGCGCGAACGAGTGCTGAGATGAAAGTCTGGATTCTATGGGTAGGGCAGTATTGATTATATTAGGTGTGCAGAGCCAATGGACTCGGTGCACGATTCATGAGGGGTGGATTCAGCGTGCGAGTAGGTTGACTGCTTACTAGAAGAATGGTAATTGAATATTGAGCCACACAACTGGGGACTCGGATGACGTAGTTCAGTTACATAAGCATGCCAGGCACGGTCTCCACCTCACTTCCAACTCCCGCACGCATCCGATGATCTTCTCCCTCTAGCTATCATTTCCTCACCCGTGGCACCATCTGAAAGCCTCCAGCAATCTCTCTGTGTTAAACGGCCACACTATGGCCAACTCACGACATGTTAGTGAGTGCATGTGCAAATGTTCTTCGCGAGTTCCTCTGCCTCTTATCTAGCAAGGTGCTTGACCACGTCTGTCTTTATTAGCGTAATACACATACCACTCAGTGCCAATAGATTTGGACAGGTGAAATTCAGTACCTATAAGGTGGTTGACCATGAAATTCATTGTCACCAGATGTCACTGAATCCAATACATTCAGTGATAATATCCATTAATTTAATTGTTTTTACTTCCTGCAGTGCTCAGGCTCAAGGGGCAGTCCTAAAACCTGTCTTAAATATCACTAACCCCACTGTGACATGCATACATACATTTTTGTTGCATTCTATGATCTTACCTTGTGCTCAGACTATACAATTCTCTTGCTTTGACCATTCATTTCCACCTTCACCATATGTCCCTCATGCTCATTCTGGCCCAGGCAACTATTTGAAAATGTATGTGAATGGCCCATGTACACTCATTGATAGCAGAATCTCATACCATATTTCCCACTCAAAAGCATGTCCAAATGCTCCAATGAAAGTTTCCATCTCTAAATGTCTTGTCTTGTTTCTCATCATGCTATCTACCTATACATCTCACAACTACATTGATCTGTTCCTAATCCCCAATACACATGCATGTAGTATCACATACAAAATACCAATAAAAACTGCTCAGGTCTCTAACCTTGTAGGAAAGATGCATGCATCTACAGTATTTCTATTGTCCTGATGTCCATCAGGTCTTGAACAGAAGTCACATCCTTGACCTGTGCAATGATATCACAATCTGATGCAACCCTCTTGTATTCTCTGCCATCCTTCCATGCTAGCAAAAATGTGCCAAAGGGCTGCCCAAGATGAACAAGCAACCATAATGTTTGTGATTCTAGATCAACCACCTCATCTGATGGTGAAGAAGGCGGCATCCAAAAATCCTCCTTGCTTTCCATATTGTCCCCAACATCAGGCAGATCTGCAAAGTATGGTAACTCGAGTAGAGACCGATCCCAGGGATGGACAAGCACAAAGGTGTGCCAAGTCCATGAGAACTGAACAATCGGCTCTTTAGTGGTGATCAGCAGGTCACAAAGACCATCTGTCTTGACTTCATAGCGAGTCTCCTAGGATGGACCATAACTCAAGCTAACATCTGTGACACAGAAGGCGATGCAGGGTAGATGCAGTCTGCAGTTTGTGAAATGAGCAGTGCTCGTGTTATCAAGCTGGTTGTAAAGTTTCAGAGCCAAACCCACAGCCATGGGATTTTTTTGCAGTGAAGAGATACGTGTCTGAATCTGATCTTTGGACAAAGATGGAAGGGTGCATGGAGGAGTGGTGTAAGAGATGATATGAGCCGGAAGACAGCTATTGAACTCAGATGGTTGTCTGACCCAATTGAGGACCTTAATTTTGCCTGATTAAGCAATGATTTCCTGCAGGAGCTGACCAAGTGCGTTCTGCTTCTTCTCCCCATAAATAACAGGTAGGGTGATGCCAAAGATGCCAAATAATGAGTATGCAACATCTTCCCGCCCAGTAGTGGTGTGCTTCGATGCCCATTGCAGTTTCTCCTGGGTGCCACTCATACCTGGATGGAATGTCACCAGGGCCCATACATCTATGCCTGTTGCATCCTCTAACTCTGTCATGATTGCAGGGGACTCTTTGTGATTGAGAGAGCAATTGCTGAGATATATGTAATGACCAATCCTTCTGATAAAAGATGATGACTTTTGGAGCGATGAGTTCTTGAAAGATCCATCCTCACTTGTTCCAAATACTCCTCACCAGTGCACCAGGCTCGGATGAAGGAGGGACATCTGACAGGTAGATGATGGTAAGTGCTGAGTAATGGTACCAGACGAACATGGAGTTGATTGATTCTTGAAGCTCAGTATTGTTCCTCTTGTTGATGCAGCATGTGTCCATCCATGCCTAGCAATACCCAGCATTGTGAGCAATTTTGCAGAATGACTGCAACTTCATGATACCACCAACTCCCTTCAACTCATACACAACTTTGTCCTGGATGTTGTGCAGCAGTGCCTCCATCTCTTCCCACCTGTGTGATAGCAGGACACAGCAGAAGTACTTTGCCACTACCTCTTTGATGCACTCTGTTCAATAGTTTGAATCCTTCATTTGAAACAAGATAAGGTCAATGTACTGTTGGCTCATTTTGAAGGCATTTAATTGTGCTGTTCTATTGCACAAAAGACCTGTAGAGGTGTTGAGCAGACAAAGGGGGGTATTGTTGAGTTCAATCCAAGCGACTCCTTGAATAGTGTCTTCTATTTCAGATGGACAGACATACTGCTGATGCAGATCTGCAGAATGAGATAGACATTTCAAGACCATGCAGGAGTGTTCCATGGCTTACCTCATATGTGCGCTTCAGGAGCATCGTCTAACTTGGACAACATAATTGTGAAGGCCTCAGTAGCTTTGTCGTAACATTGCATGCCACACAGCGCTGTATATTTCAACTGATATCCAATGTGAGACGGAGGATTGAGTTTGGTGACCTATTCATCGCCCAAGTCAACATGGGATACAAAAATGTAGACACCACTGTACCTTTTGCACGTCAAGGAGCACATCCTCCCACAGCATTTTACCTAACTTTGCCTTGCTGCGATTTGCAAAGACAGCATCAGATGCAGAATTCAGGCTGATCACTGTTGAGTAAAAGTCAATGGCCCTGTCATAATCACTTGCAGTGAGGGCAGTATCTCCATTGGTAAGAAAGAGCATGTTGCATTCTTGCTTGGAGGCTGAGTAAAATGCAGGTGAGGATTATAACCTCAGGTGACATCACTGAAGACTTGCTAGTGGACCAGTCAAGGCAGCTGGCTTTCATTGTTCTGTCAATGCTGTCCATCATAGATTTGTATGATTCGAGTACTTCATCAACTTTGCCTGCAGAAAGGAAAGCCTGGCACTGTTTCTGGTGTGCAGTGAGCCACAATGATTTGAGATCCCAGCTGAAGAGCTGGACAAGGGACTCAGTTATGAAAAGCATTGCGTATGCATCACCTTAACACACCATGACCAAGTCCTCATATATTTTATGAATGGGCCATTTAGATGAGAAAGCGCTGGAGTCGATAGCAGCAGTGAGGTAGCCCATGGCTTCATCATGACGTGTGTCATTCAAAGCTTTGAGTCCCAGTTGAACACGTAGATATGCCTAATGTGCGAGTTGCAAAAATGAATATTCATGACCCAGCGCGGATGATATGATACTTACTTGCACAACATGACACATGAGAATATCGGTATTTGGACAACCAGTAGCGAGCTCTTTAAGGAGCAGGTTTGCCTTGTCATGTTGATCTGCATTGAAGAGCACGATGGCCTGGAATACATGAGAAAGTGGAGAGTATGCAATGTAAATGTAACATACCTTGATCATGAGCAGGAAATGAATGGTTTCTGAATCTTGGTCTGTGTACATTGATGCAACATCAAATGCTACCCTTGCATCCAGGACATGCCCTGTTCCACAAAGGGCAATACCCTTGGAGATATAGCCTATCAATGAGGGCTGAATGCTGATGGACTATGTTATCACTGAGTTAGCCTTTCATAATGGCAATGATGGGTCAGTGAATCTTACCTTGATTGCATCCTGAAGGGAATGGTCCCAATCATGTTTTCAGGCCATCACGAATGAGTGATGGACATAGGAAGTATGGTTGTTCACATTGGTGCTGATATCTTGTGTGAGTAGTCCTTCAGTGGTAGATAAGTCTCCAGTTATGCATGCCATGCAGGCTGTCATGGTGGCTAGAATCTGCATGAAACATGCTCAAATTGTGGTATATGAGTCAAGGATAGGAACATGCCTTTGAATTGATGTTGTTAGGTACTGCCCACTCTGAGATCATCTTATTGGCACCTCCACTGAGGATGTGCTTGTTCACAGAGAAAGTGATGCATAACGTCCCAGATAAGTGCTTGAAGATGGCAACACTTCATTGATCTGAGAGCTGCCAGAGGTGGACATCATTGTCCCAAGATGTAGAGGTGATGAGTATGCCAGCAGGATTAAAGGCAATAACATTGACTTGATGAGTGTGACTGGTCCAGGGATCACCAACCTGCTGCCAGGTTGTTGTATCCCATTGGCGAATGGTAGAATTGTCCTTATTGCTGCTTGTGAGAAGGTGTGTGCCATCAGGTGTCCACACAAGTGACTCATTGCATTTTGTGTGACCCTTGAAGGATGTGATGTATTCCCTCATGCCCAAATTATAAATTTCGATGTAGTTGTATGTTAAGATGGCAAGAAGTTCTCCAGACAGCAAATACCAAATGCAGTTGACTTCACTACTGCACTGAATTGAATTTCCTTGCAGTTGCCAGGTTTTGGTGTTCCACAACTTTGTCATTTTGTCATGTGAACCAGTGACCAGTACTTTTCCATTGGGAGAAAAGTCCAGCATGGTAGTATAATGGGAGTGGGCTTTGATGGGTTGGGTGAGCGGTTCTCCAGTTTCTCCATGCCAGACGATGACCTCTCCTATGTCATCACTGCTTGCTATCAATTGACCATCTCATGATACAACCAATCCCACCACTGCACTGTGATGTCCCTCCATCTTCTTCAACACAACACCTGTCTTCAAGTCCCACAGCCAAAGTGTGTTGTCATTTGAGGATGTAACCATCTGTTATTTATCAGGGAAAACTGCAATGGCCCTTACCCAGTGTTCATGACCCTTGAACTCTCATAGGGGCACAGTGATTGGAATGGGCTTCAACATTTTGCTAGAGGTTGACAGCATTGAGCACGGTTGAAGTGGACTTTTGAGGGGTGTCTTTCTCTACAATGTGTTACATGTGAGATTGCAGTATACGTTTTTCAAAAACTTGGCCTCACTACCTTGACCAGCACATTTACACCCTAATTAGGTCAAGGGATGTGATGTGTCACTCTAGCCCACCTGGGTAACACCATATATGGTACATATTAGTAACAATTATGACATACCATACCTGTTACTAAGTAGGGGTGAAATCATATGCTGCAGCACTTCAGCAATAGCCACAGCACTCAGCAGTGACTTCATAGAACTACAGAGGGACTGGTACCATAAATAATAGGGTAGATATGATTAGATCTCATCTAATCTGGTCACATGCCTTTTAGACTCCATGCAATCAATGCTGCTGTGGTCATGCAATTACGCCCACCATGTCCATACTGTTTCCCACACTTGTGTTCCCTTCACACTCATCATTGTGGATGATGAGCACCATATTTCACTCATTTTTCTTTTTTCTTTTTGTGCCTTTGTGATGTCTATATCACCATTATGCCTGTCAACATTTGCGACATTCCCACACCTCTCAAAGCTTGAAGACTGGTCTATCTTTTGTTGTCCTCGTGCACATCCTCTGCCATGCCACCTCATGTGAAGTATCCTTGTGTATGTCCTCTGCCATGCTACCTTGTGTGAACTGACATGTGGCATAATATATAGGCATGTAGCTTGATCTCTTCCTCACTTGCTTCCTTTTCACTACCATCATGGGCTGCCGCAAGCAGAACATGTCAACCTCCTCATGCGTTACAATGTCTCTAGTTGATTCATCATTCAAGATTTGTACCACTACTACATCTCTCACAAAAATTTGCCAGGAGCAGCTATTAAGAAAGGTGAGGCACTGTCAAGAAACACAAGGTATATTGGTAGCTGTAGTTGCCTTCAAAATTTACTATCTTACAACACAGAAAATGTCCAACACATGTGAGAGCTTATGGCCAAGGCCCAGTTGGAGGCAGGTCCTGACTTTGCTGAGCCTATGGACTTTGGTGATTGGGTGTTCAATGATGATGATGAAGACTACAACAATGAGGTGGAGCCAGGTGGTCCTTTGGTATCAGAATTTCTCAGGACATGTGCATGACAGCAGTAAGCATTGGTGTTTGTCTATTGTTAAGTTATCATTCACATTCTCTACAGAGACCCTGATATTCATAGACACCATGACATACAATCTCAAACACAGCATCATCAATGGGCTCACACTGCCTGGCAAGAGCAGCTTCCTGCACTTGTTGACAACTACCTTGCTTGGAAGCACTCTCATTTACAAGAGGATCACAACAACCCTGCACCTCATTCTATATTTCATGTTACTGCAGTCAGGATTTCAGGTAAGTGTACAATGGATGTATGTTATGGTCTTCCTACTAATTAGCTTTCTAGAATATACCCCTTCTATTGCTATCCAGCAATGTGTCGACAAGCCTGCCAACTCATTCCTTCTGCATATAGGATTTCTTGGATGCTCTCTGCTTCAGCCTACCATCGCTATTTGGTTAGAATGCTTGGAACTTTACCATCAGATCTGATGATTCCAATCCTCATTTAGCATTCAAGTGTTTATGAAAGTCTTATGCACCTTACACAATGTATGTTTATCCATTATTATATTAATTATTCATTCACACAACACAGGTGACTTATTTGCCACAACTGCATGAACAATTTTCAATAGTGTTTGATGTCTATGTTAAGGTTGTGTGCTCAAGGGGGTCATATCACAAGGGCTTGGCCTCAGCTCATATGCTGTGCCCCTTTCCCAAGTATGTGCCCTTAATTTCTTGGGGCTAGAACAGTCATCCGGAGTTTCTGGGATTTGACTAGGGTGGACAATGGACATCCAGATCTGAAATGTGAGATACATCTGATGGACATCCAGATGTTATTTGGATAAGCAGATAAGGCTAATCCAGACAAAGTCCGGACTAGAAACTAACAGGGGATAGACTACCCTAAGGTAGAGCCAGAGATGTAGTCTAGGATACAATCCTAAGACTCAGAATATGACAAGAGACTTGGCTCAAGTCCGGAAGATACAGGAATGAGCAGGAACTAAGATGATATTTGAACTCAAGTATTTCTGAGAGTTACAGGAGGTTTATATACTGTAGGTATCATATAGGAATCAGTCAGCAAACACAATGGCTATGTACAAAGCATATGCGAAGTCTATTAGTAAGTAAGACAGATCACCAATAATGCATATTGGAAATGAAATGTATGTAACAGATCAATAATCAGAAGGGAAACATAGTTAACTGGAGTCCAGAGACAGGGGAAGTCTAAATGGGGTTGGGCACTGATATAGGGTTTGGATTCCAGAAGGAAGATAAAGATAGATCAGATCATTGGAGATCTGGATATCTGGAGAAGTAGATTTAGAGTTGAGGGTCCAGAATGGCATATGACAGTCTACTTGAATATTCTATGATGTGTGCACCTGTGCATTGATCAGTTACTTGACAGGGACCACAATAATTGGCTGATGTCTGACATGTGTCCATGCTGTACATTTGAGGTGAGTCTTAGAAAGTGTGTACGTCCATGATATTGTTACTGATGTGCATAACATGAAGCAACTGAATGAGCCAATTTTAATACCATGGTGCCTTTACTGCATGGATGGGAATTTCTCTGCCAAATGACTTGATGGCTCAGGAATGTCTGACCAACGTATATTCCACAGTTGCTACTTCATCTCTCAGGCCAATGTTGAGCACTTCAAGGATGATGCACATAATCATTCTGCACTGCAAACAACAGTATCTTGCACCAAGAACTGGACAGATGCCAAAGCTGTCAAAGAAAATAAGGTTATGGTATTTGATCAGATGGGAATCTTTCTTGTCGCCTGCTGTCATGGGTTCATTGAATGTGTCATGGAGATGGCGCATAGTGGTGAGCTGTATGTTGATATTTCATGGCTATATTCTTTTTCCTTCAATTTATTATTAACAGTGCAAAATATGGACTTACTGCTGTCAATAAAGTGCTTGATGTATGCAGAAATGACCAAGCAATTGATCATGACATTGTGTGTCCATCAAGGAAAACTGTCACTACTAGCTCAATTGGACGCCAAGCCAAGGAATTACATCTACAACTTGTTGTCAATGTATTCCATGGGTTTTCCCACAATTGCCACTGTCAACTTGAAAACCATCCTTTGTATTTGACTGGCCTTGGCATTGAAGATTTAGAAACCTGTGAATGCATCTTTGCAAGCTCGAACAGTACTACACCATTGATATGGCACGCTTCACACTTTCACTGGGTTTAATTCCTTGATCTTCACTTCAACAAGTGGGACATGGATAAGTACCTTGAGCTAAGTATGAATCAGTATGCTACATTACATCTTGCTTAATGTTTCTAGGTCACTTTCTTTATAACAACTATATTCAAGCCCTGCAGATCATCGAGCAATGCAAGGAACTTGTTGATGTGGACTTTCTCAAATGGTGAGACGAGGAATCTGAGTACCTAGGCCAAGTGGCTACTGAGCCCATGGTGGATGCTATTGGTGTCACTTATGTTGAGCAGCTCAAGAAGTTGAAACTTGCAGAGTTTGTTTTTGGTGCCATAAGTTGTGGGATTTTCCTGATGTGGCATCCCTGGAGCGATGTACAGCAGTGTCACTTCAGTTCCATTCCTCACTTACATGCCTACCAACTTTACACATACCTCTGGTCTCAATGCAGCCACACATCATCATTTGAAGGCATTTGAAGCTGATTATGCTGCTGCACTTTGAAGATATGAGTTACAATTAAACATTGTTGCTGATTTTCAGCGCCAGCATGATATTCAGCAGTGCTGGACACCAGAATGTCCTGAGTATGCTATGGCTTTGAAGTACTTCCATGAACACCACTTTGTTCGTGTGGTGGAGGAATTGGAAGGATTAGTTGTGCAACATCTATTTGAACTGTCAAAGGCCAATCTCGCTGGTACAGGTAGGTGCACAATTCTTGGTGGCAGGGTTCACTAATATTTAATTCCCATAGGATATAAGATGTGCAAGTACATTTCCAAAGCCATCACACACTGTTTGGCAGCCATCTGCTCAGCATTGGAGAAGTACAATACACTTGCCCCAATCCAACATCCTTCTTGGCCAGTACTCAACTACTCCGAAGTTGTTAGATATGCAGCCCTTGGAGAATTTTCCCTTCTGAAGTACTCATGCTATGATGTACTTGTCAAACCTTGAACTGTTCCTGAGAATCGTGACATGGCTACAAAATATTTTAAGGTCACACAGGCACATGAGGAAATCTTGTGCCTTAATGTAGAGATTTGACAACTTGCTCATTGGATTGACCATGATGACAACAAGATTCTCAGTGCTATCAGTTTACTCATGACTAATGGCTCAGATCCCCTCCTAGTGGCCAAATTGAAGAATGTGTATGCCAAGTGCCACTGCATCAACAATATCCATCGCCAGCACCTTCACAAACTCTATCAACTTCCTCATTTTACTAGAGAATCACCACCACAGGCCTCCAATCAAATTGAACTTGAGGATGGATGTTGTCTAGATAGCACCCCAGGAGATGATGATGATGATGGTGATGACAAAGATATGATGAGGGAGGAGACATCACAATTAGGCAAACTGGTATCACATCTCATTACTTAGGTTCTTACTTAGTACATTTCTTGCATATGATATAACAATATATGTGGGTGGAGCTGAAATCTGTCGACATCAACATCTTCTGGTTTGAGGCCACTCCCAAGATCAGTAGGTGCAGATGGTGCAAGAATAGATGTGGATGGAGCTGAAGTCTGTCAACATCAATATCTTCTGGTTTGAGGATGCTCCCAAGATCAGTAGATGATGCAAGAATAGATGTGGATGGAGCTGGACATTGATATCTTCTGGTTTGAGGAGATGGTGCAAGAACAGATGTGGATGGAGCTGAAATCCATTACATAACATCAACATCTTCTTGAACACTCCTAGAATCAGAGTAGGTGCAGATGGCACAAGAATGTAGCACTAGGTAACTTACATCATTAGTAGCAACTTGCTCGGTTATGACATAATAATGTTGCTGTTGTTCATTGTCCATCTATTTCATCCTGATCTGGCACCAGTCTCTGCAATCAACATGTCTTCCCTCAGAGAAACTGCGCTTTCTTGTCCATCATGTCATCTGGATTACCTTGATCTATGAGGAGAAGTGGTATGCATTCAGTCAAATCATTATTCAATCCACCTTATCTACTTTAGAAAAATGTCTTTGAGCTCAAGATTGCTGCTTTGTTCATGTTTGATAAATTGTGTGGTGTCAGTTGCTTTCTGCCTACAATCACAACTGTGTTGTTGGCATCATCCCCAGTTGAGGAGCCTGAGCTTGCTGGCCTGCTCAAGATTCACAACATTTTCATTGAGGAGGTTGCACCTCTTGTTTGCCAGTGATGGTTCAGTTGGGATAAAGTTGAACTTCCCAGAGAAATGATGAAATGTAAGTGCCGATGAGGATAGCAACTACTATTTTGATATGTATACTACTGATGTCCATGTAGGAATTGCAAAGTTCAATACAAAATGTGCCACTCACACAGTGCAATCAACTCCAGTCCTATCTAACTCACTGTCATTTCCCAATCCTCTAAGCACAGGGTACTGTTGTAAGGAATGAGATTCCTCCAGGTGTAGATCACCCATATTTCGACTCATGACAATTGGTACAGTGCACAACTCACTAGCTATGACTTTCTCGCAAAACATGCCAGAGGCACGATGCTTTCCCACACTATGTGATGTATTCCTGTGCACGCACTTAGTGCACTCTTCCCATGCTTGATCACCCTTTGTCATGCAGCATCCCAGCACATCCATCCATTGTCCAACCAGTCCCCTGGTGCATCCCTTTTCATTTATTCTTGATATCAGACCATTTTTAGCATCATACCATACATTATTTCATCATGGACCCTTACTTTACATCATGTTACATACATAGAGCGCTCCCTATTCACTTCCGAGCCTTGGGAGTGCGCCTAGGCACAGCTTACCTGTTGCCTAGGAAAAGTTTTCATACACCTACCAGCACCACCATCATGTCTAGTAGTGTCTAGCAGTCAGAATCCATCATCTTCAGTCAGCATCCATGAGTTGTTGCCCTAGTCACCAGTAACAGTCCATTATCACCATCAGTCACTATTCAGCAGTCTCAGCACACGTCCTCACGCCCACTACCAGTCTTTTATATGTCCACACACAGCACACACCTTATTCCCATGCTTCATGCTCCTACACACTCCATATTCCCCCACATGCACTTTCAGTGCTTCACCAGAGTTGACCTGGTGTCACCCAGTGGATTTGCTTTCCTTGCTTCCCCTAAGGGTCAAACATATCGCCTGGCACTGTCATATCCCACAATCTGGACCCATGTTCCATCATATTCCCACGCCTTCCAAGCCTACATCCGGACCCCACTTCATATCCAGCTCATTCCCAGATTCCCTTCTGCTGTGCTCCACACCTCAGCAGGATCGACTATGCTCCAGATTTACCCCTGAGCTCCAGACCATTGGATCTCCACTGCTAGTCTGATCCATACCCCCCTGTCCCATCCACCCTATGCACACTCCATCCAGCAAGACATCTGGACTTCACCTCATCTCAGATTCTGGACTATATCCACCTTCTCATATTCTGGTCCTGTATCCACCTTGTCTTCCAGATCCCCAGATCTCCAGACCTCCGGATATTAATGCTGGATGTCATATCCGCATATCCAGATCTCAGATCCGACCCTTATCTCATCTCAGATCCACATCTTATCCCCCTCCAACATCTCATCATTCAATCTGTCCACTCGTCTGGTCTGGTCCACAACTCATCCGAATCCACAACTAGCACTCATCTCTTTTTGGTAACCCCCTAACTCCGGTATTTCAGTTATCTGTATATCCGTCCTGCTCCCTTATCCGCTACCTATGTTTCATTTCCATTTCATGATTTGTGATCCATTTCTACTTACCAATAGACTATCCACATGCTTTGTACATAGCCTTGGACTCTGCTGATTGATCATTCCATTAGATACCTATAGTATATAACCTCCTGTAACTTTCTGTAGTACCTCAGTTTGAATATCATCTTAGTTCTACTCATTCCTGTCCTCCAGACTTGAGTACCTCTACTCTCATCACCCTCCAAGACTTAGGATTGATTCCTATAGTCTATCCGTATCTGCCTCTGTCTCCGACAGTCCATTACCATTAGTTTCTAGTCTGGAATTGTCCAGATTAGCCCTACGATACTTATCCTGCATCTGGAAGTCATCCAGATCCATTACGCTACTCATCTGACCTTCCGGACGTGTTAGTCTTGCCTTCCTGAAATAAGGGGCAATACTCGGGTAAGGGGCACAGCGCACAAGCTGAGGCCGAAGCCCTTCGGATCCAGTTATCCCTTGAGTACGACCTTAACACTGGACCTATTCCTGCCCTCTGTCTGATATCCTGCGCCTATCCCCATTTAGGCATCTCTGCCTTTCCAGCTTTCAGTTACCTCTTCTTCCATCTTGCTTATTGATCCTTGTACAAGTCTTCATCTCCGAGTTCATTTAGTTATGTTCCATCTTACTTACTAATGTGTTTCCACATGCTTGTACATAGCCTTGCTCCTTTGCTTACTGATCCCCTCAGATGTTGTCCAGTATATAACCCCTGTAGATACTCCTGTAGTTCCTCAGTTTGAATATCAACTTAGACTTGCCCAATCCTCTCTTGGACTTTGGTCCACCTAAGTCTGTCCTACCCATCAGGCCTAAGGATTGATTCCCTAGGCTGGAGCTCCACCTTTCCAGCACTTACCCTCTTTCTGGACTTAGGTCCAATCCCTGTCTCTCCAACTCTACCTTAGGGTAGTCTACCTCTGTTTGTTTCTACATCAGACAAAGTCCGATGTAGCCCCTATTCCTTCCAGACCTCCTGTCCCTTGGACATCCTATCCTCCTGTCCTTCAGACATCCTGCCCTCTGTACCTTCAGACATCCTGTCCTTTGTACCTCTGGACATCCTATCCTCCTGTCCTTTGGACATCCTGCCCTCTGTACCTTTGGACATCCTGCCCTCTGTACCTTTGGACATCCTGCCCTCTGTACCTTTGGACATCCTGCCCTCTGTACCTTTGGACATCCTGCCCTCTGTACCTTCGGACATCCTGTCCTTCATACCTCCGGACATCCTGTCCTCCTGTCCTCCTGTCCTTCTGTCCTCTGTCATCCTGTCCTCCTGCCCTCCTGTCCTCCTGTCCTCCTGTCCTCCTGTCCTCCTGTCCTCCTGTCCTCCTGTCCTCCTGTCCTCCTGTCCTCCTGTCCTCCTGTCCTCCTGTCCTCCTGTCCTCCAGACCTTCGGACCTCCTATCCTTCCATCCTGTTTCCTATAGAAGTATTACCTTGCAGTGGGAACTCTCCTGAGCACTTCCTGTGTTCCTCCGGAACTCTCCCGCGCTCCTCCAGAAGTCCTCCAGACTTTGTTGGACCATCATCAGACCTCATATGAAATGAAGGGCACATACTCGGGTAAGGGGCACAGTGTACAAGCTGAGGCCAAGCCCCTCTGAGTCAGTCTCTCTCCCCCTTGAGCAACATTGTTCTTAACAGGTGCACTTCGACCAACACCTAGAGAGTTAGTGGCCTTCCTCTCACCACCAGAGTGAGAGCCCCTCTTTCTTTCTTTTGCTCTGCAGTCTAGCAGAGTTGTTGAACCTTCACCATCTCCCTGATTCTCAACCTGTCATATCCCATATGCCAGACATAGATCCCATCATATTCCCACGCTTTCTGGACCTATTTCTGGACCCCATATCTGACTCATTCCTGGATCCCCTATCCTGTCCACCCTATGCACATTCCATCCAGTAAGACATCCAGACTTTACCTCCTCTTGGATTCCAGACTACATCCACCACCTCACATATCTCAGTCCTGTTTCTGCCCTGCCTTCTGGATCCCCAGATATTAACTGTACTATCTCTGGACTATTCCCACCCTCCATCTGAGATCCTTCACCTATCCCCATTTAGGCATCTCTGCCTTTCCAGTTCTCAGTTATCTCTGTTTCTGTCTTGCTGATTGATCCTTGTATGAGTCTTTATCTCTGAGTTCATTTAGTTATGTTCCATCTTACTTACTAATGTGTTTCCACATGCTTGTACATAGCCTTACTTTGTTGCTTACTGATCCTCTTGGATATTCTCTAGTATATAACCCCTGTACAACTCCTGTAGTTCCTTAGTCTGAATATCATCTTAGATCCTGTTCTACTTGCCCAATCTTCTCCTGGACTTCAGTCCATCTGAGTTTGTCCTTTTCCATAAGGCCTAGGGATGGATTCCCTAGGCTGGAATTCCGGACCTTCGGATTTGTCCCCTATGTCTCTGTCCCAAGTCTAGGGATTACTTCCCTAGACTGGAGTCTTGCCTTTTTGGCACTTACCCTCTCTCTGGACTTTGGTCCACTTCCTGTCTCTCCAACTCTACCTAAGGGTAGTCTACCTCTGTTTGCTTCTACATCAGACTTCATCCAATGTAGCCCCTATTCCTTCCAGACCTCCGGACGTCCTGTCCCTCATACCTCCAGGTGTCCTGTCCTTCAGATGTTCCATCCTCCTAACCCTTGGACATCCTGTCCTCCTGTCCTCCTGTCCTCTGGACCTCTGGACCTTCAGTCCTCCTGTCCTCCATACTCCAGACCTCCTATCCTTCCATCCTGTTTCCTGTAGAAGTATTACCTTGCAGTGGGAACTCTCCTGAGCACTTCCTGCATTCCTCCAGAACTCTCCCGCACTCCTCCGGAAGTCCTCCTGCACTCTCCACCAGAGTAGCCAGCCTCCAGAAGTCCTCCAGACTTCATCAGACCATCATTGGACCTCATATGAAATGAAGGGCACATACTTGGGTAAGGGGCACAGCGTACAAGCTGAGGCCAAGCCCCTCTGAGTCAGTCTCTCTCTCCCTTGAGCATAGTTCTTAACACAACCTCACAACAGTAGTGAAGTCTCATCATTTTCACTACTCAGTGCCACTAGTGCATCAACTTCCTGGAGCCCATTGTCAGGCACTCTAGATATAGATAACCTCACCTTTGACGACTTAAACTTCATGTCCACTCCCATATCACAACAGCGCAATCTCAGGACATCTTCAAAAAGTGATATTTCCAGAGGAGCTATTCTGGACAGTGTTGTGACAGTGAGGCATTTGATGCCACACATTACTGAGAAGGAGAGTCTGGATATTTCTCCTCCTCTTCCATTGATGTTGCGCATTGCTAAGATCAAGAGTCTGGATATTTCTCCTCCTCTTCCAATGGCACCTCCATTCATCATAGCAGCTCAGCCTGACCATCGCCAACAAGTCTCCACTGCGCCTGACCCCACTGTTCCTAACTCCAAGGCATGTTCCTGCTAATGACAAGCTTTCGTGCAAGTTTCTAACAGCACATTTCACCATGCTAGGTCACTGGCTGCTCAAAGTCTCATATCAACCATTGTCACACAGCCAATTCAGTACAGACGCAAACCACATTGCACTCTGTTCAAAATGGTCTTTCCATGACAAACCATATCTATCTTATGGCATCGGATCCACCTCTTGGTCAACATGTGGATTATGACCACATTAGTAACAAGATTAGTACTATTCTTTCAGGGATTCATTTTGACCATACCACATTGAGTGAAATCTGGTGCTGCATCTATCAGTTAGAGGGTTATGGTCCCCAAGGCTGGAGGGCTATTCTTGTGAAGGAGGACATTCCTGAAGACCAGCATGATTCTCTCATTAGTCTCATGACTTGTGCAACCCATCAATATTTTTCTTCTGGTGAGTTGTAAAATTTATCAGAGTTTTTTTAGTCAATACTGATTTATGTTAAAGCCCATGTTTTTTAGATGTGATTTGTGGCCCCACTGCTAACTCTGTTTGGTCATGGTACCTACTAGCTCAACCTCATGTAGTGATCAATTTTTTTAATATACTCGCTGCTGACTTTGCTTTACCCGAGTATAAAATGTTGTGCATCTCGCTCCATCTCCTGGGATATTCAGTGTCTCAAATTTCTGTGTGATGGTACCACATTCCACCAGAACAGTTTGGCATGTTCATCCTCACCTTACACAATCTCAGAAAGCTGAATGCCACTGCCGTCAACAAAAGCTGACAGATGACCTGAATGTCATGAAGGACTCATATGAGAGGCAGGCTTGTGATTTAGCTCAAAAACATGGCCAGTGAGCTATACTTATAAGTATTATTTGGGTTGCTGTTAATTTATTGCTATAGTTCACTGAAGTGGACAAGAAGTCAACTATTTTTGTGGAGTTGCATGCTGATGCAGAATAGACATGTCAATGCATGGAATGCATTCATGAAAGCAAAGCTTCAGGATGCTAATGATGGTAATTATTTTTTTGAGTAACCTAAGGATATTATCAACTGACTTGTACCTTAGGACTCAAGAAGGGGGAGCGCATTAAGCTGACAAAGTTCATCACAGAGAATAAAGCTAGTCTCCTGTGCGCTTATGGATGGCTCACAGTGGCAAAGAAGCAAGCTCACAATGCCCAGGTGCTCCAGGCTCATCAAGAAAAGAGAAGTGCTGCACGTGCTAATCCAAAGGCCATTTGGCATGACATGAATGCTGCATTCACATCCATGGATCACGAGGTAGGTGTTATATGTAGTCTTATAAAATGCCTTCACTCACTGCATGTGCCCCTCGTCATCTAGTGGACAGCACTCTGTGCTCATATGGGCATGCAAGGTTTCTATATTGCTGTGCATGGTGTAGGGAATGAGATTCCTCCAGGCATATATTGCCCACATTTCGACTTACAACGATTGGTACAGTGCATGACTCACTAGCTATGACTTTCCTGCAAAACATGCCAGAGGTGCAACACTTTCCTGCACTATGTGATGCATTCCCATGCACACGCTTAGCGCGCTCTTCCCACACTCAGTCACCTTATGTCATGCAGCATCCAGGAGCATCCATCCATCATCCAACCAGTCCCCTAGTGAGTCCTTTCTCATTTATTCTCATTATCAGACCATATTTAGCATCTGTTAAGAACCATGTTGCTCAAAGGAGAGAGAGACTGACTCAGAGGGGCTTGGCCTCAGCTCATATGCTGTGCCCCTTACCCAAGTATGTGCCCTTCATTTCATATGAGGTCCAATAATGGTCCAACAAAGTCCAGAGGACTTCTGGAGGCTGGCTACTCTGGTGGAGTGCTAGAGGACTTCTGGAGGAGCACAGGAAACATCTGGAGGAGCACAGGAGAGTAACAGAGGAATGCAGGAAGTGCTCAAGAGAGTTCCCACTGCAAGGTAATACTTCTACAGGAAACAGGATGGATGGACAGGAGGATGGAGGATAGAAGGACAGGATGTCCAGAGGTATGGAGGGCAGGATGTCCAAAAGTATGGAAGGAATAGGTGTTACAACCATGTATGCCCCTATTCATTTTCTCTTCCTTACTGTGTATTACATCACAAGCTGCATGATGCCACTGCTAGACTTATCCCTGACTCGTACCTTGTATTACATCACAATTGCCATTGCCATTGCTAGATGACCTATTCTTGCTATTGCTTATGCATCCCTTATCTCTGACTCATTCCATTCTCACGCCTGCCCTAAAGCACAGTAGTTCACTATAAATAGTCCTCCTGTATGCTTTAGTTCTTTACTTTAATCTTACTAGGTTTTACCTGGGATATCCTTCACTGGAGATCTCCAATCTCTTGTCATCTGAATCATACTTTAAGTTAGAAGCACTCCTTCTGACTTAGCTTACATCAAATGCTTGACTTATCGTCTTGCACAGAATCTCAACAGAGGTCCTAACTCTTATCAAGTTATCTGTCGTTAGAACTATCCTAGTTCATAACAATAGGGGCTACATCGGACGAAGTCCAATGTAGAAACAAACAGAGGTAGACTACCCTAAGGTAGAGTCAGAGGGACAGGGATTGGACCTAAGTCCGGAAAGAGGGGAAGTGCCAGAAAGGCAGAGCTCCAGCCTAGGGAATCAATCCCTAGGCCTGATGGATAGGACAGACTTAGGTGGACCAAAGTCTGAGAGAGGATTGGGCAAGTAGAGCAAAGTCTAAGATGATATTCAAACTCAGGAAACTACAGGAGTATCTACAGGGGTTATATACTGGAGAATATCTGAGGGGATCAGTAAGCAAAGGAGCAGGGCTATGTACAAGCATGTGGAAACACATTAGTAAGTAAGATGGAACATAACTCAATGAACTCAGAGATGAAGACTCATACAAGGATCAATATGCAAGATGGAACAGGAGGTAACCGAAAGCCAGAAAGGCAGTGATGCCTAAGTGGGGATAGGCACAGGATATCGGACAGAGGGTGGGAATAGGTCCGGAGTTAATATCCAGAGGTCCGGAGATCTGGGGATCCAGAAGATGAGGTGGATACAGGACTGGAATATGAGGAGGTGGATATAGTCCAGAATCCAAGATGAGGTGAAGTCCAGATGTCTTGCTGGATGGAGTGTGCATAGGGTGGATGGGACAGGAGGGTATGGATCAGGCTAGCAGTGGAGATCCAATGGTCTGGAGCTCAGGGGTAAATCCAGAGTGTAGTCAATCCTGCTGAGGTGTGGAGCACACAATGGAAGGGGATCTGGGAATGAGTTGGATATGAAGTGGGGTCCAGACATAGGCTCGGAAGGCATGGGAATATGATGGAATGTGAGTTCAGATTATGGGATATGACAGCATCATATGACACACTATTTTGTCATGGACCCTTTATTTATCTCACTTACATACTTAGAGCACTCCCTATTCACTTCCAAGCCCTGGGAGTGTGCCTAGGCACAGCTTACCTGTTGCCTAGGAAGTTTTCATACAACAACCACCATCATGTCACTTAGCATCCAGTAGTCATCATCTAGAGTTAGGATCTATCATCTTCAGTTAGCATGCATCAGTCGTCACCCTAGCCCTCAGCAACAGTCTATCATCATCAGTCTCCACTCAGCAGCCTCAGCACACGCCTTATTCCCATGCTTCGCGTTCCTACATGCTCCATATTCCCATGCATGCACCTTCAGCACACTTCACCAGAGTTGACCTGGTGTCACCCAGTGGATCTTGCTTTCCTTGCTTCCCTTAAGGGTCAAACATATTGCCTGGTGTATTTCAACCAACATTTAGATAGTCAGTAGGCTCCCCTCTCACCTCAGAGTGAGAGGCCTCTTTCTTTCTTTTGCTCTGCAAGCCAGCAGAGTTGTTGAACCTTCAGTGGGATTGAAGATCTCTCAGAGCCCAAAATATTTTTCACCAAGAAGGCACAGAAGTTTGTTTCAAGTGTCCTCAGAGTTGAACCTCAACATCTTGGCCTTAAGTTAGAAGCATTTGTGGTTGGCAAGCTCAGTATGTATTTTTTCAGCATCTCTTGATGAGTCTTTTGACCTGAGGCACACAGATGAACACGTAATAAGCAACAATTCATGCCCACTCAATAAGCTCATTGCTGAGTGCTGTGAATTGATTCAAGACAGACTTGGTAGGTTTTTGCTACTTTTTGACATTTAGTAGCTGAACAATGGCTTGTAGGATTTATTCTGCTTGAAAAGGATGACTTGCGCAAGGTAAAAATGAACTACAGGAATTACAAGTGTGCTATAGTCAAACACTGCAGTGTTGCGCTCATTAACTGGCTATTTTTGGGAGCAGTGCAGAACCCCAGCAACATTGGTGGCAGGAATCAGGTTCAAACTTTGTTGGATGCTCTTAAGTCTAATCAATGCAAATGGGTGTCTCTGTCAGAAGAGGAGCTTTTACAGTGCATGACAGACAATTGAGCCCACCAGGCACATGGTGAAGTTGTGTACATTCCAAGGAAGAGAAGAACTGCACCTGCTGCCAAATAAAGTGCTGAGGTGATAGTTGATATAAGCCAGTCAAGTTCAGATGAGAGTAGTGAATAGATGAATGATATATGAAAATTTTTAGTTAAATACATTATGAAATGTGAGTCAGAAAGTCTAATACAAGGAACTGCCAGGTGAATAGCAAGTACTACAGAGACAGTGCAAGAATAGATGTGGATGGAGCTAGAGTCCATTGACATCAATATCTTCTGGTTCAAGGACACTCCCAAGATCAGTAGATGATGTAAGAATAGATGTGGATGGAGCTGGAGTCCATTGACATTGAAGGTCTGAGGTCCAAAGTCTACAGGTTTAGTAGTCTTGCCTCTCTTATTATCCCCTGCTTGCAGGGGTCCATGCTGGTGAGATGTGATACCAGTGCAAATCTTGAATGACGAGTCAACAGGTGACATTGTATCCCCTGCTTGCAGCAGTCCATGCAGGTAAAAATGAAGAAAGTGAGAAAAAGATAAACTTACACACCTATTATGCACATCCCAGTTTGAAATTTCACTGAGATGTGGTACTGGTGCAAATCTTGAATGATGAGTTAACTAGAGACATTGTAATCTGTGAAGAGGTCATCATGTCCTGCTTGTGGCGGCCCATGATGGTGGTGAGAAGGACAAAAGTGAGGAAAAGATTGAGCTACACACCAATATATTGTGCTACATGTCAATCCACATGAGGTGGCATGGCAGAGGATGGGCATGAGGATGATGAAAGATAGACCGGTCTTGAAGCTTTGAGAGGTGTGGGAGTGTTGCAAATGTTGACAGGCATAATGGTGATATAGACATCACAAAAGCACAAAAAGAACAAAGTAAAACGAGTGAAATATGGTGCTCATCATTCACGATGATGAGCATGAAGGAAACACAAGTGTGGGAAACAGTGTGGACATGGCGGGTGTAATTGTGTGACCATGGCAGCATTGATTGCATGGAGTCTAAAAGGCATGTGACCAGATTAGATGAGATCTAATCATATCTGCCCTATTATCTATCTACCCTATTATCTATGGTACCGGTCCCTCTGTAGTTCTACGAAGTCACTGCTGAGTGCTGTGGCTATTGCTGAAGTGCTGCAGCATGTGATTTCGCCCCTACTTAGTAACAGGTATGGTATGTCATAATCGTTACTGATATGTACCATATATGGTGTTACCTAGGTGAAGAATCCATAGTAGTAACACAAAGATTTTAAACATGGCGATTGGCCTCGACCGACGCAAACAAACAGCAGCAATCCGACGACGCTTCTGACGCTCTCAAGTTACACAACAAACTTTCATGCCCATTCTCGAAGGTGGGCTTCATAGACAAAATGTCTTACTACTTCGAACACTGAGGGATGTACCTCGTACTGGTAAGTCCTTATATTATTTGTCACTCGATACCAAAAAAGTTTCATTAGCGCATAGGACGTTCCGAGTGCATACAGGAAGGCGCACGTTTACTGTTCTCGGCTTCGAGAGCTCAGCGGATGACACCTGTGCAGCCGTCATGACATTCTCACGTCAAATGCTTTCAAACGTTGTGAAGCAGCACGATCTGTGAGCCCCCTTCTGAGTACTGTACAAACCTCTATCCAGTTCACATAAAATTGCCTTGGCCCATGCATTCCAGACAGCTGCGGCCCGTTAACTCTGCGCCAAGCTTACGTTGAGCCTGCAAAATCTCGAGCTGAAAGGCGTGAATGTCAGGGATGTCGTCGTTAGTGGCAAATTTGCCAGCAACATCTTTTTTACGCGAAAGGTGAGTTTCTAGAAGTCAGCTGTCTTTTTCGTGCTCGGCTCCGAGCAGCACTGGATGAGTACAGCTCTGATGAGCGCACATTGCTCCATTTCCCCCCGCTGGAACTTTGTGCACAAGTCAGCACTTCAATATACCGATCGATTCACAGGGTTTAAATTCGATACAGACAATGCAGTGATGATTGCATGGGCTTCGATGCATCGGTTCCTCGCTGGTGATTATGATGACTATTCAGTAGACCTTTGTATCAAGTGGAGCATCGAGGATATCAGAGTATGAAGCGTCTTGCAGGTATGATTAGTCGTATGCTCTTCCTCGATATATTCAATCACAAGGACTCCCACTGTTAGTGGAGGAAGGTTGTCCATTGGGGTGGAGTCCACTGGTGGTCTGTGTACGAGAGTCAAGCGTATGAAACTGAACGACTAAGTAGTAGTTCCTTGTGGTTCTAGGTAGTAATGGTATATGAAACACAAATAGAGGCATAATGGACTATCTAAATTCTTGTCCCCACACTGGCTGTGCAGATAATCTAATAAAGACTCACAAGTCCTATCTCACGAAGAGGCGGACAATACATGATACATGCATACTAAGTAGTACTGATACATCACACTGATGAGAAGGAATTCGTCTCCACCGTCACCTCAATTGGTCGATATATGTGGCTAAAGCGTGACAATCAGTACTCTTTTATCGCCAGCAACGCAGCTACAGACCATGGCAGATCGAGTAAGATGCATCACATCATCGCCGGGATGTTTAAATATATTTTTCCGGGATCCCTGGAATTCCTCATCTTGGGAAGCCATAACGTTCAGCTCTGGACGATAGACACTGTAGCGCATGTGGACTTCAGAAGAATGGTCAGTTTCTAGTGGCGGGCTGCAAGTAGGATCGCGCATTCAGGAGTGCGAGGAATGAGTTGACGTATACTGAAAAGGAGCAGGTGGTCAGCACAACATTCTGAGAACGCTTTGGGTTATACATTTAGCCATTAAAAATTCAAAGCAGAGGAAAATGAAGTTGTGCGGCATCACTGCGCACTGCAAGGACCTCAGAGACGAGATGAGCAGTACAATCAGTGGAAGCTTACTGTAATCAAAACTGTCAGTGAACACATGCTGCATGAAATATGAGCCAAGATGTGGACTAGCCTGGAAGAAGGAATACCTCGTCAGACAACCCGTGTTGATAATGTAAGCCATGAGCTTTGCGATTATGAAATCGGTGCTGAGTACTCCATGTTAGTATTTCAGATCCCTCGAGGTGAACAGACCGCTCCTTACCTAGAGAATCCAGTACGAGAAGTGGCGAGGAGATAGCATAGCGATGATGCGATAACAAAATCGATAAAAGCAACTGTGCCCAGGGACATCAATGTCGCCCACTCGAGTGCAATCAGATCCGAGAACACACGACACTGATAGCTACTCGCTATAAGCAATTCGTATAGCTAGGGAACACGTTGTTTGACTCACACCGCCCAAATAAGGGCTGAAGTTGGATTACAATGATGAGCCGACCGCAAAAGTACAGAATTTTGAATTCTCACTGATGGCAACACCTGAAGAAATTTTCAAAACCGAGCAAAGAATACCAAATGACAAACTCACCTGAACCCAAAGTTACAATTACGCCCTAATATTGCATCATCAAAATCCATGCCATGATACGTGATCATCGATTTGAACCCACCACTACTATAGGGAGGACTCTAGATCGGCCCTTCCCAACTGGTACATTGCATCAGTCTCAGTAACCCGATGGCTCGATAGGGAACACCTACCTATCCATATGCGATGAAAGTACAGACTGCGAACCAATAAAAGCATCACATTAATCCTTCAATTTGTAGATGACAGTACGCTTCCAACTTACAGATGTACCCCGTAGATGATTATAACCTGTAATGGATCTGTGGGTGGATCGCAATGCATGGGAAAACCCACTTACATCGATAGCTACTTGAAGCTGCACGAGTCCATCAGTATCACAGTGGAGGTCGCACGGAGACCCCAACAAAACTCACTTTGAAGCTCCACACAATTTCTGTGAGTACACTCATGTCCGCGTAGTGGGCCACTAAATAATAATAGACACAGTGGGCTATTAAGAATAGGTGCAGAGTATCGAGTGTCCTAAAATTTCAGGTTAGGGCGTAAACTCGTAGCGCTCGACGATGGCAACTGGAGAGTATACATACCAAAGCCAGGCGACCTAATGTAACATCAACAAGTGAACTGAGAGGAGGAAGCATCGACACACGGCTAGCTTAAGGAACGATATCCCTGTGCCCCTGTGCGTCTGAAAGTAGAAGAAAGCTTGAATGTTACTCAGACCAAAGAGACTGTTCCGTGAGATATGTTAGGACGACAAGACTCGATGAAGCCCTAAGCTTCGTGAGTAGATAGGTCACTAACATTGCTGCCAAGGTGACCCCAATAAACAGTGCCCCAAATGTGTTCCCGAGTTGAAGTTGTGGGATGAGGACCTGCGCTGAGGAAGACATTAATGTTGGCTGGGGCTCAAGTCCATTCCAAGTAAAGCAACGTTTGCGCCGTACTATATATGCTGCAGCCACAGAAGGACACGAGATCGGTGAATGGCATCAATCTAGATCTGGTATATGATTCGGATTGTATAGCTATAGTGCTGATATATCAGTGGACACAGGTTCGTATCGTATTGATGCATTGGCCTTCAGAATCCCATATATATAACAAGATTAAGAAAACCAAGTCGCAATCCTGGTGATCCATTTAGTGGACACCAAATCTCGAGTCAGATTAGGAAGCAGGAACACACCTCGGCCGTTTGTATATATGACCGGTGGACGGCGGTGGTACAGACATGTCGGATGTCTGGTGGTCAATGAGCTATAATTCCCTCTGAATGACTTCCTCGGTGCAAGCGATGTACGATCTAGATGACAAGGTGTCGGTCAAGTACTTGCGGGTGTTTATGTCGAATAATTTCACGACTACCTTAGGGTTGGTTCATGGTAGCATGAAGCACAAACTTAGACCGCGAGAGTACAACCCATCAAAGCATGCCACGATCAACACGCTTCTTTGCTCGTATATGTGCTTGCCGGAGGAGATCAATCACTGCACCAATGTCCCACTGGCGTCCCGACAAAAGTATTCTCCTGAATAGCACTGCACAGTCCATCGCCATGATGCACTTGCTCATCATTTGATCGGTGACACAGCGATCTGTAATGACTCAGAGAACTTGAAAAGACCAGTGGTTCCGCAGTGGTTACGGTCTCACAGCGATTCTGTGGGAGGGACGGCCGAATGATGCACGAAGGCACGTATAATCTACTGAGTAGAAAACAGCAGATACGTATCACGTCCAACACGTGTTCAAGCTATTATATATAGACACCGTTGAACAAATCGTAGCGACTCGGATCACACGGTTTGTATACTGCCACTGTTCACTATGTACATAGTGCTGGACCAATTTCAGTTGCAATTTCTTTTATCTCAAGCCAGCTGTTAGATTCATCCTATTATGTGGACCTCTTTCAATTTCTGGCCTCCCGTGCCATCTCATCTGCTCGCCTTGCATGTCTGGTGATTGTTCGTAACCAAGCACTATCTCACACGAAGTATACGTTTAACGTTGAACCCTAGACTTTACGCTATTGTGCATTGTCACTAAGAGGGCTTAGTAGTAATCCTCAGTGCAACTGCTGTTCTCAACATCAATTTCACTCATCAAGGTTTCCATAGTCCCTGAAAACATCTAGCTCCACCAGTCTGATCTTGTGCAGCATCCAGTGCCCTCCACATCTAGCATGCTGGGATCACTGTTGTCGGCCGGATTTCACCAATCTGCAAACGTCTCCCGGGTTTTTGGAATGCTGTTGAACCAAGCTGGTAAATCCATCAGGTTCCATTGACCCATCACCCACCGAACACAAATCCTTGTTCGTCGTTTCGGTTGTCAGCCACTTGGAGCAGAGTCCCTCGCATGCTAATTGATCTATGCCGGTAATTTATCTGCATCCATCCAGCGCAGACCTGGATTCAGGTGCTATGTGACACTGTTTCGGCTGCTTTGTGCATGCCGGCCGTCCATCCGCTGACTTGTGCGATGGTAGCATCATCAACATTTAGTAAAATCCGAAAATGAAGGGGCGGTATGCAAAGCACGGAACGCCTTGACACAGTACATGTGATCCACCTCTGCAGCGAGCAACGTGCCACGTTTATTGGGGCAACCAGGCGGAAGCTGAACAAATAGACGATCCAACAGATGCTGGCCCGAAAAGCCAGAAAGCTCACAATGTGGATGGATGAAATGACACAGAATAGCTTGGGCGCAACCACTCTTGAGGCGGACTTCCGAATGCACACTTTGCAAACTTTGAGTAGTAGCTCAGTACCGGAGTAGCTAGGAAGGTCAGATCTTCCTGATACGTTACTTCCGGATAAGAAAACCAATGTAACCACAAGAGAATGATCAACTCCACAGAGAAAGGAGCGGTTGCGCGATAAGAGAGGAAGCGATGGAACATGCTACAGTGTTTGTACAGCAAACTCTCAAAATCTGCACGATCGAGAAAACGACATGGTCAGGGGGTCGATACGGCGCAACAGCCAAGCTTTGTACCTCTTGTACGCGACAAGGACTTCGCTCTTGTGCTTCAGGAAGTCCAGCTTCGTTTGGTGACTGAAGTCATCAGTGAAGCTCATATAGCATGAGCACCCACCCAGGCTAGTAGTCTGCGCCGGGCCCCAGAGATCGGTGTGCACGAGCTCGCCATAGGTACTTGCCCTGTTCTCGGTCTCTCTAGGGAATGGTTTGCATGCTGCCTTCGCCTTGGCACAGGCATCGCAGAATTCAGGGTGCGAGGTGGAGTCGAGCTCTACACCCTCAATAAGACCTTTTTTGCAGCTTCGGCGACCGTTATCTGTGAGACATGGCCCAGGACCCGATGCACCCTTGGCACCACTTCAATGACGTTCCCAGTCTTTCAGACCCGGTTTCCATGTTATGGGAAACTAGGCTGAAAGACCATCATCCCTGGGAGGGTCTCCCCCAGGTGCTACAATAGGTTCCTGCCCTTGCGAGGGTATTTAACTCAGGTTCGCGCAGAGGTTCTCGTGGTAAGTATAGTCTGTACCCTTTGCCCTTCGCTCACTGCCATGTATGGTAAGTTTACTAGATCTGCGCTCTTCTTCGTCGGTCCGCTGCCCTCTTTCAGCCTAGTTTCCCATAACATGGAAACCGGGTCTGAAAGACTGGGAACGTCATTGAAGTGGTGCCAAGGGTGAGAAATTAGTTGTAGGCAAAGATGCGAAGCAGCTGACACTTACCCTGGCCATAGGCTTCCCTGCATTGCCATTCTGGTCACTCTGACATATTGTAAGTGCGACAGCGCTACCACAGCCAGTGCAGTCAACAGCCAGACCAATGCTGGTCATGCGCCACAGTATGCCGGGAATATTGGGCAATCGAAGGGCGGGACTGAATGGTGTGGCGCCCACAGTTCAAGTATAGGTCAATGAAGGAGGCGGCGGGAAAACAAGAGGTGGTGCGTAACGAGGGAGGCGGCGGCGCGGGCAAACAAGAGAGTGTGGCAGGAGGGGCTGCAGGCGATGAGAAAGGTGGCGCGCAATAAGAAAGGTGGCGGGAAAACGAGAGAGGTGGCGCGCAATGAGAGAGGTAGGTGGCGCGCATGTGAGCAAGGCAAGAAGTGGTACTGCATGGAGTCGAAGGTGAGTTCTGTCGTGGCCCGTCAAACCCTGCCCGACTAATTGCAACTCAATGATCCGCAGCGGTTGATGACTCTGTGGGTTGAATACGACGTGGATCTTCCAGTAGTCTCGGACCACGCCAGTGTTTAGTGAGAGCCAGGTGAGTCGTGCAGTACATTTCCACTGCCCAGAGCCGGCTCTCACACTGCTAACCAAAACATGGCTATTGCAGATCGAATTTTGGCGATCGCCAGCAACACAGACAGGTTTAAAAGATGGCTCCTAGCCACTAGGGCTGAGGCTTTTTTAATTCGTGCGGTTACATCGTAATGCAGCATACTAACCACTGGGATCCACCACCTTCAGCTGCTTACACAATCACACTCCACTCGATGCTTTGGCATGTTCGAACGCAATGGAGATAACGCCTTGATCTTGACGTCGTCTGCAGCGATGTCCGACTCATTTCGCCGCAGTACAATGTTTCGAAGACGAGGTGAGTCGCGCTTTTAAGATTCGGTGAAAGAGCACGGTACTCAGACATCCATTTCAATGATTGGTCCATGATCCAAGGCAACATTCCGTTCGAAGGGTATGCCCAAGCAATATCATGCTATGCAACAAAGTCTTCTAGTCTAGTTTTTGATTCCCTTCTATACTGGCTACTCTTCACGAGAGCAGTTGGATGACCGTGGGCAGATTCATTTATATATGTTAGATACGTGTCTGCTGATTGCCCCAAAGACGACTAACGACGAGTTTGTTGGCTGTAGGATGCACATGAATCTTCCAGGGGCTTTACTCCACACTGAAGGGGCTTCGAAGATCTATCAGGCAAACGAGTACATGGTCGTTGTTACGCAAGTATACAGCAGATTGAGCATGAATACTGCTATCTTAGAACTCCCCTCCTTATCGGCATTGTGATGGTATCACCACAAACCTTCTTCTATTCGTCAAGCCAACCGTGTTCATGGGCTTGATGACATGGATATTAAGAACCTCCCCAGTAGGATATAAATTGGTGAATTTTGATTGATCGGGGAGCACAGGCAAGATCCGATTTCACTGGCCGGATATGGCTCTAAATACCTAGACATGCGGGTGCGGATAATATATGATGGGCAACAATTGACCACAATGTTCAATTGTTTGATTGTGTGCAATGGCGCAAGATCTAGGTATTGGTATTGATGAGCCGACAGGGTGGTGTATTCGGAAAAACAAGAATGTCAAAGGGGGCCTGGGCAGGGATGCTTTGATGTGATGCTAAGGATGAATATGAGTCTGGTCAACGGTCGAGAAAACATGAGCCTGTATCGCACATGCCGCAAGCGCGATGATCGGTTCTGTGCGATATAGCGCAGCAGCGGGGGAAATCGCAGCAATTGTCGATGAAAGAAAAGCGGTACTTCGCCCACAGGAAGTTGTTCGAACTTTTGTTGGCACTATGAAGAAAACCAGAAAAAGTGCACCTCGTTCACGGTCACGAGTCATGACACTCATTTCGTCCAAGTGACGAAGATTGCCCTTCGAGGATAGGCCCGACCAGCTCGTCAATTGGGCGATGTAAGATTAAAGAACGAATGTATGTATAGAAGGCGAAAAGACACATCATTGATGGCATGTCACGACATGTCTACATCTTGAGCGACGTCGGGTCGAGGTTCTCCTCGAGCTACTGAGTTAACCAGCTCCCTTCTCACTTCGACGCCGATCTGTAAATGCGGGTTAACGCGAATAACGTCCAGGAGAGCATCTTTTTGGTCAGGAGTAAGATCCGGTGAGTATCTATAAAAATCGGATTTAGATTTGTACCGATGCCAAATGTAACAACCTGACCTCTGGCAGAAGGCTAGCAGGCTTTGATGCCAGAGCACTGGAAGCTTTTGAGTGTCACCACGCCCACGGGCCTTGTAAGTGTTGGAAAGACGAATAAAATGGAACACCAAGGCATCAACAACTTTGTATGGGAGTTGGTACTTTTTATCAATCAGGACGCGAATGAATAGAGAGTTTGGTCCTGGAAGGAATGAGTTAGCCTGGAAATAGCGAAGAATGACACTGTACCCGTATAGTCCATGTTTGCTATTCGGAGTAGAGCTGCTGCTGAATGTAAAACAGGTACTTTCTTCTTAGCAACGACAGAAGCAATGATAGCGGCCTCTTTAAGGGTACAGCCGTTCTAGTAGGTGGAAGAAGTAATTAAGCATGGTCAAAAATGTATGTCCGATAACGCACCTCTAACATTGGAAACACGATACCCTTAAAGAATGCTGCGGGTTTGAATAGTGCGCGCTTCAGGCATTCGTAATATTGTACATTGAGCTTTTTATTACTCTGTATATCCTCCCGTATTGCATCCAGGAGGACGACGGAAAGAAATAGCTGAACCTGAGCAGGCTTCATCGTTGACACGAAAATCCGTGTTGCTGCTCTACACGCATGAGGACTCCAATTTTCGGGACGAGTGAGCGCTAATACTCTTGCCCATGCTGGGAGCGAGGGAATAACTTTGAAGAATTTTGGTAATGGCCCCGACTTATACCCGTGCAGGAAGATTGCGAGTCTGTAAGAGAGACGAAATTCAGTAAACGCCGTTGCGTGAGAGAGAATATACATGCTTTGAATAAGATTCTACGAGTCTAGGATCAAGACCGAGTGCCGGATCAGGATGTTCTTGATCTAGAAAACATGAGATAATAGCCTAAGCGACCAAGATTTGGACCGTACCCTGCTGCACCTTTTGCATGACATTGACACCATTGGTCTCCCCACTCTCCAATTTAGCGAAAATGATATCTGCTAATGTTCGGCGTTCACCAGAATTAGATGGCAGTAGTGCATCCAATGCTTGGATATCTCCAGAATCCAATTGCTAAGGGGGATGATGAGAGGCAAGCTAGACACATCAGAATGCACTGACAAACATATCCTCTGCATCACCGTTATCACTCATGTCATCATCGTCACTGTCCTCGTTCTCGTCATCCACGAATTGTACTCTGGGCTTGAAGTTCTCGCGTTCATCTTCATGTCGAGACTCATCCTCGTCCTCGGGTATATCGATCTCTTCTTGTTGATCCCTCGCGAGCTCAAAGATTCTCCTCGATATTTTTGAGTCAAGAACTACCTGTGCATTGCGCGATCAATCATTTTAACGGACATGATTGGAGTGTACACACCTCTGTGCTCTCTTCATCGTCGGAGGATTTCTGCCGCTTCGTGCGCTTCCCCGGTTGGGATACGCGACCATATTTCGCTTGTGCCTCATCGACATCTAGTTGTGCGTGAAGAGGGTCATGCCTTCGCTTCACCGATTTCTGTACTCGAGGCATGATGGAATGTAAGAGGTTTTATGAAAACATTATTTTCGGATGGGATATTGATTACCTAATAATCAGGGGGTAAATCAGGTAAGTGTTTTGATCTCCCTCGTCCAGACTCCGACACCTCCTGTTTCCGCAGTGGCGGCGCAGGCAAAAATCTGACCACTTATACTTCAGGCACGCCGCGCTTTGCAATTGTACTAGTCGCTTTTCATCTTCCCAGGATGTCGTCGTCTTCAGTTAAAGATGTAAGTCGTTGTACTATCTAATCTAGGATTTCTCTTCATTACTTCTACGTGTAATATGGCAAACATTTTATCGGGAAAAACTGTACTGACTGTCTTTTTCTCATCGATCAGTACCGCTGATGCATTTTTCTACTCATAGACCCAGACCCTGGATAAGAACGGCCAAGAAATCAAAAGCGTTGGCTTCCAACGCTTTGGGTTCGACTGCGAGGTGGCCCTTGATATCCTCCGATCACTGTATCTTCGATCGCACTATGTGGTCTCAGCTCCTGCATCCCAGGTTCAGGAGCTAGATGCTAAGGAAGAGGAAGGACACGGGTATTTGACGCAAGGCCCCAATTCCTACCAGTCTAAGTCAATCTTCCATCCAGACACACAGTCGATCTCGTACACAACCCTTTCCCGTTTCGCTCCAGTTAAGCTTTTACCTGCCTCATCTAGGAAGCGCGTTCTCGTCACTGGGGGTGCTGGTTTCGTGGGTTCTCATCTTGTCGATCGTCTCATGCTCTTAGGCCATGAGGTTACCGTCCTGGATAACTTCTTCACTGGTTCAAAGACCACCGTGAGTCACTGGGTTGGTCACCCAAACTTTGAATTAGTCCGTCATGATGTTGTGGAGCCATTCATGATCGAATGCGATCGTAAGCCTTTCGGCCTCGTGCGCTATTCGCTTCCTGGCTGATGACCGTGGAACCCCTAGAAATATACCATCTTGCTTGTCCCGCATCTCCTCCGCACTATCAGTTCAATGCAGTTAAAACCATCAAAACTTCTTTCATAGGCACGTTGAACATGCTTGGCTTGGCCAAGCGCACGAAGGCTAGGTTCCTTATTAGTAGTACATCTGGTACGGTTCTTTTCGGTATCGGGCATCTTATGTGCTCATTCCGCTTCAGAAGTCTATGGCGACCCTGAAGTCCATCCTCAACCGGAAGATTAGTGAGCCACGGTCATTTACCTCTGATTGTGTTTTTTATTATCTTGTAGCTGGGGTCACGTCAACCCGATAGGCCCTCGCGCCTGCTATGATGAAGGTAAACGTGTTGCGGAAACTCTCACGTATGGCTTCCATCATCAAGATGGCGTGGATGTTCGGGTTGCACGTATTTTCAACACTTACGGTTGGTCTTACACTCTTTGCCGTTTCTATTACTTAAGTGTCATCCCTTAGGTCCCCGAAGTTCGTTTCGCCACGTTTTAATCAATCACAAGGCTGATCTAAGGTTGATCTCACAGTGAACCCTCACGATGGTCGTGTGGTGTCCAACTTTATCGTCCAAGCCCTGCGCGGCGAGGATATGACCGTCTATGGTGACGGCAAGCAGACTCGTTCCTTCCAGTACATCCACGACCTCATCGACGGCCTGATTGCCCTCATGAACTCTGATGAGTCGCGCCCAGTCAACATCGGCAATGGCGATGAATTCACTATTGGTGAATTCGCAGAACTCGTTCGCGAGATCGTCGAGAAAGTGCAAAAAGAAGATGGTATCAAACTCGAGCGCCGCGTGCAGATTGTTTACAAGCCAATTCCAACTGACGATCCTCAGAAGAGGCGCCCTGATACGACTAGGGCAAAGAATAGCCTGGGATGGCAACCCCGTTGGTCAGTGCGGATGGGCTTGGAGGAGATGGTCCGATACTATAAGGCTCAGATATCAGAAGGGAGCATGTAAAATGGTACTCAACTCAGTATTCTCACAATGTTATTGTTGGGCTCTGTGTGGTCGATTCTGAACATTATGCATATAGTTGTACATGAGTAGTATGAGCGTACTCTGAACTTTTAGATGTGGATACATATATATCTGCCAAACACATTAAAGTAGTTGTGAATAATCCAAACGTCGTATGTGATCTGTGACAGCCTTAGTAGAAAAAAAATGAGAGTGAGTACTTTTGTACAGGCATCATGAGAAGTCATGACGGTAATAAAGCTTTCGTTATGACCCCCCTAGGCAGTTGAGCACTTTGTGTTACTACCTTCTGCATCGTTCCTCTAATAACGTGCTTGTCGACTGAGCTAGCATTGTAAGTCGTTCGGCGCATGCGACCATCCTGCGCGACCTCATCTGTGACTAGGCTTTCTTTGTCGCAGTTAAAGATCCCGCTACCGGACGTTCCGGAGAGCTGGGAACCTTGGGATGTGATTGTTTGTATCCCTTGTAGTTACGAGCAGCTTTGAGCTCGGAAGTGTCTGTAGTCTTATGAAGCACGGTAGGGTGAATCCGTAGAGCACGCGAACGTACCGATGTAACTGTTGCCATGCTTGTCTCCTTGGAACCAGTGAGCCTCCTTCTTCCGTTCAGAGTACCTTTGAGTAAAAGGGGTTAGTATGATGAAATCGGAGGGCGAACGCTGTAACTGACTTGCGCAACGGCCGACCATCTCTCCCAAGCGGGACAGTATGCTTGATTCAAATCCTTTGCGTAAAACGACAAATTTTCCAACTGGCTTTTCGCAACCTCGGTTTTTACACATGAAAACGAAAGGGGGAGAACGAGGATCCCTCTGGGCAATGGATGGAATGCCGACGAATTCCGCAAGCTTCGATAAAGCGACCTTCGACCGTTCTCGTATGGACAACTTTGGAGTAAGGAGGTCGGACCGTTGTACGAGGCTGTTGGGCAAGAAACTTTGAGAAGACCTGGTTAACTATCGAAGCGCTTCCAGGCAGGATGTTTAAGCAAGCTTTGGCACCTGCAAAAGTCATAAGGCAAGTCCCCATGTGCGATCATAGGCGCACCTACCCTTGACAACGTACAATCGAGGTCCATCTTCAGCGTTTATTAGTTGCTGTTTAAGGTTCTCTGCGTATTTCAGCGGAGCTATGGGACTTGCTTCTCCCTGTAGATATGTATCAACACCCGCTCATTCCCTCCAACCAGATTTACAGGATCAATACCTGAATAATAAGAACAGGGCAACAGATACTGGCAAGTTCTTGGGCTTCATAAGTGTACGCTTACATGACAGATGAGCTGGAAGCATAAACGGACGTCAATATAGCGCTCACGTTCATCATAATGTTAACAAGTTCTACAATCCTCAGGCGTTTTGTTGGAGGTGTGTATTTCTCCCAGTAGGCTATCAACTGTCATTGACTTAGCAATTGTGCTCCGACTGGTCAGAAATGACATACATCATCTTGAAGGTCTAGATTGTCACTCTGCACATGGCGTCGTCGGTTTGCCAATAACTTGCATGCTATGATGGGCGGCTTACCTCCCAGTCATGAAAGTCACAACTTCATTCCCTGCATGTTCAAACGAGTCGAGGTCGGGCGCGTAACACCACAATTGAAGGAGTTCGTCATAAGCGTGGAAGACCCATTGAAGTCTAGGAACAATTATCAGAAAACAAATAATCAAACACATACAAAGAAGGACATACTCTGTCGGAGGGGGGACGTCGCATAAAGTTAGACTCAGGACCTGCTCAGGCCACCTAGAAACTGACAGTCAGCTGGTAACCATCACGCATTGGAGGACATACACTGCAGCGAGTCTGAGAGCTGCATTAACAGAAATACACTCGAATGCCAATATATGTGCAGGAGGCAAGAGCAAAGCCTTAGATTCAAGTGTTAGAAACCGGGCTGTAAACTTCAATGAATGGATCACACCTGACAGACCATAGCAAGATCTGCTGCATCAACATAACTGTCATGCCATTGACTGGGTCTACATCGTGATCGTCCACAAGTCCGCTGGTCAAAAGCTATCAAGTTGTAGTCGCGGGAGAGTCTGGGATCATCAAAGTGCCTAATCAGCCAGCTTGAGTCCAGAAATAAAGGATGAAGGAGGATGCAAGTGGGGCGCTCTGGGTCAAAGCTGCCAACGTTCCCGTGGACGGAGTTCGTGATGTACCATATAGACACGTAGTCGTCCCTGGATGGGATATCGATGTAGGGCATACGGGAGAGGAGAACAAGAAATAGACCAACAACAAGGCACCCACAGGTTTACAAAACAGTTTTTATATATGAAAAAGGGTCCAACAGTAACGACCGCCCTCCCTAGAAGGCCCTGACGGCCTTGGGTCAAATGCGATCAAATTTCTCATTAGCCGAGTAGTAGCGTCAAGAGGACAAGCTAAAAATTATGGAACAAACTTGTACATACATAGATATTCAATATTCAATCCAGATGGCTGAGCGTCGAGCTGCATGATCGACGACGTCGCTGCCTTCAAATTATCAATTAAAAAGGATTACTTGCTTCCGTCTCCCTTGAATTATTGGCATTAATGCCCATCGATGCGTCTCTCAGGCTGAGGCGCTCCAATTTTAGTTATAATAATGACAACCTTCTTTACCCTCATACTTACTCACGGTCCGGGTCTCTCCAAGTCATTCCCAAGCCACAAGTACCCGTTGTCAAGAACACTCTTCCAAGAATTTTGATTGACGTTACGAACTACGTGTGCTCTCCACCTTCACGGGATGTCGCGGTAAGAATAAGATTGATAACCTCGGAATCTTCCTCTCCGTCTTGCTACCGCCCTTTTGTGCCTCCAGATATACTGGAGTCTTTTTTTTGGTTAGTCCCAGAATTCATTGGTTGAATGTCGAAATGAGAAGATCCCTCAAGCTGCTGAAGAGTTACAATTGCGATAGCTAACATTCGTTATCGCGTACGACATGCCGGAATCATTGCAGGCAAACGGAAGGGCTCAGGCTTCCTCCCAGCGTCTCAGTCCCTCTCACGTCTCCATCTCCTGAAGTAAATCACAGTATGCATGTAATAATCTGTGCTTGCCGCCGATAGTATAATCAGTGCCATGTTTTTCATTCCCGGAATGGCCAGGCCTAGAACATTGTCCGATGGGCAGGTAACCAGCTTCCGACAATCGCACACAAGCTCCGTTATGGAGTAAAGTTGCCTGCGGCTGCTATCTCCGCAGGGACAGCAGTTTGGCACCCGCACTCGAGAGTTTTATTGTGCTGAGGTCCGAGGATACTTTGTATCTGTAAATATGGCAAAGATAACAAAACACAGAACAAAAACATTCACAGATCCTCATTACCCCACTATACCTTCCAAGACTTGAACTACTCTCTGTTGTTTCTAGCAACACGGCAATGAGATTGGTCCACGTCTTCGTCACTGCTTCGATACTCACCTCTCTATCGGCTCGCAAATCAGAAGGGAACATAGTTGGTACTCCGAGGCCTTCCAGTGTAGACTGTTGCTTCTGCAAGAGACCGTCCCATGCGAAAAGCACGCGTTCCGCATCAAATTTTTGCAGCTCTTTCCGAAATGCATCGTTCAGCATCTGCCACGCAGGGTTAGAACG